AAGCACATATTGAACAAAAACGTTTTGAAAATGATCCAATGTCATCAAATGATTATTATTTTGCTGCAGCTCGTAATCGTAATCGTTTAAAACGAAAATCTTCAATGTCATCATTTCTTTCATTTGATGATGAGCTTAGTTATAATGATTCATTAAATATCATGCATACACCTAAACGTAGTATGACACGTTTTGATTTAATGTCACCTAGTTTAACAGCACCAACAGCTGCATCAAAATTAAAAATGAATCGAGCTGCAAGTATTTGTAATATTAATGGACATTATGATTCATTTACATCGTTAAATTCAAAAACAACAATACCAACAAATTTATTTGGTGGAAGTTTAATGAATCTTTCAAAAACACAAACATCTAAAAGACAATCATTAAATTTAATGGAGGATACATTTGATGATTCACAATTTACTGCATCAATGACATCATTAGCTACATCAGTAACAGGTAAGAAGGTTTTACGAGTAATATTAATGATATCTGATTTTCTTTTGTTTTCTCAAGGAGCACGTCTAGCTCGAAATCAAACATTATTATCAACAAAATCAAATAAGCAAGCAATACTTAATTCCCTTAAGCAAGTTGCACTTGCTGGTTCAGCTAATGAAAGACAACGTGAAATTATTATTCGAGTAAGTTTTTTCTTGTTTTGATATTTAAAAAAAAAAACAAATTCAAATGATTTTTAAATAAAGGAAATTGAATTAAGTGAAGCTCGTCATTTTGTTCTTCTCTTTCGTGATCATCGACTTCAATTTCGTGCTGTTTATATGTATATACCAGAAACTGATGTTATTGAAAAATTATACGGTATTGGTCCGAATATAATTACAGAAATAATGGTTGATAAATGGTTTAAATACAATTCAGGAAGTAAACGTTTTACTAATATACCAATAAAACATTTTTCTATTCAATGTGATGCTATTATTATTCATAATGACTTTTGGCATAAAAAATTGATTACGAATATGAATAAAATACATTAATTAATGGAAAAAAAGCTTTTTCTTTTTTTTCTTCTTCTATTTTATTGTTACATATAAAGTTTCGTTTTTTTTTTGTTCTATGTGAATAGTTTTTATTAAAAAGATTTTTTCTCTTTTCGTTCAGTATATATATATATATGGCAATCAGTTTGCAAAAATAATTTTAGTAGAAATGAAAAGTCAATTAATTTTATTTCTGAAATGATTATTATAAGAATCAAAGAAGTGAAAAATCTAACTTCTATCGGCACCAATTGGATTTGACTATAGCGTAAAAAAAGCATGGCGCAAATTAGTTATTTCAAATTCTTAAATTTTGACTTTTTCAAAGTTGATGCTTCTCGAGATTAGGATGAGTGCTTAAGTGATGAAAACGTGCCATGAAACGATTCTTATGATATAGTTCTTCGTGTCAATGAATCCTCATCTGATAGAAAGGCATTTTTTGAATCATCTCATTGCAAGGTCAAAGATTGTCTATCACGCCTTGAAAAACTATATCTTTTGTTACGGTTTAGTCAGCATTTTCTACAATACAGAACAAGTAACAAGCCATATTAAAAGTTCTAATGAATATATATAAATACCAGGAACGAGAGAAGACGCAAACATCACTTTGCATAAATTCATTGGCAGTGCAAAAGTCTATGTATAACAAAAGGAAAGAAAATTATTGATTGTCAAAATAATTTCATGAAACTTAAACTAAAGTACGTCTTGTGATATTTCAGCAACTTGTTTCACTTTAATGCGATATAAGTTCATTTTTGATCAAAGTGTTCCTCTTATGAGTGTTTTCTTTGAGTTTATATTCAATATATTTAAAATGAACATCTTTGCCAATAAACCACATTCGTACATGTAAAAATAAAAATAAGCAGAATCGAATATACAAATCTACTTGAAAATTAAAAAAAAATATATATATTGCGTAATATCTAATATTCCAATTGCACTCCTCTTAATCTTTAGCATAATATTGATAAGTATACTTCATGTAAGCAACTGACAAAGCCTTTTTGCTTTCTTATCGATACTTGATATGAGAATTTAAGTGTATTTCATATATCACTACCTATTCTTGTTGAGACATCGATATTCTATACAAAACTATGTGTCATTGCAACAGAACGAGTTCACAAATTATTGATTTGACCTTGAAGACAAATGTTCAAAATTTGTGTTATATAACAATTAATTTCCACACATTTGGTTTCGATTCTAAAAAACAACTATTTACATATCATTGAAACATCAAAACAAAAAGGAATTTCGAATCTACTTTCATCATCATCAACTACCTAATCGTTTTTCAATATGTTTTATTTAATGTTCATCAATTTTGTTCATTATCATTGGAACATTCTAAAACTGTAAAATACAAAACACACTTGTGAATTCGACGATTATAATTTTTCCAAATTTTTCCTTCAAAGACAAATTCTTATCATTGTAAATGTCAGTATGAATTGATTTTCTTATTTTGTTTTTTTTTGTATAATTATTTATCGAATAACCCAACAAAGAATATGTCAGAAGAAGATCGTTAAAATTAGGAAAGTCTACAATATCTTACTATGTAGTCAGTTTGTTTCACTCATCTCATGTTGATGATGATGTTATCCTTAAAACTGAACGTGACAGCTATTCAACCACTCAAATGCTATATAAAAGTTTCAAACTAATTTTGTAAGACAAATAATTCAATTAATGCAACGATTTTATAGCCAATCAACGTTTTGCACTTGTACAATGTAAAAATATCGACTTCTATTGTTTTTCATGGTTGTAAAAACTGAAGCCGGAGTATTTACGGTTCGGCTTAATATTTGTCAAACAAATTTCAGTCTCAGTTTGATTTGATTCTAGATTGACACAACGTCAGTTATAATTTAATTTATATTTATTCTATACTAACAATACTTGAAATAAATTTGATTATTTCCAATTGTAATGAGTACACAAAAAAAAACAATAAATAAAAAGTTTCTTTTTTTCTTTATTCCAATTTGGTTCGATTCTAAAATAGCAATGCAATCATATCATGTTATGCCTAAAGATGACTAATCGGTCATCTAATTACATTCTCATATTTCATTCTATGATTTAAAAAAGTATAGAGACAAACCTTGTCAAAATATCGAAGAACAAAACTATCACTCAGATAAATTGAGTTGTTTGTCCAAAAAGAAAAGAATCTCTTTAAGTTACACTTAACTGGATCATTCAAAGCAAACAAACGGAAACAGATCGTATACAAAACGAATGCAATCTTTTGGGACACCGTTGGTCACAATAATCAAGAGAACGTCAAATTTTTACCGACATAATGATCAATATTACATGTATTAAACATTGCCATCCAGTTTTCGATGATACATACAATAATGATAGACAATGATTAAGTGATACTATTAACAAGAGGATATTAGCTATTATGAGCATTTTGAGTTTGATAATCAATAAGTTGTTTTGAAAATGAGGTTAATGTTCAGATAGAAGTTATCAGTCAATCAATAACAAAAAATTACTGTTTTCATAAAGGCATTGTACTTGTTAATTAAAATCTGTGTACTTTTTTTTTGAAATGATGTAATGACGAATTCAACGATTATTATAGTAGAATCAATGTGTGGCAGACTATGAAATTCTCAATTTTATATTATATTACTCTATTTTTATTTTAGACAGAGATTATTAACCGTGGACTGGAAAACAGAAAGAAATGTTTCTATAAAGTCTATGTCAAATATTTCATACATTTACGAAAGACACAAATGAAAAGCGAGATTAAAAACAAATAAAATATTTGAAATTATTTCTACTAATAAATGTTACATTGGTGTCGAATTTATACCATGAACTGGAATAGATGATATGTTTGTTGCTTCAGTAGTTGTTCTTTGATGAGTAGATCGTAAATGATAGGTAAAGTATGGAAAATCGATAAAGTAATAATAATAAGAAGAAAAGACGTTATTATTTATTTGAAGTCTGTCAGATCAACACAGATGACTCGAAAAATGTTCTATTTTCTAACTAATCAAATTAGTAAAGTCATGTCTGATAACGCGGACAACAAATTTCAATTTTACTTTTATAATGTATACTTTATAGCGATGCTCTGTAAAAATTGTATTCATCATCATTCCATCTTGTTTATCTCAATCTGCGTAAATGTCTTAAAACTGAGCTAAGATATGCCTTTTCCGTTTAATGATTACTGGCCCTGACGTTCAATAGCACACTTCTACACTGATATCGATGTTCATTGACACATCAATACTGTTGTCCATATAGAATACCTATACTTTGTATCATTTTCTAGGAACAAAAATGTGCTTGCTTTATCGACTTCTCGTTGAAAATTATAAGCATAAACACAAACGAGGTGTGGGTGTGGGACCCACACCCTATACTATATTGCAAATAAATTAGAATCAAATTTGACTGTGTCAGTGTGGGTATGCTTTCTCTTCTGCCGTCCACACTCACACCCTTCTCAGCAACTAGACATAATAAAAAAAGAAGGAATGCATCATTTTTTCGTGACGTCATGACTAATAGCTTCGTATGCACAGTATCAAAGTCTTTTCGATATTTTAAGCCAGAAAAAAGTATGGAAATTTTTTTCTCTAGATACTTTTGTAGAACTCTTCAAGCACTCTCTAACTATGTATTAATGCAGCAAAAAATATCTTGCTTGGTTTTTGAATAGCGAGTATCTAACGATTACACAAGAAAATCAGTTTCTATGGTACATACATCTAATTTAAAAAGTAATTATTGATGAATCTTTATTGTTTCAAAAAACTAGATATGATTTCCAACTGTTGTTCGTATAAGATTCTATTATTGACTACGATTAGTCTTGTTATTTTGTTGTCAATCTTGGTTTTTAATAATGCCAAAATCATTCTACCATTCAATAAAATTAACCAAACAAAAATATTAAAAATAGTGTTCTCTACTTCTACTCATCGTCCTAATCTAATGTTTCCAGAATTACCTGTCTATGGACTACCTTTAAATAGTACACCAAGTGAAGCATTTGTTATATTTTGTAATAACCAGTCAAAGTATCTTTCTCTTTTGACTAATGCACCCGATATTCTATTCATCATTTTTCAACACGTCCTATTATAGTAGCATATGGAATTAATGTTGATTTGAATATCGATAGTAAAAAGTATCCACGTTTAATTAAACGACATTTAAGTCAAAAAGATTGTGGATCATCCATTTATTACTGTAAAAGCTATGTTATTGTACACAGTCAAATTGATTATGAAATATATATAGAAACTGATACTTTAGTTAATTGGAATGTTGATATTCTTTTCGATGTTCTTCATCGGTGGCATTATCCATTACCAATTGCAACTTGTCATCCGGATGATCCTATTAATTACGAGCATTTTTGAAAACGATTTAAACTTGATTTTAAAAGTCGAACTACACCATACATACATGCTCATATATTGTGAAATTATCGAGCCTATCCATTTCTTCAACGAGCTACTACTCTTATACGTCAAGGTGATTCTATGGGTGTTAACTATGATGAAACGGGAATCAATATTCTTTTATGGCAAGCTAAAGCAAATCATACATTATGCAAAATAGATCCGTATCATACATACGTCTTTATCAGTTTAGGAATCGAACCAGACAAAATGTGGCAAATATTGTCATACTGCGTACATTTTTATTCATGGTTATAAAGATACAAATCAAATGCACAAGCTATTCGAACGATTAAAAAACCATACTGGGTCGCCATTTATACAAACTCCTCGTCATGGATTGCATTATTTATATGAAACACAATATACATGTTGTTATCTAGATCATCGAAGACAATAGTATTAGTATAGAAATGAAAATATGTCGTTTTCGGAAGCTATTCATGTGATAAAAGAAACTTTTTATAATCTATATTGGATGAAATCGAGTTTTACTCGAAAGCCAGTTTCTCAATACTTCGTTTTACAGAATTCCAAAATATGAAATAGTCCTATTAAGGATGTATAATGGCGCTACCATAGTCTTTCAGATCAATTTTTGGTCAACATTATAAAAGGTGGGCAGAAGAAAAAGTCCAGGACCATACTGTAAGAATGGCGTCCATTTTATATATTATGTAACATATTTGACCTACTATTTCTCTCAAAATCCGCAGAAGTGAAAGTTTGTCATAAAGCGTTAAATAATCCTTTGAATGAACAACAAAACCCTATTATTCATACGGTCAGAAAAGTGAATTACTATGATGAAATACGTACATACTGTTTTAGTAGATCTCTAAGAAATGTGATAAAATTTCTGTTCATTTTATTCTTTTCAAACAAGTTACGTTTTTCTGTTTGAAAAGATATTCATGCAAATACTGCTACATTAACATGATGTTGAACAGCAAGCATTGAACAAAAGACTTTTAATCATGTCTAATATGAAACTAATCATGATTGTCTCTGCAGAATGATTAATACTGGACATATATATCATTCTTCTAGGGAAAAAACCAGAAGTGAAGGAAAATGAGTCGAGACTGGTGTGCTAAGAAAAATAAATATGAATTGGAAATAATGATTATTTTCTGCTTTTTAACTCATCGAGATGACACATATATATGGTGGAAGCACTAAGACTGGTACAGAAGGGAAGAAGCAAGAAAGGGAGTCAGATAACGAGAATTAATTGTCTCTTTCGTTGGCTGACACAACAAACAAAAACAATGATAGCCACAAAGATTCGATATCATGCCTTTATTTCTTATTTAACAAGCTCTTTCAATTGCTATTCATAGTTTACTATCTTGCTTATTTCTATTTTCTGTAGATGCATAATCAGCTAGCAAAGCAGTAAAATAATTCCAGAGATGATCAACTTAGAGTTTTCTTAAGTTCAAGTCGAGTCAGATAATTGACACAAAACTTCACTTCACTTGCCAATCTCGGATTAATTCAAATAACGCGTTCCTAATAATTTCATGTCAAACATGCTAAAAGCCTTTTGTCTAAGGCTTGCTATTCGATATCATGTAAATGTAGCAACATTTACAGGAATCTATTTTCGAACAGAAAAAAGTAAGTTGCTTGAAAAGGATAAAATGAACAGAAATGCTGTCACATTTCTTAGAGATCTACTGAAATAGTACACACACATTTTATTATAGTAATTCATTTTTCTGATTGTATAAGTAACAGATTTTGTTATTCATTGAAAGGGTCATCTAACGTGTTATGAAGGAATTTAACTTCCGCTGATTTTTAGAGAAATAGTAGGTCAAATATGTTACACTACGTATAAAATAAACATCGCTTTTACAGTATGGTTCTAGACATCTTCTTTCGCTCACATTTTAGAATTTTGAAAATCATGTTTCTATGCACCCATGTACTTACCTTTGCTGTGATGATATACAAAAAATCTTCACAAATTCGCTGCTATCACCTTACTAAACTAACATTAATAATATGAATTCATAGGATTCATCAAGTCTGTGCTTTGACCACAAAAAGAAAGTCTGCAGAGCCTTGTAAGGCTTTAAAATGTTCTACGTTTAAATCCGATGATAGAACTCCAACAAAATGACTCTCGAAAAGAAAAAAAAATTTCTTCAGAGAGTAGTAGAGCGGGCTGTCAAAAGCTCGTCAGTAAGAGTTTTGGAAATCGATCTTTCACCATTAGGAAAACTCTACTAAATTTTCGATAATGCATTCTTTGCACTTTCGTCTATTGGCGAAAATGCACCGAACTCACTAATATGGGCATTTCCGCAGCATAGATGACAGAGATTTTTATCAATTATATTCATGAATGATGTTCATTTATATTGTAATCATATATTGTTATTTTTTGAAAGATTTCATATATCACATATTCATTGTTTACTAAATATCTGACGCCACTCATGCTACAGCATGTAGGACTTAGCGGATTGAAAAATTGTTACATTTCGTGGAAAGATAATTTATGTATTTGAACAGCAACTTTTCAATTCATGTTTTTGGGATTTTTCTATAGAATCCAGCTTTATATTTTATCCTCAGATCGAAGGGATTAGGTCGACGATAAGTGCCTAATTGTGGGTGAGAACAGAATAGACACTAAAAACAGCATAGCAGCTGACGATGAGAGCTATCTCCTCTGAGTTATGACTTACTTTTGGTAAAGTTAACATGTATGATATCCTATCAATCGATAAATCCAGATAAGTCGGCAGATGTAAATAAATACCAAAAAAATCAATCTCACATGTCCATCAATATGAACTGTATTATAAATTTAAGAAGAAAATTTTCATGTCATTAGTGTTCTGTGTAAAAACCGGATTAGATTCAGCTAAGAATGATTAATTTCAGGACTCAAATGCCAGTAGAAATGAGATTGAAGAAAAAGAACTCATGTCATTAACAATTTTTGCATAAAATATTGATAGAGCAAAACATATGTCCATAAAGAGACAATTGATGTATCTAAACATTAAGTAACTGCTTTCCAAATTTTTATTATTCAAATTCCGCTCTATAGGTTTCTGATCTAATAACCTTGACTGATAAGGACATTCCAAAGAGATGTTAGCAGAGAATACATTAGTTTTTTTTTCCCTTTTCTTCTTATTATCTTTTGTTAAAGTATTTAAGATACAAAAAAGAATATGCTCATTGAATAAGGTGTGTGATGAGTATTAATGAAACAAATGAAGAAAAAAGCTAGTGTCTTCTTGTTATGAAAAAGAAAAAGACTGAAAAATAATATTGTATTGATATGTGAATGGAGAACGTTTTTCTATTACTCTTCGTACTGATTCTTTGAGCTTTTTTCTCTTCCCATCATCACTTTTCTCAACCTACGCCAAACAAGAATGATGATAAATAACAAGCATGTTTGTTTCTGTCAATTTCGAAAATCTGTTGACTATAGATGTGATAGCGAACAAGCTCGTGCTGTTCTGTTACACAAATAACTAATGAAAGAAAACGAAACTTTTTTGTCTTATTGTTATCGATGTTAACTCCAGTTCAATGGTTCAAGTACCTGTACCCCATGAACTTTCGACGAGAATCCGGTAATTGTATCCGTTTGACAGCTCTGTCCATTTATGGTCGGTTTCGACCGTACTTCATTCATCTGAGACATTAGCATGCAACATTCATAGCCAAAATAGACAATAGTGCCACTATAGTCTCTTAATACATGTGCATGAGTTATCATATCAATATCAAACATGTTACGATGGGCGACATCTGGTTTGAATGGAGTCATTAGAAAATAAATTTTGACTGAAATGTATTAAATCAGAATATATATTCATCTATATATGTTATTTTCTCAAAAATTGAGTTTCATATAAATGAGTGTCAGAACAATTTCATATGATAAATAATCTGTATTAGTACTATAATTCATATACTCCAAACATCAGCTTATATAAATGAGTTTTGTTCCAAATGCATCAGTGAATCTCGAGCTCGAAATAGATTGGCATTTCTTCACCTGCTTAATATCACCAAATCACGTACTGTTATCGTTCAAATATTAGATGAGAAAAAGAAAAAATGGAACATGTCAAAGAATGACACCTTGTCTCTATTCGTTCATTCTAGTTATTATTCCGCACTACGGTAGACCTGGATTCTGTCTAATGTAATCGAAGCATAAACAAATATATGGATTTAAAATATTTGCTTTCTCTTCTCCTAAGCTATAAAAGAGACTGTCTACAACGAATCGTTTCCATCTAATACTAAAATAACTATGACTAATGTTGTTTTAGATATACTTTGTCATGATTAGTGAATTGAATGGAAACATTAATCAATGTAGATTTTGAAACTTTATTAATCGTACGAACATATATCTATATATTTCAACACTTAATGAATATTTTTTTATATTTTTTGCTTGATATTTTTGCAGAATGAATTTTTGATTTTTTCTATAATTAGTCTTACTGATCTTTCTTTTGGACGATAATTGGACTTGTTATAATAGTGGCAGTATTGGGGTGTGAGTGTATGTGTAGGGACTGGACGCGGATCAAGAGAATACTCATTCTTACATCAAGAATCACCCCACATCTACCCTCTTTTTTCATTCTACATTATCGTTTCTAACTAGCTTTTTGAATAAAGTGTTTTATTAGTTGTAAAAAATAAATGTCAAAAAAAACTGAATATCTTTTACCTGATTATCAAGAAAATTTATTCATTAACTTAAAGAGTGTCAGTTTAATCAAAAATTTGTTTTTAAATATGACAAAAGATCAAATAATAATAAGTTTTGTAATATAATCATCGGATCAGGAATAATTATAAAACGGTTATTTAATAAAGTTAATTGTATTAAATTACTTCAATAATCAAAATCTAACTTATATTTTCCAGAAATCCATAGATCGCAACTATTCTTGTAACAATAAACAGAGTGTATGCATGTGTGGGTGCGGTGTCAGTATTGATATAGCAATAAATATTCTCTTGATCCAAACTCTTATTTATACCCACACAAACAAAATCAACGGTAGCGACGACGATTCAGTTTGATGACTTCTTTTCTTACTGCACAAGCTCTTCTAACTGCTATTCATAATTTACTATCTTGCTTATAACTATCGTCTGTAGTTTTTGTTGTTCATTCAAAAGATCAACTCACATGTTATGATACAATAAAGCTTTGGAGTAAAACTATAGCCTGAAACTTCGTAGGATTATTGAATGCTCTTCGAAATACTTCCGATTCTCTCAATAGTAATATGCAAAAGAGCTTAGTTTTATATATGCGCGTTGTCGAGTTCAAGCACTAATTTAGTATATTCATATAATCAATGTATGATTGAGATTAAAGTTCTTGCATGGTATATGTTGTTGATTATCAGTATGAACACATATGGAGAGATGATCGAACAACAAAGAATGGTTGACACATTTACGAATGAAAATTTTGATTTTGGTGGAATCAATCATAAAGTTTTGAATCAGTATTCTTTTATCTATATCATATACATTAGCTTTTATAACTATTTAAAACTTCAAATGTAATTTATCAGATGGTGTTATTGTATCAATATACACATTATAAATGATTAATAAAGATACTCCTGACAAGTGATATCAAAATCTTTTGTAATGAAAAAGAAAATAGATTTTTATTATCTTTGCATTCATATAAGAACCATAAAAATATATATTTCAGTTTCAATTCACTCTACTTTATTTGTAATAATTTGATGTTTTTGATACAAAATGTGTTATTTTTACAACAAAATTGATTTAACAATATATTTTCAAAAAAAAAAGTCAATAATAGAAGTATTTACAGTGATAATTTGTCTTTTGAGTATACATGATTGATAGACCAAATATTATTGTAATCAATAGGAAAGTACATTATTTGACTTTATCTATAAAATGACACAATAGTTATGATGAAGATTCATTTCATTGATATTTGAATCAACAATGACTAAAGTAAGGTTTTTATTTTGTCTTCACCTTTGACCTTCGTAAAATCTATAATTTAAATGTAAATATTCTATTATAGTGCTTGAATAGATTTAGTACCATGTTCAAAATTTCAACCATTTAAATCTTAAGCGTCGCTGAATTTTTTCTTTTGTTTTTCAAATAAATCACACACTATTTTTTACATGACTTTGAACTCTCGAGCAACTAGTTTCGTTCTATGATTTAACATGTAAATAAAACTTTTATGACAATGAAAAAATCTAGTGTAGAATGAATGTAACTTGTTTTACGCTGATCTAAATCCAATACACGTCTTCTATTAGTAAAATGGCTACAAGAGTTCAAACTCTCATGTCGAAAATAGTATGTGACCAAACTGAAAGAATTAAAGAAAAATAGCGAAATATAAGATGTAAAAGAATGAGATTTTGCACATGATCGTAAATATTTCTAAGCAATATGATAGATATCATATGAAGATTTTAAATTAAGTTAAAGTATAATTTTTCTATAGTACAATTTTAGTTCTATTAGAACTTTATATTGTAAGAAAACAAATCATTTTGTCATATGTAACCACTGTTGTTCAGTAACATTTTAATGAATCAAATAGCACTACGGTATATAAAAGTTCATAACGGTAGGCAAATTCAAACTATTGACATAACATGAATCTTATTATGATATTTTACTATGCAAAAAAACGTCATCGGCATTAGAACAAACCAATAAAACACATAAATGAGCCAAATGAAAAATAAATGGTATATAGATACTCAAAAAAAAATTTTTTTTTTATAGAAAACGGTATGACACAAGTGCTTAAATAAGTAATACGTCGTTGAAAGGATTCACATAGGCAATTGAACTGTTTCAGTACATTACAATTTATCTCAAGCATAATAGATAATGAAAAATAACTTGTCGAATTTATTATTAAACAACACTCATTTTAATATCTCGTTATTTCTATTTCTTGCATAACAAAATAGCAGTAAAAACTAAATTATTTTTTTTCCTTCTGTTACATCGATGAAAAAAGATGGACGATGATGTATGCAAGTTACATTTATATTTAGACAAAACTAATTTCATTTATAAAAGATTTTGCTATATTTAGTTTTTATTATCAATATTCAAAACAAAACAAAAAAAAACTATATTTATATATGTCAATAATTGTTGAGGTTTCTTAGAAAAAACAAATTTTTCTAAGAAACAAATATCAACAAAAATGTTTGCTGACGAAAGAAAATTTTCTCAGTTTTTTTTTCTCTTTATATCCTGTCAACATAAGCGTTCAGGCAACTTAGAATCGCAAAAAAAATGAGAGAATAGAGAAATAACAGCAACTGGGGCGTCTCGTCGACGATGATGGAAAGTTAATCTTACTGAAAAAAAACGAAGGAAAAAAAAGAAAAAAAAAGAGAACGAAATAGCACAAAACGCCGTTGGGCAAAAGGAGAAGATTCATCTATTCTCGCGTCGTTGCACGCATGTGTGTTTCTTTGCGTTGCTTTATGTATATATATATATGTGTGTGTGTGACGGGAGTCTTGTCTTTTGTTTAGTGTAGTTGAAGAATGAGACGTGAGTATAACAAGCACGAACAATATATTTTAATGACAACGTGTGATGTCGTATGTGAACAAAAGAAAGAATGGTTAGGGACGTTAAAGAGTTGCATAAATTTATATAGTTTTTACTGTAATTTAAATCTACGTTTCCGATTTTTATGTTTATCATTTCTGCAAAAAATAAATGATAAAGAACTAAAAAATTTTTATGAAAACAAGATAGAAACTTTTTTTCTATATTTTAAATATTTAGATTACAATAAATTTTTTTTTGTTTTTCATAGTTAGCTAATAAAATATGTAGTTATTTTGAACTAATGTAAAAGTATTTTTTTACAAAATGATTTTTCAATTCTATTCATAAAAGGTTATTTAGATCTTTTTCTATATCAATATATCAAAATAATTATTAAATGCATATATCGGCTTATTTCCCCTGTGTCTATTCGAACTAAATGCTTGCTTTCTTCGATCGGATGTATGCTTTAGATTAGACTCGTGCACAAACGCATAGAACTTTAGATTGAATGAAAGGCAAAGAGTGAATGTGTATATGCGGCATATGTTGAACCATTCGATTCGACATCACTCATTGCCAGTATCCTTTTTTTTTCCTTCTCTTACTCGTTCTTATTCATTTCTTTTTTTTTTCTTCTTCTTTATGTCTTTTCTTGCATCGAATGTTCATTGATGTTATTTATATAGTTACATTTGTATGTTTGATTTCAATGTATTACTAATCGAACGTTTGCTGTAGATGTTGACTCGTGCCCGATCTTTATTTTCACGCGTATTTTCATTGGATACACCATCATCACAAATTCGTCTTGATGATGTTTTTGATGATATCACAGATGATACAAGTGATGACAATGATCCAGATAATATTATTGACGATGATATTGATAATTCAACAAATGGTGTTGACAATGAGGATGATGATGGTTTAAGTGACAGTGATGATGATTGGTCAAATGAATTTCGACAAGCATCAGCAACAAATATAAAAATAAAAGGTAAATATGAAAGACAAATTAATGAATGTCCAACTAATTCAACATCAAACAGTAAAACAAAATCAAATTTAAATTATACACGTACACATGAAAAATCAAAGCAAAATCGTCTTATAAGTGCTATGCAAGTAGCAACATCACGTTGTAATGTTGAATCAATGAAACGCTTATTAAATAATTTTGAAATTGATATAAATCATCGTGATCAATATGGTATGAGTTATTTAGAACATGCTATTCTAATGGGCAGTTTTGATATGGTTAACTTACTTGTCAGATATGGTTGCGATTTATATCAAGGTTAAGAATTTATTTTATTTTAAATTTAATAAAAAAAAACAATAAACATTTTTTATTTTATTTTGTAGGTGATTCAAGTGGTCATTCCTATTTATATGTTGCTATTGAAACTACAACAAATAAATCATTACCAATTATTCGTCTTTTATTAGAATCAAATTGTTCATGTTTACGTCTTATGGATATTGTTTCATTAATCTCACCACAGCAACTTATTTATATAAATTCACAAGATTTTCTTTTACTTAATGCCCATTTATTATTTATGTTAAAATATCATATACGTCGTATGGTACTAAGCGATGTTTTAAATTTAGTAACATATTTAATAACAACAAATATATTACTTTGTAAAAATGATGAACATTATGGTCTTAGTTCATGTACAAAAACAGCATTAAATCGTTTTAATAATGATTACGTTCATTTATTTGTTAAAACACTTGGAATAAAACATGCATTAAAATTAGAACATAAACTTAACAATTTACAAACACTCCCATCATCATCATTAATACCATTGATTCATGATGATATTCAACCATATATTAATCGAATCAATGAATTAATAAAACATATACCTGAATTAAAACATTTATGTCGTTTATTAATACGACAGAATTTAAAAAATCTTAAATCATCAACATTCGAATCCATTGTTTCAACTGCGAAATTACAAGACTATTTATTGTATACACCCATTTAAGTTTTTTCTTTTGTTTTTTATTATTATTTTTATTCTTGTATATGAAAAAAAAACGAGTATGATGAAAGAAAAAAATTGTTGACACTAAGTGTCAGGAAACTAAGGCAAACACATTCTATAAATATATATACATATATATATATGAGAGTAAGTTGGTTAGAAAAACACTTGCCATTTACTAATTGGAATGATTCAACATAAAGTCAGAGCTAAGCAAACGAAGTGTTTGTCAAGTCAAGTCAGACTTTACTTTGACTTGAGGCATTTTGTGACCTGACTTGCCCAATTCTGCATAAAATCAGAATGATACGATTGACAAGATTTATGTAAATATCTGCTTAAAATCATTTTTATATATGAATTAGTATCTACGCAGTAAAGAATTAATTATTTTCTTATCAAGGCAAAATTCATATATATTTAAATAAAATTATTCAAGAAAATTAATATTTATCAAAAAAAAATAATAATCGAAAACATAAGTATCTTTAAAAATTAACGAAGCAATCGAAATACTAGTAAAACAAAAAAAAAACTTAATAATTATATATTTTGAAAATAAAAATTTCTAATTATGAAGTTTCAAACAAAGCAAAGACAATTTTAATATTATGTGCTGACATTCATCTCATATGTGAATGGTATCAAAATCATTTTTGTTAGTTTCATAGTCTTATTTTTAACAATAAAATAATCTCTAAACTCATACGTATCATATTTCTCTTTTGATAAATAGGTGATTAACTTTTTTTGTGAAATCGATGCTTAACATGTGATACCATCATAGTATTATGGTTCACTTTATAAAAATTCTTAAAGAAAGATGATTTCATTTAATATTCTTTTTCTCATTGATATCGAAAATTCATAATCAATTTTTTACTTCTTTATTATATTCGCAAATAAACAAAATATAAATATAATACAATACTTGGCATTGTTTATAAAAAAACATAAAAAAAAAAGAAAAGAAGGTTAAAAAATGAATTCTAGATTGTTTTCCTAATTGTTTTAATTGAGCATAACAGATTCATATGTTGGTATCATATATCTAAAAGAAAAGATTAAACAAAGGAATTCTTTCGTTTAAAAAAACACCGTAGTGATATTTACTTGATATTAATAAATGCATCTTCACCACCATGTCGTTCAAATGCTTCAAGTGTTTCATTGATTAAATCTCCAATATTTTCACGTCGTTGTTGACCATATTCAATTCCATCACCCAAATTTGCTGTTTGACAAAAAAAAAACTTTATTCATTTAGACAAAAACAAAACTATTACAAAAGAAGTTTACTTACAATTCCAATTTTTAAATAAATTAAATATTGGTAAAATTTGACGATAATATGGTACAAGAGCTTCACCAATCATATCAGCTGACATAACTAATTGTTGTAGAATTTTTAATGTTGTACATATAACTTTATGATTTCTTGTGTTTAATGCATCTAAATATAAAAATATTATTTGTAAAATTATATTTAATAAATTTTACTTTTAATTGGTACAATAAGTTGTGGAATAACAGGTAAAATTTTATTTCCACCATGTTCTAACATATCATGAATACCTTGACGAGCAAAGAAATCATATGGATGATCAATTTCACAAAGACCATCAAAAAATAATGGTAAATAATGATGATAATCAAGTTTTTCAATTTCAACCTAGTTTGATTATATATAGAATTTTAAATACAAAAGACTTTTTTTTTCCCCCTAAATACCTTCCAAGCTATTTTATTTCCTTTGGTATCATGTTCGAGGGCGATTGGAAAATCACCACGTTCATAAAATTTACGAAAAGCAGTTGGTTTGCTATTACGAATACGTGTTGCTTCTGCTGATGGTGGAGCATTTACCTAGAAGATTCATTTAAGAAAGAAATTGATTATATAAATTATAATAACTAAATAAATACTTTAGCATTTTTTAAAAGAGATTTCACAGTAAAACCATCGGTTTCTAAATGTTCAGCTGGACGTACTCGAGCATTTGTTTCACGACGAGATAATGTGTCTACAGCCATTATTTGTTGTCAACTTGTTGAGAGAGTGTTGCAAATTTTACATAAGTGACATATTCTTTCTTTCTTTATACTGTTTATTGACAACGATCGTCAGAAATACTATATTGCCAAGAAACAATCCTCCTCTTTCTTTTCTTTTTCATTCATAAAACGACATCTTTTGTTTTTTTTTAACAATCATGAGACAAGTTGTTCCTTCAAATGATCTTATGTGAAATCCGAACAAAATAACTGTCAGCAAGATTGTAGAAGCCTATGCAATACAGATATATTGTGAATCTACAATTATCGATCCGAATCCAATCGACTCTATTGAAAGTACAAAACTTGGTTCGAGAATGAATATAGTTAAATTGTCTGAATCTAAATTTTAAAAAAACGCGCACTCGGCAGACTCTAATCCTTACTAGAAATATACATTGCGCCCAAAAGAAAAAAAAACCGAGGCATAACCATCAGGTGACCATGCTTGACGTTAACTGGATAAGTTTTTTTTCGCCAATTCTTTCTTTATATTTGTGGCACTATAATATTTCTTAAAATATTGTGCTTCATTTTTGAATACTCGCGTATGAACAACAATATAAACTTGAAAACACTACGAGAGAATATTTAATAAGGCAATTTTTATTCTCTTAGCCTTCAAAATACTTATTAGATGAAACCATGCACTTTTCACTGATTTGTAATAAGATAAGTTGACCTTAGAATCAGAACGATATTATCATCTTGGCTACTTCTGACTGTATCAATGACGGATATCCTGGTCTATCTACATGTCGTTACATCTGTTGTTATTCAATTTTATCTTTAACTGATTGACGAAAATGACTTTTTCTGATGACAACTGTGATTCTGTTATGTTCTTCTGTCAACAGTATGGAACAAAACTGGTATACATCAAGCAGAGCACAAACTTTATCTTAGTCGCTACATGTACACCTGAATGTGTATAAAAACACACGCATGACTAAGGGAAAGAAAAAAAAATTGAAAAAAAAAAGTAACATGGCATAAGAAGTTAAAGTACTTGATGATATCAAGATAAGATCATAAACAGTTTACTTTTCATTCTCACACTATTTTCTTAATATTTAGAATACAAAGCAAATCGTTAATTTTATTTTGTCACATCTTTCATTATTGAGATATGAGTGAATAATAAGTATTATAAAGAATTAACAGATTAAAAAGAATATATTTTTGCATCATGCTTGTTTTCTAACTATGCAGATTAGACATTTTTCAATTCCCTAATATCTCTTCAATAAGATATCGAGCGATGACGAGATGTTCATTCTAAATTTCTTTGCAAAAAGTTAGAGAACGTAAAATTCAAATTTAAGAAAAAAAAATCTATTCTTTGTCCCTTTCTAAAAAAACGAATTTCATTTATTTGTCTTGTGTATAGCTTACTATATCACAAATCTACTGTAGAGTACTATGAAAAACAACAAGTCACACGAAAAACAAATAGGTAACAATAAGTAGCATTAGCAAGAATAATAATTTGGAGCAAATGTATACAAAAAACAAAACAAAAAAAGAGACAATAAAGAACATAATCTAATACATGAAAAAAAAGACACACACTTTTTAATACTGTTTTTGTTTTTATATTAATCTTTTGATCAATGTTTGGCACTACATGGTTTCTTAGGTGAATCAATAGAAGCTGGTGAATGACCACCCCAATATTTATTCATATTTTGTTGAGCACGTTCAAGTGTTTGAGATGCTAAACTACAACTTGACGATAATGATCGAACAGAATTAACCGAAAGAACATCATCATCTATTTAAAAAATGAGCAATACAAAATTAATTAATAGTTCTATAATTTTACCTTTGTGACGTGCATTAGAATTCTGTCCAAAACGTTCATCTAATCTATCCAAATGAACTTGAAATGGTGATGTTGATGTTGGTGAATATTCTTGTTGATGATTATCATAATTATTATTATTATCTATTATTTTATCTTTATATCGATTACCGTGATATGAATGATCTAACAAAAAAAGTATTCGAAAAATATAAAAGAAAAAAAGAAAAAGAAAAAGAAATTGAAAATACTAACAATCATTCATGCTTGTATGAGGTCGTATTGGTAGACGTTTATCAAATATATGTGTATCATAACTTGATCGACCAGCAGCATGTCGTGTTTCCTGAAAACTTGTTGATGGACGAATAATATCATTGTGCTAGATTTCAAGAAAAATAAAATAATATAAAAATAACGGAACAAAGATTTGTATTTTTTTTACTTGAATCGTTCGTTCATTTGTCTGTGGTGATGTATAAACATGGTCTAATCATACATAATTGTTGAGTTTTTAAAAGAAAAAAAAAAAAACTTTTTTGTTTCTTATCTTACTTGCTTGTTGTCGTTCATTAATCAATGGTGAATGAGTACTTGTACCACGATTGTCTTGTTTTATTGATGATGCTTGTCGAATAACATTTGATTCATCATTTGTATAATGTTTTCGATGTAAATCTCGAGCAATATTTGATTTAAAATCTCTATTACAAAATAACTAAATAAATTTCAAAAAAGAAAACTAAATTTCAAATACAAACATATCAGAATTTGTTCGTTGAGTATATAAACTTTCTGCATCCCATGACATATTTTGTTGAACAGATGATGAATTTAAATTACGTACAAATGCTTTTGTTGCAACACTTGGTACTTTTGGTATTGGCTCATCAATATAAACAACACGATCAACTTGATGATCAGTTTGTGCTATTTGATCAGTTTTCTGAACTGATGATGGTCGTTCATATCGTTTATCTTGATAATGATGAATTTTGGATTGAATACGTTCATCGATTTGTCGTTGAATTTCTCTTTCACGTTGACGCCGACGTTCTAAATCACTAAATAAATAAAAGAAAAGAAAAACTTTTCTTTTGTATTTTTAATGATTTATTTTCATTATTTACCGATCAATAGAAATAATACTATCAGTATCATTATCATCATGTGTATCCCATGCAAGATAACTTTTTGTTCCACCATAACCTGTTTGTAATTGTAGTGTATGATTACGATTAAAATGATCAGCTTCAGCATTAGCACGATATTCATCAGCTCGTTTTCGTGTTGACATTAATTCTTTATACCAAAATAAATTTGGATTAAAACCTGATTCTTCCTACATGAATAAACACATAAAAAGTTAAATTGAATATGAAAATTTCATTACTAACTGCTGCAGCATCTTTATACCATTTGCCATTTTTAAAATCAAAACGCCAAAAAGGTTTATATGTTGTTTGATATTCAGATTTCCAACGTCTAAAAGTTCTTATTTTTCTTTTTTTTTTTTATTTGAAATTATTTATTCAAACCTTAAATTTCCATGTGAATGTGTTCGATGAAATTCTTTTCCTAAATCATTATTACTACCAATACCTTCATCATCTGTATGAGCATGCTCAGCTTTAGTTATTTCTTTTCTTTTCTATGAAATAAAATTTTAATTGAAAAACAAAGATTTATTTCATTTGATATAATTTACTCGTTCTTCAGCTTGTTCAGCTTCAAATGCTTTACGTGTTCGAGGTTTCTTTTGATTACCTATTGGTTTATAACGTGACTGATATTCACTTATTTTATCATTTTTTAATTGAATTGAACTTATTGGACCAGTAGCAACACGATTTACTGGTTGTTTAGCTTTATCAAAGTCAATTTCAATACGTGCTGGTGTATTAACAGCAACAGAAGTTTTTTCATTAAGCATTTTTTCAGATGGATCAATAACTGTTAATGGTAACGCTGGATCTGAACGTCGATCACGCTAAAAAATAGAAATTTTGTTTTATTTAGGATTTTATTTTATTATTTTAAAAACGAACCACTTTTGATTCATCAACAAGCATTTGATCGCCAACCAAATCTCCTAATGGTTGTTTCCAATGGTATTGTTGTTGATATTCACTTTGTGGACCAATGCGGCTCTATGATGTTTTATGTGAAAAATATTTTTTTTTATAGAAAAAAAATCGTTTACTCGAACAGGAACAATTTCACGTCCATATCTAGGATCAAATGATACGTATGGTGCTGTTTGAGGTTCCTAAATTTTGATGATTAGTAGAAATAATATTAGGATTTTTGTTTATAAATAACTTACAGTTTGAATACCACATGTATGATTTTCATTTTCATGTCGCCGTACTGGAACCTATATTTAAATTTGAAACAAAAAAGAAATTATTAATATTTTTGAATTATTTATAGGTGTTAAGCTGTAGGTTGATATTTTCTATGAAAATTCTAGAGAAAACATTTTTATTAGATTGATTTGATTTGTCTTCATATTCGTGATAAAAAAAGATGTATGCTCTATAGATTTGTCTTTTCATAAAACTTTTGAAATGAAGAAATTCTGATCAGATTAAAGAAAAGAAAAGTGAATGTGTGTGTATTTTTTCTAGTCCGTTTCAAAAGTTTTTCATGCAATTATCTATAAAAATTATTCTCCAAGGGAGTGAGTGACAAAGTGAATCCAAGGATCTAGAGATTTCCCCTTTTCCTCTTAAAAGAAAAACTTTTGATAGAGTTTTATCAATATTCCAAAATTCAAAACAAAAGTTTTATATATGAGGCGCACATTCTTTCTCAGTGATAAGACACAGTCACAATTCATTATATGATCGAATCAACTCTTCTATGCTTTTAATAATGCATATCTTATTATAAATTTTTAACATATCATTAGATCTATAGATTCTTCGATTTCATACAGATTTCTTACTCTCGGTGAATCATCCCAAATTGGTTTTCTCATTGGATAAGTAACATTATCTTGAAATTTTTCATTTCTTCCTAAAATGGCGTATTCACGTGATTTTTTCATTCGAGAATTATCTTTAATCGGTTGTCGAAGTCGATAAAGATGTGAATTTGAAAATTTTTCATTTGGACCCATAACCGCAAAATTATTATTATTTCGAGTAGGTGATGCTGGTAATGAACGACCACGACGACGTGCTGGTGATAATGATGAATGCCTTATTGGTACTAAAACGAAAAGAAATCAGTGATTAAGAACTATTAAATAAAACGAAATAAACCATCATGTAATTTTCGTTCTACATTTGTATAATCATCAACTTTTCTCGGTGTTCGTTTTTGAAAATTTCTTTGATATTCCGTCTAAATTCCACAAGAAATAATCTTGATAAATGAATTTTTTCTTTTACTTACTTGGTACTTCATTTTGCGGTAAAAGAAAAAACACAGATACCAACAACCGCCATTCTTATTCTCTCCATGAACAAATTCGTTGTCATATGAGCATAACCCAACGAAAATAAAATCTTATTTTATTTCTCAAAAAACAACTGAAAATTTTCTCCTTTCATAATAAAATGCATGCTTTTGTTTTTTCGAATAGATCTTTAATCTAAATTAAAAACCAAGACTGACATCTATTGATTAAAAATTGAACAAAGAAACCTCGTTTTAAATTTTATTTCATCATATCATATCATATATGGATAAACATTATTTTTCAAAACATTTATCTATATCAGTTTAAAAATTTATCATTGTATGAATTTCATTATCAAAATCTAGCTAATTGTCAAACAAATATTAAATCAATGGAATCTAAAGCACGTAAACGTATTGAAGAACTTTATCAATTAACAAGTGAAATAGTTAAAGAATATCATGATATGAAGAACTACAAATATGATTATAAACTTTATAGAAAATATAAACAATTAAAACAAATAAATAAGAGATTACAAGAAAAAATCATTAATCAACATTGTTCTGGTTGTAAATGTTTTATTCAAACATATGAAAACAAAAATGAAGATACAAATGAGCATATTGTATTTGTTGATTCAAAAAATTCGGCAATAATAGAAAACAAGAAAAAAAGTTATTAGTTGATTTTTTCAATCTCATATCTTGAATTTTTTTCTTTTCATACTTAGCTTCAATTAATAGTAAAAACAACTCAGAAAGTTCATCAGATGATGAAAATGAAGACATGGATACAAATGACAACGCATCAGAAACCACAACAAATGATATAGTGATTGAGGAAGAAGAAGAAGAAGGTGAATATGATTCAAAAATACTACTTCATAACATTAAAGTTCTCAGTTATTCATTCACTAAAGTGAAAGAAGAATCGTGAAGATTTTTTTTTTGTTATCATTGTTTGAGCAGAGTGATATTTCTTTTCTTGATTTTACTTATACTGTTATGACTATATCATGATGTGACTGACTTAGAATTGCGACATAATTTACTCATTTCTTACAAGTGGGGACTATAAGCGTAATGTATTACATAAAACATTGAAGCTTTGCAATGTTGAACGAACAGTACACGAGAACAACGATAACATGTCATATAAAAATTAGACAAACGAAGGACATTTGTTTTCATATTATCCTAGGAAAAAAAAGAATCATCATGCCATGAAGTGTGAATTAACACAAAACTCACATTCAATTTGTCAAATACAGACTTTTAATATTTCTTGTATTGTTTAATTCCAAGCTTATTTTACTGGCTTTTATTATCTGAATAAACGCATTCAAGATAATGAAGATTTAAATTTAAACAAAAAGAACATTGTTGAAAGTTTAAACCGAAAAATTAAATTTTAACGTTTTTTTTCTTTTCTTTTGAAGATGATGGTTTGTCTCGTTTACCTTCAATATTACAAGATATTATTAAGAATAAAATTAGACGAAAGAAAAAAGACAACATTTATTTATTAAAAATAGGCTTGTATCCAGCCATATGCCGATATCTAATTAATAAACCACGTTCAGGAGTTGATTCTAAACCATCGAAAGTTACTGTTCATTCATTTATTGTCGAACAAATTAAACCTCAACCAACTGATTATGAAGAAACAAACTTACGTATTCGTAATGAATTACTTGAAATACATCAATTATATATTCAAAAATTACTCTCAAGTCAAGAAAATAAAATTTCTACAAGAAGAAGTCAACGTCAACGAAAATCACTTTGAAAACAAAAGTGAACTGTTAATTTGTGAATTACTTCTTTTCTTTGTTCATTAAGTATTAATCAAATTTCTTTTTTTTTGGTGATAATATCATATAAAAATTATATTTAAAATAAACTATTTCATTCAATAAGATATCATAAAAAATCAAAAAGTTTGATGATAAAAAAAAGTAAAGATCATTATATTAAAGAAATCATTATTTCATGACTGTCAAAATAATTTTATATATAAAGTACGTCAGATGATTTATCTTAATAACCATTTAATAACGGTTTAGTACATTAAATAAATTAGCACTCCAATAAAGTTCATTCTTACTTCTTCAACTACATTTCTAATTGAAAATAATTTGTAGTATTTAGTACAAACTTTCTATTATAATGTAGGTGTCCTTATAGAATTCTCAAGTGACATGAAACAATATATTATCCAGTGTCATATTCCATGCTATTATTATGTTAGATTTGAGTTATATACACAGTACTCAGTATAATATAGCATGTCAAGCAAATCTTTTTTTTTTTTAATATTATAAAAGCATTTTTACAATTAAGACTCTTCAAAAAAAAAATCATCTCAACTATCTTGATATTATTTTTTTAAATCTGATAAAAATTAATCAGCAACAAAACTACCGTTTGTTCTTTAACCAGAAAAAAATGTCTCTAAACAAAAACTCTCTGGGTATTTACAATATTAGTGTGAATAACATGCAATCATAAGTACGTTTATTTTGAACAAAACAAAACAAAATTAAATTTTTTCTTGTATTAATAATATCTACTGATTAAATATCGAAAATTATTGATTAAATACAAGTTTATTTCATCAAAAATATTTTGAGCACTGGATTTCAAGATATACAGATATATATATATATATATATACAAAACAAACATTTAAACGAGAAAAGAAAGAAAAACGATATACTTTGTTCTAATTAATAAAAATAAGGTACTAATAGATGTGGAGAAAGAGACTTTTTTTTTCTTAATATAACTGACTAAATATTTAAAGAAAAAAGAAGAAAATAAAAGAGATTAATTAAATTGATCTATGTTAAATTATATCAGGCAATTGACATGAAGCAGATGTTTCCGGTTTAATACACATATTACACATAGGACATGTACAATTATGTTGTAACCATGGAGATAAACAACGTTTATGAAATGCATGTTCACACGGACATACAGCTATTTCTTCATCATCATAAAAATCATCCAAACAAATAACACAATTCTGAATAGGAAGAGAATAAACAAAAAAAAGATATTTTTTTTTTGTTTTTTTTTCTTATAGAATAAAAACTTACAGAATTTTTAACTTTACATCGCATATATTGATCTTTTCGGTAACCCTTTTCTCTAAGTGTATCTCGTCTTAATCTAACAAGCAAAAAAAAAATATATTATTTTTTTAAGAAAAATAAAAATTTACCGCCATAAATAACAGCAAAAACATAGACTTAAACAAAGAGTAGTTAAGCCAACCCCAAATATGGGTAATGAAACAGTATTTGGTATTGGTGTTAATGTATTACCCATCTATTTTTACTATAGTGATAAAAATTAACAAATACTTAGGCAACATTCCTGTTTCTTTTTTCTTTTCTTGACAACGGTTAATAAAAATAATAAAGCGACAATAACGTCGACGCCGTTCTTATATATGTAATCATAGTTATTATTTATTATGCTTGTCTCTCTTTTCTCTTCAAGGAAATAAGATTGGTTTGTCGTACTAGTCAAAATATGATTCACATCGATATATTTTTTTAAATGAAATCTTATGTTTCGATTTTTAAAAAGGATATCTGATTTGTAGTATCTATTTGTCGCCAAATTCTAATTGCAATTATTTTATTTATCTAGAAATGATGAGCTTAACAATGTGCGACATCTACTTGTCGTAGATTACTCAAAACAATTCTCGATTTCTTGTTTTTAGACCGCTTATCATGTAGCTTTTATTTCGTACCAATATAATCGGACAAATGTATGAGAAAACAAGATTTACTTTGAGTTTTAATACTCAGAAATCGACTACGGCATTTGTTGAGGCAAAACCCTTAAGTATAATAACCATCAATGTTGTCTAATATCCAAGTAATTGAAATTTTCAAATTTTTGTTATTCCTTATTCATACTAATGCTTCACACCTAGAGTTCCTCGCCTATAGTCAATCTTATGATGTGATTATGTAAACCTAGACAATGAATAGAGTTCAAAGTAATTTGAAGCTGAATGTTTTTTTATCATGAAAGTTTATGTTTGCCTTTAGCTGACTTTCGGGCTAAGTGTTGTGCAACGCTTATAAATAATACCTAAGAAGTAGCCATGCTGTTTTTGTTAAATTTTTGCATTTCTTCTTATATGTGCGATTAATCGGCTTTAGAATAGTACGTAACGTTTTCTATACGTAAACGTTAAGTTTTCTTCAAATTACAGTTCAAAATGATTGATATGGCTGATTCTTTTTCATTATGAATTATTTGATTATATGAAAAGTATTTCTACTTTTTTTGTTTGAAAATAAATATGAAAAACGACGCTTGAATTGTTAAATATTGACTGGAAAGAACTGTTTGTATGTTTCATTTGATGTATTATTCTATATTTGTACAGCATCGATTGGGATAATACAAAAGAAAAAAACTTCAGTCTTTGATGATATGAATATTGCTATTTTATTTTTCAATTCATTCTCTAAAAATCGTCTAACATCAGAATAGCTTATGCGATAATAACATCATTCTTAAACGTTAAGTTAACTTTCGGCACATCTAATGCAAAGTAAAAGAATGGACTATCATGAATGAGAAAAGGAAAAAGTTTCTTTATTTTTAAGGATGTTATCAAGCAGTTAGAGTACAACAACCATTCCTTATCTCTTTTTCTCTCTTATATTTTTCGTCTTGTCTAATCAATACAGAACATTAAAAGATTAGCATTGTTGTCCTTTTCTGCATTTGCATTTGTATTGTTCTATACAGTTATGCGCCATTAGACCGAGAAAAGTTGCAAGATGGAAACTATGCGTACATTTATTATTCCATATTCAGAAATTGATCATTATCTATTTTTTAATTTTCCTTCCCATCATTGATAATCGTACTTTAAATGAATAGTGGAACTAATATTTCAATTAAGAAAACAGTGAACTATTGGTTGTACGTCGTAAAGAATTATTCGTCAGCCTTTAGAGACAATTATTACAACGGATTTACATTGTGTCATTAAACGTATTATCACGTGTGATCAATAAGCACTACAACAACTTGATGGATTATTTTTTGTAGCATGTAAACATATATAAACAGGCGTTTGTTTTTAAATTTACTATTATTATACATATTCATTGCTTCGCACTGTTCGTAGTTTTTATGTCAATATATGATGAGGATTCTAGCTATGAATATGTGACAAAATAAACGGACATAGTTTATCTAAACCAAAGACGAATGACTAATTTAATGAAGATACATACATACATGCATCTCAAAGGTATAAATAGTTCGCTCTGTCAACAGTAAGATTGTAAATGGAATTTAAAAAGTTATCAGTAGTTAAAGAACTATTGAATTAAATATAACAACATCTAATTAACTATGCACAAATTCGAATGTTTTATCAATTGTATATCGTAGTTAGACATGATTGATTGAAACTATCACTTATTATCAACTTTGATCTGAGTTTTAAGACCCTAGTCAAAAACAGTGATTAGTAAAGAGTTAAAGAGTCACTCATAATACTTTCCGATATAGAGAGCACGGAATATTTACATGAATAGCTTACACTAAATCAATCATGAAATGAAATCTGATAGCATATCATCAGAATATAAAATCTAGCGATGTTTAAATTCATAGTCCATTCAAGGGCTCCAAATGGGCTGGGCTAGACCTATCAAAGTCGATTCAAGGAATACTGAACTTCGACTCAGTCCATCCATGGTTTTCTTTCCAAAAAGGATCAAGCTCATAGACTGTCCATCTATTAGAATTTTTTCAAAAACGGTTTTGCTTGTTATTATGATAAAAACTATGTATCATTATAGACATTCTGTTATTCTGTACATTTAACTACACTTTGTTTGCGAAAAATTAGAACAAGACAAAGACATTTTCTCGAATAAAACTAAAGTCTTCAGCATGAATCAACAAATAAATTCGTATTAACAATTTGTCGACAAAATGCCTACATGAAGACATAAGACCGACCCATTCAAATGGACGAACTCAACTAGTGACATGCTTAAATCAACCGAATTTGTCGATAAATTATTGTTAACCGAATTTCATCTTTTTTCTTTATTCTCTTTTGTATATTTACTTCCTGCTCATTGCATACATGTTTGAATCAATACAGGGATGAAATGAGATTTTTCAAAGGAAAATTTTTTATAATGATCTAGTCGACGTCTCTAAAGAGTTTTATGTTTTATTTGAAATCATGTTCCTACACTATCATCAATCTATGGGTCAAAGTTCGTAATCTATGTCAAAAAAAGACAGGAAAAATTGACTTTCATCGATTTTTTTCCTGGTATTACGCTGATCATTTGTTGAGCCAAGTCATGCAAAAAAACAATCATAATGTAAGTTTTGAAGTTAAAACAAGAGAAAAATGTGTTTTACGTCCGTTGCGATTAAAACCGATAAAGAAGAAAATAATCGACTTAAATGAAATAAAAATCAAATAATCTGCTTATAAGGAGCCCTGATCCCATAGTAACTTACAATTCATTTGATAAGAGAAGTGCGATGGAACACGGCTGACTATTTCTGTCAAACAAGCATAAAACATTCCAATTAATGAGATTGAATAATCATAAGTTAGTCTTCATTAACTTTTGGAATAATTTATCGCTCAACAATCGAATTCATCATGTAGACAACTGATTTTGAATATAATTATTCATTAAAATTTCTATCATGTATGATAATTGTCTGCTAAATTTCGTCTTAGATTTATTAACGAATGTACAGACGCAGCAACTGAATAAAATGTAGTAAAAATAAATCTGGTGTTGACTTCAGGAAATAATCTAGCATAGCATAATCGGTACTTGTTTCTCATAAGAATAACGATATGGCGAAAGATTATTCAAACTTTCCTATGAAAGTACAAGTTATCTTAGTTTAAATTTTTCTTGTGTAAATCTCTAACGTTAATTATAGGCTTTGCTTTGGTGATCTATACACTAACGTACTATAGTGTTTGGTACAACAAACTAAAATCGAAGATAAGATAAATAGATAAAAATGATGGTATATGTATAATCCCATTGTAACAGAATCAACAGTCAAAATAGAATAGTCTTGTTCAAAATTTCTTTACATTTTACTGCTTATGTAATCTGTACAATGACAAACTCGAATTTTGTCCTGATGTTTTTTTTTGGAATAAATGTCGCTAGTCTTACAAATACCGAGAACAAGGAAATAAAAACACTGACAAATTAGTTTTATTTTACTCAGACTAAAGTAATCTAATATTGATATTATCCAATGGATTGATCATTTGTCTATGACAATAATAACTATCTTACTCGACAAATTGATATGATTTCTTTTTGTTGCATACAAAGTAAAATCTATCTTATTTTCTTCTTGTTTCTGAATTACGCAGTACAATGATAACATCAATCAATTAAATTTGATATGTCTCTATGCAAAAGAAGTGAAAAATGATCGTTTCATGGATACCTATTAGAAACGAATTCATGCATAGAAAAAAAATGTTTTGTTTTTAATTAACAATTATATTCTTTTTACAAAAAAGACACGGTCCACTTGCTGTTGTTGTATTCATTCGTTCATCAACAACAATATCTAAAACATCACAACCACCTCTTTGTGGAACTTTTTTTCTTAACCAACTTTTCCAACATTTTTCATGATATTGTTTAAAACAATTTGTTGTTTCACAATAAATAATTGCTCCATTCATGTCAATTGTTGATTCATAACATATTCCACATTCTTGTTGTTGATCATCTTTAGTTTGAGATTTTGATTTAAAAAAAATATTGCTTGGAAATGTTATATCGAGCATATGTTCAAGGTTTAATATTATATTTGAATGTGCTTCATTCCAATGATTACGATTTTGTTCAAGATGTTCATCAAATGATCGAACAAGCATTGGTGGGCCATGAAAAGTGATTGACGGAAATGCACATGGATTATATGGATCAATCTAGAATTTTAATTTCGTTTGAGTTTTACGAGGAGATCTTCCAAAGTGATTCAGAGCTTTTGTCATAATATTTTTCGCATTAATAGGATTCAGTGCATTTAGGAAAAAGTCTAAAGAATAATCTTGGATAAGAGCTTTCTTCTCAAGTTATGAATTTCGATCTGACATTGTCGTCACACTTAGAACTCATGACTGTTATAGCGACCTAAATGTTTCAATCAAAACGAATGCTTCTTTTTGAAGGTATTCAATCGTCAAATAACACTCAGAGTATCACATGTGATGAAAATCGACTTTTCTTTAAAATTCACGATGCTAAGAAAGAAGCATTTGGTTCGATTATGACAGTTGAGTCGCTAGCCAAACAGACAAACTTTTTCAAAAACGCGTTTAAACGCATGAAAAAGTGTTTTAAAAATAAAAAAAGTAGACGTTTTTGTGCGTTTACACGTGTTTTCAGCCAAAAAACGATTGTAGAAACGTATAAACGCGTAAAAAAAGAACATAAAAACTAGTGGTCTTTTTCATAATCGTAAACTGTCATTGTAATCATGATTGCGATTAACGATTATGAAAAAGACCACTAGTTTTTATGTTCTTTTTTTATGCGTTTATACGCTTCTACAATTGTTTCTTGGCTGAAAATGCGTGTAAACGCACAAAAACGGCAAAAAATAGGTGTTTTTCGCTCACAGTCGGGAACCGCGATTGTGAGCGAAAAACGTCCACTTTTTTTATTTTTAAAACACTTTTTCATGCGTTTAAACGCGTTTTTGAAAAAGTTTGTCTGCTTGGGTAGAGCAGCCCTGGGATGTAAATGTGGAGAAATTTTCAGATCGAAATTCTGTATTTTGAGTTTTTTGTTAAAAATCTCTTATTATGAATGAAAAACCTAGTAAAATGCTCATCACTCGAGAAGAAAGATTTTATCCACCAATATCATTTTAGACTTTTTTTCTAGTCTCACTGAATTTCACTTATCGAGAAAGTATCAACACAAAACTTCTGAATCACTTGAGATCGTTCACCCAAAAGAGTTAAATGTCGAACCTGAATTTGAACATGTACATTATCATTAATTTTTAGTCTTCTTGTTGTTGAAGCATATGAAATAGGTTTTTCATCTAATACAATAGCATCTCGTTCTAATTCAGTTAATTGAGCCCAAAATGATTGTAAACTATCAACAACTGAATGGAAATTATTTATTATTTCAATAAGACGACTCGTTTTTGAACACCATATTTCAATATTAAATTCAACTGGAAGATTGGTACGACAACGTGGTCGTTCATTTGGCCATCGTTGTGGTATATCAATATATAAATCATGTAAACGATCTCCTAAATCAATATATGTATGATGAAGTGTAAGAATTGAACCATCCGATGATGAAGAAAGTCGTATTAATGACCAACTAATTTCTTCAATATGAGCAAGAAGAAGAAGAAATGATTGAGCATCATGTACAAATTGAGTAAAATTTGATGATGATGGACAACTATCAAAAACGCTTGTATTCGATGAAGAAAAACTAGATAGAAGTGAATTCATATCTAAATCAAAAGACAATAATAGTTATAATATAATTAAATGAACAATGTTATGAATAATTATTTGAATTTCAAACAATTATTTCTGTTGTGAACATCTTCTCTAGTTTGTCGTTCAAATGATTTTCTTTATTGAAATATCTATGTCGAGTTGATTACAGATAACAGAGAGAAAACATATGATATATCCCTTGCTAAATAATTTTCTAAAATTTGATACTTCTATGATTTCAAGCTGAAAATTACTTAAGATTAAAGTTAAAATGAATCTTTTGATGTTTTTTTAATTCTAAAAAGTCTTTAAAATTATCAGAAAGTAGAATACAAAAGAATTCCAGACACTTTTTTTTTCATCAATCATATTTCGTAATTCGAAATTGATTTGTGCAGCACATATAGATGTTTAGATTTAAATAATATACATCATTGGTTTTTCACACATCAGTTCGCAGTTAACCTTTTGAAATAACATTAACCATGTAAGAATATTTTCTCTAATATGAATATTAGTTTTGTGCAAATTAGAGCAACAATAATATATTCTTGAATCATATTTGATCATTCAGAAGTTTTCTATTAACTTAATGAATATTAGACAAGATTATTTTTTGATATCTAATGTATTTTTTTTTGAAAACAACAAAAAAAAGCAAAACATTGACAAATTCTACTTTTTATCATAAATTCCTGGTATATCAACAAGAAATTTCTTTGCTTTAAATTTTCTTTTAAAAACTTTGTTATGTATGGGTGGTTGTCTCCAATATTCTAAATTTTGTACTCGATCTTGTAAACGTAAAAATGGATCTTTTTCATATTGTTCATGTGTAAATACATTATGTACTTTTCCATGTCGAAGCATATTTTGTTGAATAAATGTTGGCGGTACTAATGGTTGAACATTTTCACCTGGCATATATGGATTTTCTTTTTGTTTAACTTCATCACCACGTACAGTTGAATGAACAAAACCATCTGTACGACGATAAGTAACATTCGAATCGCTAAAAGTTTCTTCACCAAATGATGTTTGAGTACGATGAGGTTGAAGACGACGATATTGATGGGTGTTTTTACCTAACGGGAAATAACCTTCTTTATTATTAAGTTCCCATTCAGTTTCTAATTGATCTAAATTAACTATTGAATCTGTTGTGTTTTGAACATTTGATTGCATTTGTTGATTGTTATTATCAATTGATCCGATTGTTTCATCAGATTGTGGTCCGATTTCTGGATATTTTTGTTCAGCACCTAAAAATGTAAATATTCGAAGTATAAGCACATAAGTATCTTTTTTTGCTTGATTAAATAAACACAAACAAAAAAATCCGTTATTTTCGTTTTACCTAGTTTAAATATAATTGGATGTCCATGTTGTTGTAAATGTTCTAATGTTAATCGAAACAATTTTGAATGTGATATAGGATTTTTTTGTTTAGATTTTAATTTAAAATATTCATCAATAAATACTTGTGACCGAGATTTTCTATTATTATTTTTTAATTTAATTATTTCTCCATCTTCAACATCTTCATAATAAGCATGTCTTATTATATCTTCATCATATAATAATTTAGGTGGTTCGTATGCTTTTGGTATATCACCTTCAGTTAATGATAAATAACGTGGTTCACGTATTGGTGGAAAACGTTTATATATTGAATACCAAATAGGTATATCTGTTGATTTTAAATGTCCACCTTCAATCATACCTGATAGACGAGAAAAAATTGAGCCGATTTTCCAAAGACGACTCATGATGAAAAATAATCTATAATGATCGAATTTAAAAGAAACCCTAGAAATATAATAAAAACGATGAGCATTTGTCAATAACAACGACAATAATGTTTTTTCACACGCATATTTCTTCTTTTTTTTTTTTTTTTACAAACATATTTCTTTACTCAGCGACAAGCTTTTTTTATTCATTTTTACCTTTTTTCTTTCGATTATTAAATCGACTATGTACTTCGTCTTTTCATCTATTATTATAGTCAAGCTAAGAGAAACTATGCTGTTGTTTGGTTAAATGTAAATGTATTAAACGGATGCGAATGAAAACATACGAATAAAATTTTAACGACGATTATTACAAAGAGAATGACTGCTGCTGCTACAGATGTCTTCGTCAGTTCATCCTCTATGTAAGTTATGCAAATAATTTTTGTTTTGTTTTGACAACTTAATAGAAGAATAAACTTTTTCTATTAATTTACGGTCGATACAAATTATCAGAGCTAATTAAACAGTGCTTGTAGTGTTTGACAATGACTGTTGCGAAGAAAAGAGACCTTAATTTTTAGAAAAGTATCATCAAAATTTCTTAGTATAAATCTTGCGTTTGAAAAATTTTCAGATACATTAAGTGAATTTCTGATTAAGTCAGAAATAACGAGTAAAAACTTTGAATTTATTTAAGGACGAATTTTGTTTTCGTCTTAAATCAAAACTATTTTTACGTAGTTCGATATTTCTGACATACTTCTACAACACTTAACAGACACATTTCTCCCATGAAGAAAAAATATTGATTCCATTAATTGATCATAAAACCTCTGAAAGAACGAAAGAAAGAAAAAAAGTTCGATAGAATCATTGAGATTTACTGTTATACATTAACAAATCAAAAGAAAAAACACATTCAATAGCCTGAATAAAAAAAATTGTTTTTTTTTCATAAATATTGTTTCGTGTTTTTTTTCAAGTACTGGCAATTTCTTCTTCGAGATAACGTTCGACTTCTTGCAATAAAGATTTAACAATAGGTTGTAAATATTTTTCAACTACAAGGTAATCAGCTTCAGCTAAAATTGGTTCTCGTTCAAGTTCGTCACGCATATGTTCACGTAAAAGAAGACGTAATGCTTTTTCTGAACCAGAAAAATGATTTGCATATTTTCTTTGAAATAAATCCCAACGATTTTTTTCTTGTCGTTGAATTTCTTGTTCAATATCATCAAACATTTTTGATTTAAATATTTGTTCTCTTTTCCATAATTCATTTAACATTGCTAATGAACGATTTAAAAAATCTATATGTTTGACTTGATCATTATGAGATGAATCAATAACTAAATAACGATGACCGCATGCTTCAAGTAATGCTTGTTGTTTACATTCTTTATTTATCCAATCATCAACAGATATACCTTTTCTTTCAAGACGATCAATAAATGAAAAAACAACTATTGATTGATTTAAGGCTTCGGCACCTATAACAGAATTAAGATTATAGTCAAAGTTAACAGCACATAATAATAAGTTCAATTTTTAAAGATTAGGAAGCAGTTCAGTTAGTATAGTTTGATAAAGAAATCTAGTCAATAGATGAAATGATGGTAAGATACTAAGTTGTCTGAAAAGTTCGTACAACTGATTCGGTTCTGTTTTCATGGATTATTTCACTTACACCATCGTGTAAAGAGTGTATTTTTTTCTAGGATTCACTCTGAACTATTGTGATTCACTTCATTATTTCTAGGCGAAGAAATAATTTTCACTATCGTGTCTGAGAATGATTCAGATATGTTAATGGAAGAGATTCGTCATGGATATTTGTCAATTTCTCTCCATCATTCAACCATTTTTATATGAAAATCTTCATGAGTGCTCGATTTTCGACATATCTGAATCATACTCCAACATGGTAGTGAAAATATTTTATTCGTCTACAGAAAATGAAGTGATCGAAGCAGACCAGACTGATTTCTGGTAAAAGTGTACGTTTTACACCATAGTGTAGGTGAAACGATCCATGAATACAGTACTAGATTAGTTGCACGAACTTTCCGGACAACCTAATATGTTTTAAAATTTCGATACAACCAATTTGATCTTTTGTCATAAATAAGAATGCAGTTAATTGTTTTTTTTTCTGCATTCTTTGCATCGATTTGAACTAGAGTATACTAATGATTTTTTTCTGCAGTAAAAAAAAGAAACAAACTAACATTGCCTTCTAACAATCCGAATTTAAAGTCAGTGATGATGATTAGTAAAAGAAGACTATTAATAGTTCGTCTGAATATATATAACAGTACTCGATTTAATAATGATGAAATCGATCGAAACATTCTGATTGTTTATTGGAACAAAGAAAAGAATTTTCTTCATTTATTTATTGATTCTTATTAAGTCTTTTGTTTACCGTAAAATCTCCAGTGCATCTACTTGACTAATATTGTGATTTACTGTATAACATTTAAGAAATGTTTGCCAGTAATATATAGTAGCCCAAAAACTCATTTAACTAAACAAAATATTGAGTACTGTTACTATAATTAAGTCGAACTGTGCTTTGAAGTCTCGGTTTAGACATCAATAATGAATGGTAATCGTTGATGAGTTATAGAAAATTTATTTATTCGTCTGACTAAAACTAAACGATAGATCATTTTTTTTTAATTATTTCTTCGTAGTTTTGTTGTTTGATCTCAGTCTATATATCTGATACTTACATCATACTATTTCGTACTTTCAGAAACTTTCGACTATAAATAACGAGAAATTGTTGAGAATAGTTATCTCATATCCAATAGCTTGTTCACAATTACTGTTCGTTATGAAGTACAACGATAAAATTCCATAACAGCGTTCGTTTTTTTTTCATCATTTTACTGATGACTATGGATTTGGAAAGATGTCTTATCACTGATGAAAACTGATCGACACATTAAATGAAAATATTCAAATTTTTGGTTCTCAGTAAAACGACTTTCGAATCATCTTGTACAAAGGTTAGATTCATAATAAATACAGTATTCTATATTACTTCTTATGTTATTCATTGGAATACTTTTCAACAAAAAAGATATGGAGAATGAATGGATGAAAAATAATTTTAATAGTATTTAATTATATATATATATATAGGAATGTTTTTGATTATCTCTAATGAAAATATTTCTTCGCTACTGTTCATCTGTCTTACCCTTAAAAAAAAGATGATGATGTATTTTTTTTAAAATAATTCAGATTAATTAACTATATTCTGACAAGTTTTGTCAGAAATTAATTGTTTTATTTTGTATTTAAAAGTCATTAAGAGTTCTAGTAATCTTAATAGAATATTTTTCTATCAAAAGAAAATAAAAAATTAATGAAATTCATTCTCTTACCAAATACAGTAGTTACAATTTGTTTCATATCAAATCGTTCATTCTTTGCATCATCACAACTAAGTATAAGAAAAATTGCATGTGGACCAGGACTAACAAGTGCAACACATTTGGCAAGTCTTCTCATGTCTTGTTCATTTGATGTTGCATCTTTTAATATGAATAATGGCTAAAAGAGAAATTTTACTAATATTTTCTTCGTTTTTTTTTTGAGCTTAAAAAGCATACAGGAGCATCAACAACTAATAAATGTTTGCCAGTAAGAATATTTTTATTAGTAAAATGTCTCGATTGTGTTGTTGGTGTCGCAGATTCAACTGAACTTGACGCACCAACAGGAAAAACATTGTGACCAGCAAGAATATTTGCAATAGATGATTGTCCAGTTTTTGGTGGACCGATGAGAAGTAAACGAATTTCTTCTGTAGCAGGTTGTATAGAGTTTTCAGAGGCCATTTTAAAGCAGTAATAAACAGCACACGCTAAGGATGATGAAGGAGTAAAAAAAAAGAAACATTAAGTGAATAGAACAGAATAGACTTGTCAAGTTAGTTTTGATTGGATTATTTTTTATTCAAACAGAAATTAGCATTAGAACTCTCATTATATAAATTAGAAAATATGATTAGACAAGCATATACATCATAATTGCTCATTATTATTCAATAAAGAACACAAGAATTTTTTTTCTAATTACACTAGAGTTTATCGCCATCTGTAGGAGCAATTTGTATTTCTAGATCAATTTCAGTATTAAAAAAAAACTCGCTTGAACTAAAAAGTCTAAAAATAATCGAAATATACGAATTCACTTCTTTTACAAGCATTTATAATGTATTGAATAAGAATTAGAACTAGTTATTTTCTTTAAACGAAAGCAAAGCATCATGCAAAAAATTGAAAATAATAAAACAACTGACTTGTATCAAAAAAGTTATTTTTACTTGAGTAGCTTGTCAATTTTTAAGAGCTCGTTTATTATTATTTTTACATACGTATGTAAAAAATTCCAATCATATCTTTAATATTTACTCATATCATATTTTTAATATTTAAATTTAGTTAACAGAAGAAAAAGGCATATTTTTTTCTTAGAGCATCAATTACTTTTGGAATATTTTTTTTCTTTTTATCGTTCATTATTGATACTTGATTATAAGCATATGTGAGTCCTTTTTTTCTCTCATTTTCTCTCTGTTGAACAAGTGTTAGAAATATTTCTCTAAATAGAGTAAGATGCAGTGACTACTCAATTAAAGTGCCTGACGACGAACATTTTTTAACGAAAAATAAGGTGAAGCAACAACAAGGCTTTTTCTTTTATAATGGTTTAATCACTTAAGCAAACAAACATCAATTAGAGTGAAAGTGTGTGTGTAGACACGAACGATTTTCGTAACATTGTATTATAGCTGAATTCAAAAAGAAATTCGATTGAGAATTTAAAATGCAACAAATGATCTCTCCAAGTGATAGTACTTTTTTTCAATGGACTACTCAAGTTCCTATATCTTTTACCGAATGGAAATATATTCTATCGAAATTAAAAACCAACGAAAATTCAAAGTGTTTAAACATCTTATCTTAAATTATCATTATTCTTTTATTTATTTCAATAGACTATCATCACCTGATCCTCATTGTCGAACCACACCACAAATAAATAAACAAGAACGACAATCATTACCACGAAATCAAGTTTTTGGTGGCACAATTGTTGATTCTTTTCTTGCTTCATCATCAACTATAGCTCAATCATCAATCGATATTTCACGACCAGGTATATAAACGAAAAACAAAGAAAAAAAAAAAGAAACTCATCCTACAATGTCACATATTTATTCATACAGATGTACCAAAGCTACTTGCATCACCAACAAAACGTTATGTTTCTTCATTTAAAACACTCATTAGTTCCACAAATAGCAAACAAACACAACGATTAAGTCATTTCAATGATAATGTTATGATTCTTAAATTAGCTAAAGAACGTAAGCAAATAGATATTCATTATTATTACGATATCATTATTGAAAAAATAGATACAAATAATGGTTCTATTACTGGTACACCATTATCAAGTAAACATTCAACTTTATCAATGGCAACAACAGCAACAATTATGTCTACTAAATCACAGCATAATTTTTCTCCATCAAAGTTAAGTCCAATATTAAAAGTAGAAGGACAAAGTAAGTTTAGATTGAATAAAGAATTGATCCATTTCTATATTTAATTTTGACTTTTTCTTTTTAATTTATTTATTTTGTTTTTGGCGCTTTTCATCTATACAGTTTGTTTAAATCTGTAGTATATGAATTTACAAGAGAAGAAGAAACAGAACAAAAACTGTGTTGAGTGGTAGTGGTGAAAAAAAGAGAATGATTTGACGCGAACCAACCGAATGCAAACGAGTAAGAAGAGAATTGACAACATCAAATGTTAAAAAATAAAACATGCGTAAGGTAGTGAGGAGTCAGACAAAAGCAACAAAATCTTTCTCTCTTTTTCTTTCTTATTCCAGTATTGATTGTAAATTGTATACGCATGTGCATTGTTTATTATTATAGAACGTCGTATTGCAAATCATGATTCTTCAGTAATTGTTTCATCCACGTCTGACATACCCGCTGATTCCAGTCCAACAAATCAAATGGCGATGAGTACAAGTGGTCATCCTCAAACGAATTCATCTGTATTCAGTTATCGAAGTGCAGCAGCAGGTGGAAATACTATTCGACAAAGAACAATAGCTGAAACAACATCAAATAGTTTATTACTAACAACTGATAGACTTAAATCAAATATGTCTTCATCAATACGACCAACACGACAATTACTGCCAACAACAACAACATTATCATCTACATATATATCATCTCAACAAATGCAACGAAATAATAATCAAAATATAAAATCACGCATACATCAAGAGAAATTACTGAATTCTAGAGGTAGTCTTCAAAGCAAATTTTTTAAAAATAATTTTATTAATTTGTTCTTAGAAATTTATGAATATCCTGATCCATTTACTAATTGTCCTCAAGATGTATTAAATAAATTATCACAACTTACTAAACTTCAATTAGAAACAATTGAATGGGAAAAGAAAAAACGATTTACAAAGAAAAAACCAATAACAACAAATTGTGCTGTTCAAGGAAAAGATAGTCCATAATGATTACTTGTAAAAATTTCTTTTCCTACATTTAGTTTTTCTTTTATTTGTCTCATGAAGAATGTTATGTTTGTATGTGTCACTTCAATCAAAGATTTTTTTTCTAGTTTTCTTGCCAATTCAAAACAAACAACAACATTATTTTGTGTTTAAAAATACATCAATGAATGACAGAAAAAAATCTTTGATAGAAATTTTTCAATATTTTTTTTTGTAGAAAAATAATAATTTCGTACGTATTCTCTCGAATTAATTCTTATATACTTTGAAAAAATTACCATAAATATTTTTAAGAAGTATTGATTTACCTTAGACTGTAAGAATCTGGTCTAGTAACGAAAATTCACTTATGCACATATAACATGCGAAAGTTAAAATAGCCATCGAGTAGTTACAGTTCAAAAGATCATGTGGTAATTATGTACCAAATGATTATCGAGTAATTATGATATACAACGAATAGTCTGGTAACTATGGTTGGAACGATTGCAAAATAGATTATCTGGCCACTGCGACTTGAAATCAACTGATTATAATACGTTAGGCAAATAAGAAGCATTTGTTAAATTATTTAGTGGCAAAGAAATTAGTATGTGATTGATCAATAAGTTAAGGTTTGATAAGTGAGTTTGAATATATATAATTATGATAAATAATAAAAAATCGTGTTTTTTAAATAATGTGATGCTACATATTTTGAGTATAAACAACATTAATATAAGCTAATCGTAAAAAATTGTGTTTTTATCGACAATATCAATTTTTCAATTCATAATATTCAAACTTCAAGCGTCATATCTATAAATAGATGCAATACTATTTATTCTAATTGTACTACGCAATTTAATATAAATAGATAGGAGATAAAAAAAATTGATTCCTGAAACTCAATTATTATTATAAATTTTGCAAATATACTTTAGTCATGTGGCATTAGAGAACAAAGCGCATATTAATGACAACAGATATAGAATCAAAAAATTCAGGAACTTTCTCTAAAAAAAATAACAACCTTACTCGACGTATTAATTAGATTCGATTAAAACGCCTTCATTGTATATCAACAAGAAAGGAAATATTATGTTACAGAAAAAAATTGCTTTTATATATCTTGTAAACTCTAGAAATTTGACTTTTACGACCGATTAGTATATACTTATTATGTTATTATTTTTATTTCTCTATTACTTACCTAATTGCATAGTTATATTTACGTACAACTAGATATGTATTTCTATGCCGTCGTCTACAGAAAAGTTTTTCAATAAAACCTCAGTCAACGGCGGTTAATTGCGGTATCAGGTATCGCGGTTAGTGATGGTTTGTTTTTTCAAATTTTCCAAGGACAGTCGAGAATCAAATAAATTGACCGTTGATGAACGTTGCTTGTTATGAAATGTTTTGAATATCATCATTCTACGAGAATATTTTGTTTTGAAATGACGAAAAAAGAATTAATTATATATGTTGAACGTTTAACTAATTCTATGAATATTCTCAACCTACAGAAGCCATACATTTTACCTTGAACTTTAAACACATAATAGAGTTTATGTTCTCTTTTTTAATTATGTTTCATATTTCAATAGTTCGGTTGCATAATGGCACACTGCTATTTTGAGACAGTTTTTTATTGGAAGTCGCTTTTTTTGCTATTGACTTTCTAATAGATAAGGAAATGGGCCACAAGGTTTTTTATTTAATTATATCATATGAATGACAAAAGTCGAGATTGACTGTTCTATCTTTCAGCTCAACAGTGCTACCAATCAAAATAATCGTACAGATTTAAGAAAAACTGATGAACACTGAATAGTTAAGTCAATAGAAAAGACTGTGCTTGAGTTTTAAAACATGGCTTTTAGCATAATGTTGCGTAAGAAAAGAAATCATATAACTTTCAGAGCTATTCACGTGAAAAGTACGTTTGAAAAACTTTAGTAAACGAGATCACTAGCATTGTATGTCATATTTTTTCTTGACTTGAATTGGTTTCGTTGATATGGTTACTAGAATAATTTTTTTACATTTTTTGAGTAGAAACCAACAGTTTTCGAGGAGTTATATTTAGTACGAGTGCTCTTGCTTTTCAAATGCTTCGTGCGACTTTGTTTTTAATGATTTTGATGTCTGTTACATTTGAAAAGAAATCTACTTCATATAATCTGATGCAACTATTTCAGATACTTTCCAAACATTTGAAATATATTTCAATGAGACTGGAAACTATGACGATAACCAAATTGAATGTCTGACCATTGCTCTACATTGAATTATTCTTATATGATGTGCTCATACCCACTATAATATTTATTAAAAAACGAGAAAGCGAATATAAATATGCGCAAGATTATTATATATTAATTTGTCAAACAACCGATGAAATTATTACGAAAAAATAGTTCGTGGAATATCTTCTGAAGATAATTCATAAACTAAATTTGGTGTGACGATATTTGTTCACGATTTATTCCAATTTGTGGGTTGTGTTGTTAATGCAGCAGTGTGTCTATTGTGATGAACAATTGGCCAATTATGCATCCACGGTCCAGATATTGTTGTATCGAATGGATCATCCAAACGTTGTTCTCGAAGTTCTTCTATTTCATTTTTAATTCTGTCTTGAACGGCAGCTTCTTGTAATTTACTGCGGTTAATCTTTGACCATTGTTCCCAATCCGGTTTGAAATTCTCATCATCTTCTTTAGCCATCAATATGTTGTCTTTCAAACCATAGAAGCCGTTCGGTTCATTAGGCTTTTGCCTAAAACATGCTAATCATTACGATGATTTGTTTATTAATGAAAGCATAAATTCCCTCACCATCTCAAATCTAAACTCCATCTTATATTTGTACTGTAATTTTCCGTTGATCTATGCGGAATTAAATTATTTAAGAATAGTACGGAACCGAAGGGAGTTTCACAAGTGACGACGGTTTGTTCATTCAACGGAATCCCTAATGTTTTTGTCATTTCTTCTTCCGGTAATTCCACATACCAAGTATTTCCACTACAGCAATTATGTTTACATGTCAAACCAGGGCGATGACCACCGCGTAATACTTGCAGACATCCTTCAATTAAATAAATCTATCAAATCATAGAAAACACAATTTATCACACTGCACCATTTTCTTTGTTAGCATCCAATAGTGGAATCCATGCTGTTACTTGAAGAATTTTCCAACATTCCTTATTCAAATCTGAAAAAATAAAATAAATATACATATACATTCACAATGCAGTTTGAATATATTCACAGGCAGTATCTTGATGCCATGGTACAGTTGCTTGTTCTTGATTGGGAATCTGAAATGTCATAGAGGAGAAGACGGAGTACCATTCATATTTAGCAAGTCAAAGAGCTTAATCAATTATATGGAATCCGCAAAAATTCCTAAGTATATTACAATTCATTATAATTTGATTGATTCGACTTACTTTTGGTCTAATATTCCATACGGGATGACCGGCTATGTTTGGTCCAAGCAATTGTTTAGCAACACTTAATAGCGGCTGACTCGACCATAATGACGCAATTTCGCATGGTAATATACCACGCTTATGCATTAGAACCGAAGCACTTGGAAATTGTGCTTCAATTGCCGTTAAACGTTGATAGAAATTTGTATTTTCATGTAAATCATGGATTTTGTCCTAACATATCGAGCAAAATTTGATATTTGTTTATCTCTTAGAAGAAAGAGTTTTTACTGCTCTGAAAAGGTCTTGTGCCACTTCATCAACGACTTTTTCTATACCGTGAATAGTTGATTCTAATAGGTCGTGTGTCAATAAATCATGTTTGATTACAAAACCATCTTCGAAAAATTGACGAAACTCATCTTTGGTCAGCGGTCCAGGTGTATATTCACGTTGCCATGAAGCTATTTCTATCGATAATGGTGGATAAACAAAAGAATTAGAGCTAGTATTAGCCATTGGTTTTTATCTAAAAACAATTAGTTTATCGTCAGTCCAGTAAATTCAATTCGAAGTATCATTCAAGAATGAATTTTTCAGAATGTCATTATTGTACAATACACAAAACAAGAATTATCTTCTTTTAGATTACCGAACAATCTATCATTTAACATCTTTATTTCCTGTTTACTTCTATCTGAGCGTTTTTGGGAGTCAAGTCTGTCAGAAAATATTTCTGAAACAATATTTACAAATGAAAAAATGATTTGCGCACGTCGACGCTCTACGTCAGTGACTGAAGTATTATTTTATTTTTCACTTTCTCTCTCTATGTTACGATAACGAAAAATTACTCTTATCATTTCGATGAGTCGAACAACATGTGATACCGTCATCCTGTAAGATAGTTTATAACGACACTTCAATACAACAGTCGTCCATTAGGGACATCTGTATTTAACATTTTTCAAACGTTTTGTTTGAATGTTTTCCAGGCCAAGAAATACAAGCTGATTCTAGACCGGAAAGTCTCTGGGATTTTCAGGTGACTTCCGGTCAGCTGTCTCTTCTTGTCAACGAAAAATGGCTGGAAATCATCGAAAATATTGGAGAGTTATCAGTTCGAAATATTACTTCCAAGTTCCTTCGATTTCTAATGTTTTTCTGCTTGGTACAATGGTTTCTTCTGCATTTTCCCGACCGGTGTCAGTGAAATCAGATTGTTTCCGTAGCCCAGTTTGTTTGACATTTTTATCATTGAATAGTTTCACTTTTGATATTTGTTGGATGAATAAACAGGTCAAATTCTATTGTGAACACTACTGAAACACTTGTGTAGGACTACGGAGAGAGAAAAAAATCAAAAACCAAAAATATTTCTTGTTAGATATATGTTTCTCTTTCTTTCTACCAACAACACTGTTCAATAAATATCTATCAATGACAACAAATGAGATACATAATTATATAGAACTCTTTTTCGTTTGCAAAATGACAATTATCGAACTCATCGATTCGCACAAAATAATCACTATTTCATTGGAATCTCTTACAAAGATTCTAAATGACCATGTATAATCAGCATAACAATTGATGGCGCTATGCGTTTCGAATGAGAGTGAGGATGTGAATAAATAGAATAGAACCAATTCAGAATGATTTTATTGATAATCTTCTTTTATTTTCAAAGTTCGTCTAAGACTTTACAATTCAAAAACATTTAATTTTTTAAAATAAAAACCGCTAAACGTTAACTATAGGCTTGCCTTCTCCAATTCGAGATTATAAGGCTCTAGCAATGCATTGAACATTGTAGATTTTTCTGAATAGAGTGGAAAATAATCGAAGGGTAATATGAGTGCATGCATACTTCTCGATAGTTTCTCAAGATGAAGGAGAGAACAACATTTTTGAAGCAAGTACCACTGAAAACCATAGGTTGTCGTTGGAATGACACTCCTTTATGCATTATTTTCTTTATCGATTAATATATACGTTCACAACATTGTTTACCAAAACAACCTATATAGCTGTTCTGAAACGGGTCATAGTCGCTCTCTTCATCTTCGTTATATCAATTGCCATATCTGACATTGAGTGCTTCTTTTGGCAATGATCTTTTCTGTTATTCAAAAGAATCGACTTGTCACAGGGTGGACAATTAATGATGCAACTAACAATAGAAACTGATTTAGAAAACATAATAGAGAAATCTAAAATTATGAGCAAGTACAGTATCGTGCTTTACGTCTGAAAAGGTTTTCCATAGAGGCTTAAGACTCCTGAAAAAAAGTCAACTTTTGTCAAAATTATCGAAATTAAGATAAATTCATGGGAGGATAGTTCGAGATCTGATCTTTTATAAATAACATGATTTTTTATTTGGCACATCCTTTTTTTTTCGAAATCTGTTGATGATTTCTATCATCATCTGCTTGAAAAATATGCTATTGTCAGAAAAATTAGGAAAATTTTTTCGTTTTCTATTTGTTTATGCTTTTTTGATCATGCATCCCACAATTCTCAAAGAAGTTTCATTGTCGTCAATTGCCTTTTTTTTATTTTCAAAAGCATGTCAAGATGCTAGGCGAGAGAGAATCCTTTTGCTAAATTAAGCCTTGTTATTATTACATGCTTTTCTTCTCTTAAAAGTAAAAACTAAAAAAAAGAGCAACTGTGTCATGCTCTACATCCTGACATGCTCTTTCAAACCAAAAAAGTGTATAGAATGCATACAATGAAATATTTGATTTCAATCTGAATTTAGAACAAAAACACCACTTAGTTTGAAATAGAAATGAATGACTAGGGGAGTTTCAGAATTATTCAAACGAATGTATATGTGTACGCCCACTGTTTTGGATGCGGTCATGCACATGTATAAATATATAATTAATGCTATAGATGCCATAGAATCCCAAGTCTGTCCAACCAAAAAAAACGGAGTTTTATAGATATTATGTATATGAGTCGAAGTATTCTTTCTATACGTCCACAACATATAGAAAAAGGCATGATATAGTAATTACTTCTGTTGGTATCATATATTTTGGCAATACCTCGAGTATCTCTTATTCAATGTCATCGTTATCTAGTCAGCAATGGATACTATTTTCATTTTCATTGCATAGTCCTAATCTTCTAATTCTATCACAATTTACTTTTTTCCCCATCGAAGCGAACTTGAATTTAAATAACACTTATTTCCTAAATTCTTTCAAACAAATAGATTTACATAAACGATCAAACAGCGATCGCCTTTTTTAAACTTTTGTAGTTTGTTTTACATTTCTCATCTATTATAAAGAGAAAATATAGGAATTCTGGAGAACAGAAATAGAAATACTGATGCATTATTTTATTACATCTATAAATGGTTTCATTATTCCTTTATCAGTCTTCCTCTGGATGAGTTTATTTTGTTACCAGTGAAAGATAATTTATATATGATACGGATGTTTTAGTTTCTTAGCTTCATGTTTTTTGCCTGGAAGACAATAATTTATGATCCAAGTGTCTTTCTTCTGCTTGATATAGTCATTTTTATCACCGGTCAATAATTTGTCGAACTATCGGATTACTTGTTCGAAAGACAATAGTCAACAACTTCATAGAGAATTAAATTCTCTATCACAATGACTTCATTGCGGAGCATTAAACCAATGTTGAGTTTTTGAAAGACCTTAAACAAAAAATAGATCATTGACTGACTATGCTTCACCTATTAAATCTAAAAACTCAAGGAATTCTTTTATCAAAAAAATTAAGTTAAATCATTTACTACCTATGACAAAGTTTAATTAGCTTTCAAATCATAAGGTCACAGATCGGTGAGCCAGAATCCTGACCCTGCTGGCAGTATTTTCTCGGATTGAATTATATGAATTTGTAACCATCCTCGAGACAAGAAAAGACTACAACTTAATTCAACTAATTATGCTGAAGATAGTGCTAAAAGTAGAAAAAAAAATCCGAAGCTGATTGTAGGTGAAGTGCTTCTCTAACGAAAATAAATTGCAGAGGCATTGCCAACATTAAAATTGGTTTAGTAAAAAATAAAATAAAATATTATTATCTTGTAAAAACACGTTGTTATTCACATGTGGATATGCTACATCAGATCTTAAACGTTTTCTCCGTATTTGATCTGGTTTTACAAAAGAATGAAAAGTTACCGTCGGTATACCGCTACTATACCGATGGTTTTCTTTTTAGTAGGACGGTATAGTGGTAGTAGTTCAGGCAAACGTATAGGATAAGTTGCCAGACAGGAGCTGCATGAAAATTTTTACAGAATAGTGAAATGATTTATACTCATAAGAATCACTCTAACATTAGTGGTCATCGCGAATTTTCGAAGAAAATGAAAAATAGTACTAATACTTGGAAACGTAAGAAAGATACAAGTATCAATACTTTCGTTCGATCTTTGTTGAAGAATCAATGATTTCATATATTTCATTTAAATTCTAAAGAAACAAACGTAAGAATAAGAAGTCAAATCATTCATGAAAAAGAGTTAAATTCATATATACCTGATAGTTTCGCTCTAATACATATTTACGACTTCGTTTTTTGTATTTTGATTCTTAAGACGTACAGAACTCGATACAAGCATGTCATTTTTTTTCTTTTTCACTTTTTTTTTCTTGATTTGACCACTATTACTATTCATATTCAGAAATAAGCATAAAAAGAAGAGAAACATATTAATATTTTCTTGTTTATTGCTCGTATGCCAGTCCAAAACAGTGTATATAAATACATATACCATTCACTTGGCAAAACATTCTTAAATAACTGAACAGATAACAGTGAGAATATTCGTCTATATGAATTACTATAGATACATAAATTTTATCGGAGAGATACGAACTTAGTGCCATAACAAGAAATGTTGAGCTAGAAATGGTTTTCATCTAGCTAATTTTAAAACATAATCAGAAATCATAAACATTATAATATATAAATATTGGATGTACGCATATGCATATGATAATTGAATTTATTCCAAGACTTATAGTACATTATTGACCATTGAACAATTATTTCATCAGGACTTATTATTATTCAATGTTAGAGCTTTCAATTCGACAGAAATAATTTTTATTTTGTTGACTGAAATGTTATTATTCTCAAATTATGAAATTGTGTATGACTTGAATAACAACTTATTCGCTAGTTAAATAATAGTGTTTATTCGAGAAACTCTAAAAATTGAATTAAAGAAAAAAGAAAAATTCGAATTTGTTAAAATAAATATTTTCAATCGTTCTTCTTGCATGTCGCTTTTCTAAGAAGAGAAGAATTAAAATTTTTTTCAATTTCTTTTGGTAATCCATTTGCTTAAAACATTTGCCACGTTGAAAACATAATATAATATATTGATTTACTAAGTTATTGATTATTTCAAATCATATCCGTCATAATTGTTCTTTTTCAAGTTTTCATTTGGTCAAATATTTTTATTATATTTAATTCGTATCTGATTACAAATAATATTCAAATTCATCAATATTATGGATTTTAGAATTTCTTGGTTATAATACTTGTGAAAAGCCAATAGATGCAAAATTCTATGAGAATAAAAATTCCTCAGAATCATTGATTTCAATTATATTCTATTTTGAAATCTTCAGCTCGTCTAATAGATGAACATTTAAGGTTATTCAGAGAAGCTCATATGATATTGAAATCCAATTAGATTTTAACATTCTTAAGTAGAATCATTATTATCGGGATTCCTCATTGATGACTGAATGCCGTAATGAATTTCACAAAAATCATTTGTAGAATGTTGACTTTCACGATAAACGAAGAAACTTAAAATAGCTACTAAACTTATGAGGAAACATTTCCAGGTGTCGGAACGCCTTTGACTCGGAATTTCGCCCTTCGTGTAGCCCTTAGTAAGCTGTGTCTATGTTAAAAAAAGTTCGGGCTTCTGTCTTGTCTCAGAGAAGATTGAACGTTTTTAGTGAATTTTCGCTGTATAACCCTACTTTTGGAGTAAGCTCGTATTTTGGAATTCCATCTGAAACTTAATCAACATAAAGACCTCAATTAAACTGGCTTTTAAAAAAAATTTCAGAAATCTCCGACGAGATCTCTCCAACATATGAAGCTTTCAAAAAAGACATGCTGTATATACTATATACGGAAAAGGATCTATACCTTGAAGGTTTCATATCTCGGAGAAACTTAGTTCAAAAGTTCTCAAAAATTTTTATGCAAGCTAGTCTGATTGTGGTCTTTCTGTTGGCTAAAATTTCAGGTCGAAATTCCAAAATATGGTCTTACTCCAAAAGTAGGATCCTACAACGAAAATTCTCTAAAAACGTTCAATCTTCTCTGAAACAAGCCAGAAAGTCGAACTTTTTGTATCATAGATACAGCTTACTAAGAGCTACGCGAGTTGCAAAATCCAGACTCAAAAGCGTTCCAACACTTGGGAATGTTTCCTCGTTAGTCAAATTTGTAACAATAAATAAGCCATTGATTCTTGCATAATTAGATTAATTTTACACTGCTCGTCAAGTATTCATGATGAATTTGCGTTATTAGTATTCGTTCTTTTTGCATTGGCAAGCTAGAACATGTTGACTATATGGTTGAAAAAAAGTAAATATTTCACATTTTCTTTGTTTGATGTTACTGTATAATGATGTCATATTTAAAAAATTTAAATACACTATATTCTTTGGGATAAAGTTGACTATTTTGTGGAGAATTTTACAAGCAATGTTTTGATGAAAAGAATTTTTTTTTTGAATCAAGTTAACAATAGAAAAGAGATCTGGAAAATTCTAATAGTCGGATTCTTTACAGTTTATCCGTTATTTTCTTTTCTCTTGGAACAAATTCTATAAAATTTTTTCTTTCTTGATCTATACTAATTATGTATCTTACTACTTGAATGAAGATTAGTTTTTATCGGAGATAATTTACAAACAAAAGAAAAAAGAGTCATCAAAAGAAGACATGTTATTTCTAGCATAAACTCTGATTCATCTATAACACTCAAAATAAAAGCAATAATTATAAACATTGAAAATTCGGAAGGAATTCCACATCAATGATATAGAGAGAATGCCATTAGACAAAACTTATTCACATGAGAAGACAAATGTCAAAAACTAGGATGTCAAGCTTTTAAAAAAATTAAACTATCTTATATTATTAATAAAAATACTTTTTTTTAAATGTTTAAATAATAAATTTAAAATACACTTCTAAAATCTTGCTTACATATTGTCCATGACACAAAAATAAATCAATATACAATCATCAAACAAAAAACATAGAACAAAAAGACAAGAGATTCACAACAAATAATGAAATATATTTATATAATATAATAAAATGCATGGAGCATTTATATGTGTGTATATATATATATATGGAGAGATATGGCTTTTTTCGTTTTAACCATTTAGAAATCTTTAAATAGTTGCACTTCATATTTTGCTGCTTGTGGTGTTAATTTTATATCAAATTCATCATATGTATCAAAATTTTCTGTGTCACCTTCTGATGTAACTGTAGGTCTTATAGGTGGTTCTAGTTTTAGTTCATATACATCTCTCCATGATATAGCAACAAACCATTGTTCACGTTTTATTTCTTCACCACCATCTTTTGCTGAACCAAGTCGTTGAGCTTGATCTGTATTAAGTAATTTACGAAGTAATTGTTTGGCAGCGTAATCAAAATGACGTGGGAATTCAAGTTTACCAGAAATAATTTTTTGATAGGCTACAAATTGATCAGCATCATAGAATGGTGGATAACCTAAAAATAAGCAGATAAACATTAAAAGAAAAAAAAGATTTTCTTTTTCGTTTTTGATTTATTACCAGCAAGCATTTCATATATGAGAATACCAAATGCCCACCAATCGGATGCTTTATGATGACCACGATTTTGAATAACTTCTAGAAAACATAAAAACAATTGAGAGATAAAAAGAGAACCATATTAATTATATTCAAACCTGGTGCAAGATAATCAACAGTACCACATAATGTAAATGTACGTTCTTTAGTTTCTTTTGCAAAACCAAAATCAACTAGACGTATATGTCCTTGTCTATCCAATAAAATATTTTCCTAGAAAAGAAAAAAACACACAGATGATATTTTTCTAATAAAGAAATATTTCTTACTGGTTTCAAATCTCGATAAAGTATATCTAAATGATGTAGATAATCAAGTCCAAGTAAAACTTCACTTGCATAAAATATAGCTATTTTTGAATCAAATTTTTCTCTTTTACGCATCATTTGAAAAAGTTCACCACCGGGTAAATATTCAAGTAAAAGATAAACTAAACTATTTGTATGTGTTGTCCAATGTAAACGTACAAGAAATGGATGATTAATTTTTGATAATATATCTTTTTCATTTTGGACATGTTCAGTTTGTTTTGATTCAATGATACGTTTTATCGACATTGTTTTAAGTGCATAATATGTATCACTGTCACGATGATAAACAATTTGTACACGACCAAATGTTCCTAAACAAATAAAATTATTAGCAAAATCTAACTTTTCTTGTTTTTATTTTATAAAATTCTTACCAGTACCAATTGTTCGTATAGTATCAAATGATTCTAATGAAAATTGATTATTACTTAAAGTATTTAATGATACTTTATCTACAGGATTTGGTTTTTCTTCAACGGGCTTATTTGAATCTAAATCAACCAGTGAAATGCAAGTATTTCCGGTATATGATGCCCTCGAATGTGATCTTATTAGCGGTACATCATCAAGTCTAGCAGAAGCCATTCTATCTGTTATTAATTCAATACTGTCTGTTGGTGTATTATTATTATTATTATTATTATTATTAGTGGGATTAAGTTTAACAGGTGATGCTATTGGTCCAATGGCACCTTTTTTTGATGACGTTCGACCTGATTTTCGTCGAGGTGTTGGTGTTGTTGATACTATGATTGGAGTTTTTTTATTTAGTGTTACTTTTCTTTGAGAAAGTATTGATGTTGAAGATGATGCAGGAGGTAGACGTTGTTTTAATAAACGTTCTGGTGGTTTTGATGCACTAATGGAACGAACTGATGCCATAGCGAATATTTTACGAGCAAAATAAGTAAGACTAAAATGATTATAACAAAAAAAAAGAACTGTATATTTCTTCTACCAAAAAAGTAATCATATGTGACATGTTACTTAGAACAACATTCTCAAAAAAGAATAAGAATATCAAGATAAAATGGTGTAACAGATTTTTTTATATACAGGCAAAAAAATAAATACTCTTAATGTTAATTATGACTTAGAAAACAATGAAAGTTCTTAGATGAACTCAATATTTTATTGAATACAAAAGAATATGATAAAACCTCTGAAAAGAAAATTTTTACTTATTGTTATTTTTCTATAAGATATTTTCTTTTTATCATTAGTTAAATAACTTACGCTTGTCATTTAAATAAATGCGACTGAAAAGACAGATAAACATCATGCACAACAAGTTTTCTGTGCTCTTTTTTTTTTAACAATCTTCCTCAAACATTCTTAACCAACTAAATATCTTCTGAGCACTTCACCTTCTATTTTTTTTTTCTCTTTTTCTTTCTTATTTCTATCAATATAACGCCCATACACTTTAGTTGGACATATAAAACATTGACGAGAAATGTTTCATTTGTATGTTTATGTAATGAACTCATACGTTAATGCCATTTTTTGGCAAGAATACTGTTTAACAAAATGGAAAGGAAAAGGTTCGTGTCGTTTAAATAGTCGAACACAATAAAATAATATATGAGGAATAATTGAAAGAAAGAAAGAAAAAAGAAATTGAGCTACAATTAGCTTATATATCGAACAGTGTTTTTATGCAGTACTTTGAAAACTATTATTGTTCTGATTGTTATTGTTGTTGTTCGTATTATAAGGAAGTGATGACGTGAGTTAGAAGAACGAGAGAATCAATGAAAGAAAAAGTGCACCCTCACAGAAAAACGTTATATTCTAAAAATAACGAGTAAAAAGTTAAAGAATGAGGAAAATATTACTTATCTACGTTACTTCTATTCACTTGCGCATCATACGCTAAATGATTATTGTCTAGTCAATATTTTTATTTCACTAGAAATCTTATCATACATGTCAACAACTTTTTATTGATTTCAATTATCTATTTATTCTATCTGACAATCTAGTTTAAGATTTATTTTTCATTTTGTCTACTTAATCTAATCCTTAATAAAACTCATTTATCAAATATAAGAAGCTATTGGAACTCATCGCTTGTCTTTCATCTATTAACATAGACATGTCAATGTACATGAAACAGCTTCCGTACCCGCTGTTCATCAATATATTGCTTTTTCTCTCTTTTTTTTTTGAAATCGAGAAGATAAGAAATTCTTGGCAAAAGAAGAAAAAAAAAGAATACTACTTCTGCTATTTACGCAAGTTATATAAGAACTATATGGTTTCTCTATAGAATAATATTGAAAGAAAAAGAATTGAATGCATCAACACCTACATAGGATGTGACAGGTAATATGATCAAATACTAAAGTATTTCAAACATACAATAATCATCATCTGTCTTCATCGCTTTTTTTCTCTCTTATCGAGTTTTTTGTTTATAAAGAAAAAAAAGAGTGAGAAAAGGAAGTCCTTCTTGAAATAGAATCTAACAAAAACAAAAATTCTGTCATCACGAGATGAGATTATTTCCTGAAAAAACTAAACTATTTTTACAACCTATTCTTATTATTTGTACTGCTGTTGCTAGCAACCTAGGTTATGTTTTCTTTTCTAACGAAAAAATTTTCATTATAGATCATGCGACTGATAGTCAGAGGACATGACATTTGTTTTTGTAAATTATTTACCGGTGTATTTATTGGTGAAAAAATTGATCAAGCATAAAGAATGCATCAAACTCATTACACATGATGATGAATCAAGAAACAAAATGAAATAAAAAAAAAAAAACATATATCGACTTGTGAAGGTACAATATTTTATTCATTGTAGGTACTTTGGCTCTGCTCGTGTACTGTAAGGTTATATATACATATCTGTATAGTAAGAGTAAATAACATATTCTATGGTTGAAATATAATGAAAAGAGAACATAGAAAAATTATTTTATTTTCTATTTTAATTATAAAAAAATAAAAATATGGAATCAATCAAAATGAAATTCTTATGAATTATTTTTTTTGAATAATCAAAAGAAAAGTAGAACTTCTTAGAGTATGTGTGAGTTCTATTTGAAATTGAAAGACATTAAAAAAAAAACAAGTAAATAAAGATTTGTTTTTAAACATACGTTGATCTTTTAAATATCCATGCAGCAAAAAAGATAATGATGGTAGCTGCATAGATACTTGATAAAATATCATTAGATCTAGACACGTGTTGAAACGTTGTGGATGATGATGGAGTAGGAGTTTTTTTCATAATTGATACTGAACGATTACCAAGTAACGTTGATGATTTACATTGAAGCAATGGATAGAATGTCTTAGTTTTTTTCTTTCGTAAAGAATAATTAAATTTTTTATCCATTGTATGTGACATGTTTTTGTATAGAACAAATGTCAAGGGACAAGAACTAAAGTCGAGGTATCAAGAATAAATACGATTCTAAGTATAAGGAAAAGAAAATAGGACAAACCGAAGGAAGAAAACAGATCATAAGACAGATCTAGACATATACTATAAGATTTGGAGACCGCGAACTAATCTATGTAAATAAGACTCCTGCAGTTGGTTAGTATTTATTGCAGACTAATACATTGTTTTTCTCATTATCTTAGACAAGAAAAATATTATACTAATTCTTTCAAATCAATCATTTCAAAGTAATTACTTATAAAAATACATGCATTCTGTAGGTAAAAAAAAAATTACAAGAAAAATAAAATAGCATGATCATTATAATTAACTTTTTTTGTTATTGAATGAAATTATTATTATTGACATTGATTGGGATAAATTAATGAGACATGTGTCTTCGACATCAAATTATATATGTAAAGAAGAATCTACAATAAAGATGGATAAAATCTTTTTTTTTTAGGTATTCTATTTATTCTTTTTAAGGAAGAAAATGATGTGTATGGATAGATCTATTTACAGATTTATTAAATAATTATGAAGGCTGAAAAATTTTTGAATATTAATTAGACAGTATTCTTTTTGTCGATCTTTAAAATTAACAACATTTTCATCATTTTTTTTTTAATATATAAATATGTGAAAAAGCTATTCGTGATTGATAATTTTTTTCTACTATGCTAGGAAAAAAATAAAATAAAATAAAACGTGTTAAGTCATATTTTTCAAAGTATATGAAAATCATATGACGATAGAAGTGTTATGTACGAATCATGTGTGTTTAAAATGTTATTAATTTCTGTGTTAGCTATTTCTTAGTGTTATGATAAAAACTGAAAGTAGCAAGATTATAGAGCTTTAATCAATCTTACCTTGTTGCGCAATGTTCTGATACCAATTGTAAGTAAAATTAGAATATATCAATAAGATGTACACGTGGAAAAATATCTAGAAAATGAAACTATTTTACTGTCTTGTAATGTATACATCGATTATAGAAATTAATCGTTTTCATTCTTTTTCTGAACTCTGTATATATACTAATTTCAGCTGAAATGATTAAATAATTTTCGATTATTTTCTACTTTTTTTTTGCTTCGTCTTTTTCATTTACAAGTTTTTGTTTGTTTTTGCGTTCGCTTTTCTCGCCAGTACACTATGCCCTACCAATAACCATTAAACAACTAATCATTATACATGGATGATTAGTTTTGATTAAAAAATTATTAGTAAGTAATATTTTTGCGATGTTGACTGCATGTCAAAGTGCTTTCCTAATGTAAATTATATACATACTGGTCTTATTAAACAAACTTTGCATTTGTTTGCATTATTATACAGTACGAATTAGATATTTTATTTAATCATACACGTAACAAATAAAAGAAAAATATTTCTGAAAACTATGAACAATATGTACTTAATAACATTCAAGATATAAAAATATTCTATTCTTATTTTTTTTTGCTTTTGTATTTTTCATTGGAACTAGTTTAGAATACGACAATTCAAGAAAATAATAGAATAAGAGATGCCGTAGAATATCGGAAGTAATTCGCGCCTTGTAGAAAAAATTTGATCAAAAAAATACAAAAAGAAAAATAAATAATAGATTTTCGTACATTTTGTTAATCATTGAAGTATGTCGATTAGTGTTGTTGTTTGTTTTTACTAATTAATACGATTAATTCATTTCGAATAATGTCGATTCAACGCACAGCTGAATCGGCTTTACATGCACTTCAAGAACTTTATAATGCAATTGATTCATCAAGTCAACAACAAAGTTCAATGTCAGTTAACGATAGCGAAAATCTTGTTCAAGCTCTTTGTAATCTTTCACAACTTATCAATCATATTAATCAGACAGGCATGTGTAGACATACACCTATAATGCATACAAATTTAGATTCAAAACGATTTGGTCAAAAAAGAATAAACACATTCATCGCTCCTCATCTAACTAGCAGTTATGATAAAAATATAATGATGGATTCAGCAACAATTAGACCATCATTACAGCCTGGACAATCTTATGGTGAATGTGTTTTGTATCATCCTATTCGTATAATAACGACTTGTGCTGATGGATCTACTGTATTTCATGAAAATGATTTCGTAAAAAAAGAAGGACAATATCGAAAAGATCATGATCATAGCAAACGTGAGTTGCATGCAGAAGAATAGCTTAGCAAGAAAATACAGAACATAATTCAGTTGATGATTAATGAAATAATAGTGTATTAAAGATATTTTTTCTTTTGTATGATAGAAATTCCACATCATAATCATATGAAGAAAAATCGAAAACGAATGTTGAGAAGTTATGGTCGTCAGTCGACGAGTATCAGTCGAGCTAGTCGATGTATTTGCTTTTAATTTCTCTATTCTTTTGTTTTACGTATATCATAGCTAGTCGTAGTGGATCTAGAGGATCTCGCATGTCTCATCAAAGTCAACGATCAACTCATACACGAGGTAATCAAGAAATAAAATCAAGCAAACTTGAGGAATGATATAATTTTGGCCTAGCAAGTCAATCACGTGATCGTAGCTCACGTGCAAGTCATCGATCATCTCGTTATTCGCGAAGCTCAAAAAGTCGACATCGACAATCACAAAGCCATGGACGTAGTAAGTGGAAATCATGAAATATTTCTTAGTATTGAATTATTCATCGTATAGGAAGTCGATCAAGTCAAAGAGGAAGTCGACAATCTCGTTCAAGTCAACGTGAAGAAATTATAGGAAAAAATTTTAATTGAAGTCTATTTATTTTGTTCATTAGGTCGTAGTCGAAGTCGTCGACGAAGTTCACATAGTAAGTCAAGTAATTTCTTGAATGAATGATTATTGTATTATCTACACATTACTTCCAGAACGTCGATCAACTGATCATCAAAATCGACAACATCAGTAAGAATCTTGAAAGAACTCTTCTTCATCGATACTTCTACTACTGAAGAAAATTTTTTTATCTTTTTTCAAGATAATTTTATTTTTGCATGCTCTCTTGTAGTCGTCATCAAATACCTTCACGTCCAGTTTCGAATCTAACAAATCCAACTGTTTCATCTTATCCTTCCAATCAAATCGGTTCAACATCTATGGGAATTCAGCCATCAACACAACAGCCTTATATTCGTTCGTTGCCTTCACCAGCTCCAATTACAACTACTAGTAATGGTCGTATTCAACCATTGTCAACGTTTACTCCAACCATACCTTTACCTCCACCTCCAGCTATTTCTGCATTACATCATCCTCATCCTTCTTCACAAACACTAACGCAGCAACATCACCAACTACCTTCTTCTTCTACTATTCATGACAATAATATTCCTTTACATCGACGTCTTAACAATCCACTGAGTGATCAATCTTCATCATATCAACAAGTTCCAGCATCAACAACAAGTACAGGAAATCCAGCATTATTATCACAGCAACAACCATTATTATTATCATCATCCATCAATCCTATGTTGAATATTCCCATTCAAAATGATATTTTATCTTCTAGTATAACACCACTTCAAACAGCAAATAGTACATTTACATCACGTTCAGATAATTGTCCAGAATGTCGAGCTATAACGTAAGTTGTATCAATTAAAATTTTATTTGTTTATAATGAAAATCGTTGATTTATTCAAAGACGTCTTCTTCAATGGGCACCATTGAAATGTTATGATGCAGCAGGAATACGTCGTGGTGTGTTTTTGGCTGGTCCAAAAAGTGAACAATTACTTAAAGCACTTTATTCATCTATAAAAGATTCATCTTTATCATTAGATGATATTGAAAATTGTTTATGTGATGATGAATAAATCAAATAAAATTATTTCTACCATTCTTTTATTCTTTTGTATCGAAAGTTCAATAGAATTTTAAAAGACAAATTGATAAGATTTTCTCTTAATCATAATCAAATATGCCAAAGAGAAACTATTGTTTCATCTAATTCTCATACTTATATACTGAAAAAAAAATGTTTAATTAAAATTCAAGATCTTCCTATGCACTGAAATAAAAGGTTAACTTGATCTCGAACTAATTGATCTATCATAGAATTGTTCTTACTAAATTGTTGATCAAAAAAAACACACGTTGCTATTCTAATCTACGTCATAAATAAAGCTCGGATTTTTTCAAGAACTTGGATTAGACACATCGTTTGACATTTTCAAGCTATGTTTTTTTGTTGTTTTCTATAGTTATAAACAATACTTTTTAATTTAAATACAATAAATCAAGTCTAAAAATGTGTAAAATGCACGTTAACCTTATGCAAGATTACTTGTATTCTTTTAATATCTAGAATCAAAATGTCGCACAATATAAAGACGTCAAGGATCTTTTTGTTTTAATATATATCTAGACACGAATATTTGTTCATAGATTAAAGGTCTATATAAGCTTCAAGACAGTTTAAAACATCATATATCTTTATATCAAAAATTTGCACTTTTGCTTTTGCATTCGAAGTCGATACATACAATACGTGATCATGATTGCTGTTAGCCTACTACTATTCTCACTTGTGAGTAGTGTTGGTAAGTAGAACAAGAAAAAGAGTTTTTGATAACAAATAACTAGTTATTATCTTTTCTAGCTGGCAACTGTTTGGTTACTGGACCATGTGGTGCTGGTTCCTGCTGTTCTGGATATGGTTATTGTGGTACAGGTGTTCAATATTGTGGTACAACAGGAGTAGTATATCCTGTTGGTGATTGTCGTGTTGTAGGCTGTGCAGCTGGTACTTGCTGTTCACGTTTTGGATAGTATGTATCACATATCATTCAAATAAATTATTTGAAAGGTATAATTTCTGATAAATTAGTTGTGGTACAACAGCTGAACATTGCGGTGGTATTCCTGTACCTACTCCAGGAGGTGGTAACTGTCGAGCAACTGGCTGTCCAGCTGGTACATGCTGCTCACAATATGGATAGTATGAAATTCTTTGTTATATAAGAGAAATTTGTATTTCTAAACTATTTTATTATCCGTAGTTGTGGTAATACAGCGGCTCATTGTGGCACTATCGCTTATGGCAACTGTGGTTATACAGCATGTGGCAGTAGTCTCTGTTGTACACAATATGGATAGTATGTGATTTATTTCTTTTGTTTTTTATGATACAATATTGATGAATATAGTTGTGGTCAAATTGGTGTTTATTGTGCATTTCCAAGATCATTAAATGATATGGTGCCAGCATCAATTGAAGGTGAATTTCAAGGTCAAGCAACATATTATAATGCAAGTAGAGTTGGTTCGGAATATTCAACATGTGGTACTGAACGAGCACGTTCATTGAATGAAGATGATGAAGTAATTTATACAGCTGCTCTTAATCAAGCACAATTCGATCCATATACTGTTGATGGTATTCCAAGTAACAATCCAATTTGTGAAAAGAAAGCTTTAGTAAAAGGTCCAAAAGGTGAAATAACTGTTCGATTTGTTGATCGATGTCCTGAATGTAAAGAAGGTAAAAGAAAAGTTTGATTTGATTATATTCTTGTTGCTCTGTGATTTTTTCTTTGTCTTAGGTGATCTTGGTTTAACAGAAGAAGCCTTTCTTGCTGTTAATGGGGAACTTGGCACTGGTGAAACCACCGTTGAATGGCATTTTATTTAGAAACATAAATAAATATCAACAACCAAATAGAAAGAAAAATAACTTATTAAAAGAAATTTTCTTTTTTTTTCTTTCAATACATTTATATCGATAATTCCGTTCTTCTATTCTTTGCAATATATAAATAAAAGGATTTTCTATCGAATGCATATGCATCATGCCATTCAGCATTCTCAATAGAATTGTGACGAAGAAAGATAAAAAACTGTCGCTAACGATGAATCCTCTTTGCGACAGAAAAAGAAATTAATTAATTTTTTCTTCTTCATTTCTGTTCTCGTCTACAGGCAAGCAGGAAAAAGTATTACTATCATCAAGTCATGGTTTACGGCATTTTATTAGAAAGCATTATTCAAAGTTTTGTTCTTGAAAAATATGATAAAATTCTTTTGGAACAAATTGAAGAATATGTGCAACATTGTTTAACTAGTTTGAATCTCTTCGAGCTCTATGATGATAATCTTATGGTCGGAATAGCTGAAGGTATGAATTCATTTTCATTATTTACTCTTTGATGAATTTAATTAAGTTACGATTTTTTCTTTCTCTTAATTAAACGTTTCAAATATATCGTGGAGAAAATGACTATCTAATGAGCTGTATTAATGAAAGGGAAATATTATTAGAATAATAATGCACGCATCCGCTTTCTTGTCATATATATATATATATATAAATACATCTACATCTATATATTTATATATCTATATATAGTTATATAGATACATAGATATATATATATATATAAAGAGAGAGAGAGAGAAATTTTTGATGAATACCGAGAGAAGTTAAAAAGTAAAACTCAAAGATGATCTATGGTATTCTTCTTGAGAGTTGTCGTTATGGAGTCCGTGAAGTGTACGGACACGAAACATGGAAAAAAATAGTACAGGAAATGAATTTTGAACATGAATCATTTACGACACTTGGCCGTTATGATGAATCATTAATTGAAAAAATTTCTCAGAGTAGGATAACATATATATATATATATATATACAAATATTTTTAAATAATTTTTTTTAGCTTTATCGGAAATCTTACATGAAGGTGAACCCGATTTATATATGCAATTTTTTGGTGAGAGCTTTGTAAAATTTTTCACAAACTATGGTTATGATAAAATTTTACGTGTTGCTGGAAGACATTTTCGAGATTTTCTTCATTCCATTGATCAATTACATGATTCAACTAGATTTAGTTTTCCAAAAATGAAATCACCATTATTTCATGTTACTGAAGAAGATGACAATGGTGCTATTTTACATTATAAGTAATATAGGAAAACTTATTTTTTAATAAAAAATAAAATAAAATTTATTTATGCTTATTTTTAAGATCAAAACGTCGTGGTTTCCAGCGATATATTATTGGACAATTAAAAGAATGTGCATCAAGATTTTTTAAAGAAGAAATATCTGTTTCTATTCAACATGATATATCAACAAATGAATGTAAGAATTTTACATTTATTGAAAAAAACAATAACAAAAATTTATTTGTCTAGATACTCATATTGTTTTTCGTGTGGATTTTAATAATTTTATGGCACGTTCAATAGAGAGACGCCTAATGCAAGGTCCAAAATTACCCAATCTAACAAGTGCAACATTTTTTAAAGTAAGGACAAAAAAATATTCGATGTTCTTTATCTCTCGGAGGTCATTCAAAAAACAAGAAAAGAATCTTTGTGCAAGTAATAGCTGTAAGACTTTTCTTAAAACATGACTTGAGTATTATTGAAGTCAACGTGTTTATGATATGCCTTGTAAGATCAAATGACCTTTTCTTTTCTTTTCTAGGTATTTCCATTTGCTATTTTACTTGATCCAGAAATGCGCATATTTTATCTGGGACGTTCAATAAGAAATGTTTTTCCACCTGATACAGTGCTAATTGGTCGTTTTCTAGAAGATGTATTTCATCTTGTTCGGACAGATATATCACTTGAATGGAGCAAAGTTTGTTTTTTTGCTCTTTTCTAAATAAAAAAAAATTAAGTATCAAAATATTTTGCTTAGGTACTTTCATATGGTCGACATATTGTATTTGTTATCGAAAGTAGAATTCCGCTGCATACAAATTCATCAGAATTTGCAAAAAAATTTGGTTCAAATAATTCTCTAATACGTCTTAAAGGACAAATGAAACTAATAACAGCTTGGAATATGATTGCTTTTCTTTGTCATCCCATGTATATTTTAACACTATATAAAATTTTCTCATAAATAAATTTCTTAATTTAGATTAGCAACAACAGAAGACATGCTTGCAGTTGGTTTATTTTTACATGATTTAAATTTTTATGATGGTAGTAGTGAAATTCTTATTGCTGGTATGCAACATGCTCGAACATTACAAGCAGCTATTGATAAACAACATGCATGGATAACAAAATTACAAAGTTCAAAATTAGAATTACAAGAATGGCGTCGAAAAGGCAAACGTCTTTTATATTCAATGATGCCAAGACATGTTGCACATATGTTACAAGATGGAGTTTTAGCTAATTCAATATGTGAAGTAAAAACAACAAAGACAAAAAAAAAGAGAAATAAATTATTTATAGAAAAAGGAAATTTTTATTGATTTTTTTTAGTCTCATAAATTAATAACTGTTCTATTTGGATATTCAATTGATTTTAAAGATGTTGTACAAAAATTAACTCCACAAGAAATTGTTGAATCAATCAATGCTACAGTCATTGCATTCGATCAATGTGCAGAACGTTTTGATGTATTTAAAGTTGAAACAAAAGCTGATTCATCATATATGGTTGTAGCTGGTATACAAGATCGTCCAGTACAACAAAAACGACGTGAATCAACTGCAGTATAGTGTTTTATCATTGAAATGTCAATTAATATATTTCCTTTTTGTTTAAATAGAGTCATTCAACGACGTATAGCCTTTCAATAGCGGATGAATTAGGATCTGAAATGAAAAATCCATTAGGTCTTAATCAAGCAGAAGTCGTTGCTGGTCTTGCGCTTGAATTAGTGAAAAGTTCTAAAAAAGTTATAAATCCTGTTACAAAACAACCATTTCGAGTTAAATTTGGTAGAAAATCTTTCTTCCTGTTTATTAATATTCAATGTTAAGAAAAAAAAATTTTTTTTTCTCAATAGGTTTTCATTCTGGTCCTGCTGTTGGTGGAATAGTAGGTGCAAAAAATTTTCAATATTGTCTGTTTGGTGATACAGTTAATACGGTAAGTTATAAAAGTTTATTATTGAGTCTAAGATATATTTTTGTGTTATTATTTGTTTAATATTCGAATTAATTATAATTTAATTTTTGTGCTTTTTCTTCTTCTCTATTTAAGGCTAGTCGAATAACAACAACAGGAGAAGTAAAGAATGATTATATAATAACATTTTAGTTTGTTTCTGTTTTTAGCCAGGCAAAATTCATTTAAGTAGTACATCATATGTACTATTAAAAGATTCATTATATTTTCAACTACAATATAGAGGGAAAACCGAATTGAAAGTAAAGAATTTTTTCCAAAACGAAAAAAATACATATTTTGTTTTCTTTTTAATTAAAAATAAAATTTTAGGGTAAAGGCTCATATGAAACTTATTGGTTAACTGGTTCAACAGGAACTTATACATCTGCTCTCAATCAAGCTTCATTTGACGATAATGATGAAGAACTTATAAGACCTATGTTTCAACAAACACCTATGTTTGAAAATACTAGTCAAATAAATTTTACTCATACATCTGATGATTATATTAAATCAATACGACGACCATCAGTTTGGAATACTATTAATAGACAAACACCGGTTATCAATGGTCAATGTCCATTTAGTGGTCATATAATTGAAATCGAACCACCTTCAAATGCTAAAGACTAAGAGATCATATACATGTAGTTTTGTGCTGTGCCTATTTTTTTGTGTCAAAAATAAATTTGCATGAAGAAAAATAATTCTTCTGTAATTAATTTCAAAAAAAAAAAAGAATCGGAAATAATGACGAAAGAAATACTTTTTAATTGATGTTTAGAAACGTGTGAGATCAAGGTTATTATTTTAAGTCGTGACTACAGCTCTACCGAAGAGAAAATTCTTTTATAATATAATAATAAAAAAATGGTTAACATTTCATTCTTCAATATTTCCTTTTGTTCTCTTTTGATATTCACTCCTTAATCTTAACTCCTAGGTATCTTTTTGTCTGATCCTTCAAGACTATTGAATTTTTCAAAAATATGAATGCTTTCATTTAATTAGAGTTTTGCCATATAAACAAATTAAATTTGGAAATCGAGATTCTACAGTGATTCGCATATTCAAGTAGGAAGTCTTAGAAAATAAAATAAATCCTTCTTTTCTATTATAGTTATAATTTCGTTTGATAATAATTCATTTAGACAAACAACAAGTTATAATATATTGTGTTTTGTTTTTCTTTCTATCTATTGACACTTATTTAATATTGGCTCATCAATATGGATAGAAAATCACATTGACAACAAGAAACATCGATTTTAATGTACATACCTACCAGTCAACTAATTAATGGATATGCATCATTGAATTTTAGATTCTTCTGTGACGTGAAACAATCATACGTAAAAGACATTATTAAAAAAAATCTTGTTATCGTCTGGTTTTTCGTTAATTAATTCTGTCAGACTAATATGATGTGAATTTAATTGAAATGATATTTTAGTTTTATAATTCGTCGTTATTATGATTATGATAATCAGCATCTGCGCCGATCATATTCATGTTGCTTTATACGCATGATCGCTCACCTTTATATATAGTTTCATGCTCTTACTCATTTTTTTGCATCTCTCTTTTTCTTCTTATAACAGTATTGCGTAGCACATTTATAATTACATGTAATGTCAGCAATCAAACCTCCTGTTTTTATACATGATAATAAAAATTATTATAAGAAAAACAAAATAGTTAAAAAATATGATCAAATAAAACCAGTTTATAGAGCGAATCATACTTACGATCTTCGTTTAATTATTCTTCGTCATGCTGAACGTATTGATCAAAGTCTTGGTAGTGATTGGTATGATAAAGTATTTGCTGGTGTTCCATCAGCATCTCTACAAGCTTACAAACATCCATCATTACCATATCGATTACCACATCGTTCAAATACTTTACTATATGTATTTGACCCACCACTATCACGTACAGGTGAACAACAATCTTATTATAAGGGACTACAATTAGCACAAATAGGTGCAACGGTTGATTATTGTTATTCATCACCTGCATCACGCAGTGTCCTCACAGCAAATGCCATATTAAAAGGTATGAATCGTAGTCATATACCATTGCGTCTTGAACCTTATTTATTTGAACCAATGAATTGGAATTCAGCGCTTTTATTACTTGATCGAATAAGTCCATTTTTATCAACCGGTGATTGGCAGCGAACAGGTTATAATATTGATCGACGTTATCAACGTCTTAGCAATTATTTAAATCCACATGAAACTGAAACAGATTATTATCATCGAAGTCAAGAATTTTTTGCATCAATTGAACGTCATCATGGTAAAATATTATCTCCGGCTTATAGTGGACTTATTCCACGACGACGTAAAACTATACTTATTGTTGGACATGCATCATCAACAGAAATGTTTTCAACTATTGCATTAGGAAAACATTTTAATGCAAAAGATTTTACTGATCAATGTACTAAAGTTCCATATTTGCATACAGCTATTCTTGAACGTGATGCAACCAATCATCAGTGGCGTATACGTCATGTTATGAATTTTGTTTAAAATTTTGTAAAACAAAACTATGTTTTAAACATTCAAATAAAATAACGAAAAAAAATGTAAAGAATCCTATGATAAATTGTCATTCACGACGACAGATATACATATACATATCTATTGTATGTGTCCATGAAAAAGAGAAAAAGACAGCCTTGAATGTTGTGCAAACATTGTTTTCTCTCTCAAAATTAAAGGGAAGAAAAAGAAGGCATATTTTGACACTATACAGGTGTTTTCAGGTATATACGCGATAAAATGAGAAAAACGTAATAGGAATAGTTAATAAAAGTCAATGTTTTTCATATGAAATCATCAGTCATATATCGGCAATGAGCGCAATAACAAACGATGATGATTTGTTACCAGTGGGCGTTGATTCTCTATCGGATTATACACCACATAAACTTCATCTTCTATATGCATTACCAATACCTATCAATATAGAAACATCAACAAGTAATAATAATGATGATTCTTCAAATTTATCAAAACGATCATCAACTAAATCAAAAAAATCATCGAAAAAACGAAATTTAATTCGTTATTTGATACCAATAACTCGTATTCGTGCTTTATCAGCTCCTAATGAGCGAGATAAATATTATCAACAAAACACACCAATTAAACCTGTCGATCAATGCGATATGCGTCTTTTTATTATCAGACATGGCGAAAGAGTTGATCGTTATTTTGGACCTAATTGGTATATGTTAGCATTTGATCCGCAAAATCAATATCGTCCTTATCATCGAAATTTTCCTCCAAATCTACCTAATCGACCAAATAAATTATATTGGGCACTTGATACACCATTAACATTATCTGGTTTAAATGCTGCCAAAAAACTAGGTCGAATCTTAGCTTCAAAAAATTTTAAACCAAATTATGTTTATTCGTCACCAGCTATGCGTTGCATATTAACAACAATTCAAATTTTAAAAGGTCTTGGATTAGAAGATCAATTCGCAATTCGTATTGAACCTGGTTTGTTAGAATTAGGTGCTGCAAGATTTGGTATGAATATTTTTTTTCAACCAGTGGATTGGTTTAGATATGGTATTAATATTGATTTATCTTATAAACCTATAATGACAAATATTCCTTCATTTGAATATGAAAATGCATATTATCTTCGATCAAAATATGTTATACGTGAAATTGAAAAACTTCATAATAATTCATCACTACCAGTAGTTAATATTCTTATCATTGCTCATGCAACGTCTCCAGAAACATTAACATGGGATTTAATTGGAAAAGAACCGAATGTCAATGATTTATATAAACTTTCATTGAATATTCGCTATTTACAAACGGTTATAACTGAACGTAAGCAAGAAAATAAATTATGGTCTTTAGAACCAGGACGATCAGTTTAAACTTCTCTTTTGTTTTCTTGTTGCTTAATATATTTTTTTTCTTTTTAAATGTCTTCTCTCTGTACAGACACATACACATTTAAAAACATGACAATAACTGAGATGCACGAAAAAACAGAAAAAGAAAACAAGAAACATGTATGAAAATCGAGAAAGAAAAACAGTAGATTTTCTATCGATAATGTTGTTGCCAAACAGCAGCTGCTTCTTCATGTGCACTACTCCAATAGGATTGTTGGGCACTAGAAAATTGTCCTTTAGGTGAACTTGTCGTTGTTGTACCATATTGTTGAAAAAATCTTTGCATTATATCTGTATTGGCTGTTTGACCATATTGTTGATGATAATGTGAATGAGCTGGTGATGCACCATAAGTTGTTAATGTACGTAAACTACTATGATCTGGTTTAGCTCGTTTAAATGTCGATGAAGGATAATCACCAATTGCTGATAATTTATTTTTTGGCTCAGCTGGTCCGACTGTTACACTACAACCTATATAAGAGAGAGAAAGAGAATTGAAAATGAATTCAATTATGATAATTTACCATGAATAATATGTGTACCAAATAATGTTCGTACAATATTTGAATCATGAAATGTAACAAATGCAAATGAGCGTGCTGGTTTTGGTATATAAACATCTTTAATTGGTCCATATTTTGAAAAATATTGTCGTAAATCATCTGGTGTTATATTATCAGGTAAACGAGCAACAAAAATTTTTCGAGCATATTCAGGTTCATGTGCACTTGTCTAAAATCAAAATTTAAAATAGAATTAATTTTAATAAATAAAAATAATAAAATATATGATGTATTCATGATTTTCTCTCATTATGACTACTGTATTAAAAATTTTTTACTTTTGAATCAGGAATTTTAACATCAACATGTCGTCCATCAATAAAATGTCGTTTATTAATAACGGCCAATTGTGATTCATAATTTTTAAATCGAATAAAACCAAATCCACGTGATTGCCCATTTGCATCGCGTTTTATCTATTTTTTTTTCATTAAAAAAATTAAAGTTTTGTTTTTTTTAAGATCTTTTTTTTTTTTACCTCACAAAATACAAGTTCACCAAATGCTTCAAAACATTTTTTAACATCAGCTTCAAGACTTCGATAACTTATTCCAAGCACAATTAAATCAACACAACGATGATCTGGTTCATTTTCACTTTCATTAGTAATTTCTTGTCCATAATCAAGTCTTTGAGTTTTAGTTTGTCCTAATGATGATATTGTTGATTCTTCTTGTTGTTCACCAACACCTTTTCGTTTAATATCTGATGAAACAGCTATTTAAACAATAGTTAATCAGTTTTTTCTTGTCTCAAAATTTTTAACTTACGTTTTGAATAAACAGTAAAATACACCGTATCTCGATCCCACACACCATCTGGATGATAAAGTTTTCCATCTGCTACTCGGACACTTAGAAGAAAAAAACACAAACACAAAAATAAAACAATAATTAATTTCTTCAGACGAAGAATAGAGAAGCGCAAAATGGAAGGGGGTATAGCCACCACACATTTCACTCAACATACATTAAAATACATTGATAAATGTAATAAAGAACAAACACGTTCACTCACCCTCTCCACACACTCGTCTCAGAATTCCGATATTTCAATGCACTCACACCTTGAAATTGAGCAGCGAGTGTACTCAATGAAACTGAACCATCAATGCCACCGTCAACTGGAATTTCAACTATTTCATTGCTGGACTTTGATTCATCAGTAACACGTATAAACATGATTTATCGCTTCTTTTTTAATGGTTACAATTAGAAGAAGGTAATATAAAACAAGGATATATGTATATATAATTATCTAAACGATCGGAAATCATCGAACATTTCATATACCAAAAACAAAAGAATAAACCAACTAGAAAACTAAAACTAGTCGCGTAATGAAATCAAGGATAGGATGGCAGAAGAAAAAGGTTATCTATTTAGTCATAAAAAGAAGCAATCAATACGAGATTTAACCAACAGACGTCGCTATCAATCATAAATTTCGACGAAAGTTTTTTGCATAAACTAAATAAATCGAAAATAGAGGGAAATATTTACTAAGATGTTAAAAGTTAACTTTCAAAATTAAGGGCACAAAAATCAAGTTTATTAAAGTGTTAAAAAATATGTTTTCTCTAATAGGCATTATAAACTGATACTTATCAAACTAACACGTCCTACTCTTATCATCTGATGTGTTGACAAGAAAATGAAAGAAAATAAACACTATTAATAAAATTGATTTGTAATTTTTCGGGACCGAAACGACCCAGTTTTCAAAGCAAAAGTTCTAACCAAACTAATTTTAATTCGGTTGAATTCGAAGTCTAACCGATTGAATCTCTGATAAGCGATAGATTTTTTAATTAATATATTCAGGCTGAAGAAAATGAAATCTGTATATAGTATCGTATTTTGCTGTATTACATTCTTCACTATTACAACCGTGTGTCATTGTATCGTATGTGGAGAGATATGACCATTTACGGTGAGAGATACTGAGTAGTAAATAGAAAGCCGTATAAAATCTTCATAGATGATGACGTTTACGCTCATAAATGGTTGTATTTATTCACATAGGATATGGAGCAATACGATCGTAATATTGAACCATGTAATACATCAATACACGACCACTAACGATCATTTTGCACAAGTATCTGTTCTACATGAGTAAATTATTGATTATTTTTAGATGATAGTACTACTATCATCTAAAAATAATCAATAATTTATTACCACGTGCTACTTTTGAAGATCTGAATTTAAAATATAGATTTCTTCAGCTAAGTGCACATATTCGTAGGCTTTATTTTTTTGAGCAACGTGTAAAACAGGTTGTATTTCAAAATTAGCAGATGTTCTGCACATTTAACATCTATTTGGTAGATTTGCCATTGGAAACATTGTCCATGTAACCATATCTCCTAATAATTGACTATTAGCTGTAAAATCAAATGATCATCGTAAATTTTTCCATAATTTTACTGTTTTTCTGTTTTATTTTGATTTTCTCAGAACGTAAAGAATTAAAAAAACAATATTATTTTGATTAAAATCTCTGAAATGAAACATGTCGAAAGGCTATACAATGTTAGATGATAGTCATGCTTGCACTAAGATATGATGCAAAAGTAATGGGACAAATATCAAATCCTATTTCGTTTCGATAGGAAAGTCCGGAAATAATATTTCATTTATCAGAAGATAGCGAATTTTTTTCTCTTTCGATTTGTATATAACATCTTTTTTACCAAATGTTCATACATGAATTGACACAACAGAAACGAAAAGTACCCATAAAATGGATGCGCACTTTTCATATAATGTAGAATTATGATGTAAAATATCAACTTCTTTGTCTCTTTGGTAGACGTGTGTTGAAACAATAATTTTGTTTTATGAGCTGATAGGAAATGTTCTTGTCTTTCGAATTCTATTTAACTTAGTTTTGTTATGTATTCATAAACAAAATCACACGAGAAGAAAGCAAAGCATTTCAAGATACAATGATTTACAACATATTAAGAAAAATATTTGAAATATAGATAAAGTAAATTTTTGCCAAGGATTGTTTATTCAATGAAACTTATTAATCAAAAATAAAACTAACTGATGAAATCTGTTATTAATCTTTAGGGTGTCAGTAAGCACAAATTAACTAAGTGCTTCAACGTTAATCAATCAACAATCAGTCGTAACTTACGAAAAAGAATACTATTTATAAACAGAAGTCGTCGAAATACTTCGAAGATGAAAATAAAGCTCCAGACAATGAGTCAAAAAACTTCTGCGAGAAGCTATACAAAAGAATCTCTTGTGGTTGTGATTTTGTTCTAGGTGATGAAAAATAATCATAATAAAATGAAGTTATATTCAGTTTGGAAGGCGAGAAAATTTTCTATAAGTTGATAAAAAAAACTATTGTTTCAACATGGATTTACTAATGAGATATAGAGATTAATATGTGGCATCATCATTCTACATTATATGAAAATTACGAACCCATTTGAGAATGTTCCTCGTTTCTCTTGCAATATTTCATTCATAAACGTGTGATAAAAATAAGTTATACAAGATTCGAAAGAGGAAAAGAATCTCTATCTTCTCGCACATCAAAGTATTCTTTCAACACCTTTATATCGAAGAGAAATGAGAAAAATTAACGAAAAATAAATTATATATCTCTACAACAATTCTGATAAATTCCAAATCTTATAGCATACTTGATAAATAAGAGCCCACTACTAATGTTTTAAAATATTTTAACTATAGATAATCAATGTGTTGATATTTATATATATCAGCATATGATAGTTTATCTCTAACTATGGCATTGAGTACCTGTCAACAACAGTTTTCAGATAATACGTAAACATACACATCCCTATATATATACACTTTCAGGCGTTTCTTTCTTTTGTATTGTTTCTCTTGCAGAACTAAGATTCATCATGGCGCTTCATTCTTCAACTCTAATATTATTATTGATCAGTATTTTTATATCTCACATATATTCATTTTGTCTGCGAGGAGCACTTGTATCCGAAACAACGAGTATGTTATTTTATTTTATTAACATATGCTATATTTGTTTTTATTAAAAACTTTAGAATTTGGTAATGTTAATAAATACTGTGAATATAATAAAATCAAAGTATTACCTGGTGCTTCATTTAAATTAGCTGCACCGGATTGTGTTGAGTGTAAATGTTCAACACAAGGTTTAGATTGTTGTGGTTATGGTTTTGCAGCAGGCACAGTTGGAGCACCTGAAGGATGTGTAGCTTACAATGATGCATGTAATTTGGTCCTTGTTAAAAAAGATAATGCATCTGAATTATGTTTTCCATCAAAGCCTGCCAATAAAGGCAAGAAAAATACGAAAGATACAAAAAATGCGAAAGATGCAAAAAGTAAGAAAACTGCCAGTTAATTACTACACATGACTAATTTAAGTAACAATACAAGAACTATTTAATTTTTAAGATAAAAGATGTTTTAACTTATGTAGTGTAATTTAAACACATAGAAAAGTTGTATTGAAATAGCTACTGTTTAGTTTAAAGTGTTTAATATATGTATTTTATGAAGAAAAATTATTAATAAATAAAGTCAATTTTGTCACTTTTATTTAGCTTTATACGTTTGTGACAGTTATCAAGGGAAATATGGATGAAGTGATTCTAGAAATTTGAAAAGGAATCAAACCCTTCTTCTAAACGAAATTTGTCTATCGTTTTTGTGTTTACTAAATTTTTTCCATTTAAAAACATATAATTACTAATAAAATTTATAAAGCAAGAAAGTAAAAAAAAGATAATTATGCAATAAATTTATTGATACAAAATGTAATCTTTATATATAAAATCCAACCATGTGTATATCTCAAGTTTGATTGTAATTAATTGAATATATAGATGAAATATCTGTTTTCATACAAACTCAATAAATAGAAGCAGCTACAAGAAATTAGTATGAAACAATCATTTCTTGATGAAAAAACAAAAACAGAAATTCAATGTTTTCTTCTTTACAATATTTATTTTAATAGAAATTGTACTAAATATTATCAAATGAAATGTTCGATTTGATACACGATCAAATCAGTCAGAATATGTATTTATATAGAAAAATTCAATTGACGCATGTAATCTCTGGATTATAAGGATGTAGTATATATGTTTCATTTAATTATCTTCGAACTAAAATGGAAAGATGATTTCAGTATTGTTTCTACTTATCAGTTGGAATTTTTTACAAGGTAAATAAATCTTTCGGATTCAGTGGTTAATTATCACAGTTACACTCAAGATAAGAAAATGATATTAAGTTAATGATTAAAGATATACCAGTCTTTCTTGTAATCTTATCTACGTATAATTCAACGAAGATACGTACTGTCAATATAGTTAGTGGATCTTCTCATTATACTATATTTTCTCTCTGTCATGCACTTTAAATAGCTTCACTTTGTTTTTTACTATATCGTACAAAATGACGGTATCTTGAAATTTGCCTGAAAGAATTCTGTTTTGAATGATTGTCTTTTGACGTATTATATTTGTGACATGGTAATTCAATGTTCTTTAACATATATATATATTACAATGGTGTTCGTCAAAGAAGTCTTCTGTTGTACATTGAATTGTCAACAAAAGAGTGACGCAGAGATCTACTCCTTGGCAAGTATTTTCAAAGACAAAAAAAGAACGAAATGACAATCATTTTTTCGTTTCAATGTCTTACCTCAGATATATCAGTTCTTTACTTTGATTGATCCTTATGAACGTTGCTTAGCTACCTTATATTCTCAGAAGTGACAAAATAAAATTGATGTTCTACTTATCAGAAACAAGTAGAATTAATACATTGTACAGGATGTTATGCCTATACTTGAGCAAAGAATTTCAGAAGTCATTGCGAAATATTGTTTAACGAAATGAATGAGTTCGTTAACAAGTGTTACGGTCTTCAAAAGAGGGAGCAACAATAAAACTAAGATTGATTTGTTTCTTTGTCGTCAAAATATCATCTAGATACCAATTAATATTCTCTACGACAAAAATTATGACTGATTGGAGTAATTATGAAGTATTTTCTTATCTTTTCAATAATACCATTCAAGTTACTCTTGTTTATTGTCTATATCTCTCTGATTGATTGTTTCATTTTTGATTAAGTATATTCACATATACATTTTCATTTATCGATTTGTTCTTTCAGAAATCTATTTATTATTCTTTAGCTTTGGATAATTTTGAACTAGTTATTTAGACACAGAATACATCATCACAAAATACAATGTCCACGGACTTCAAAATCAATTCTGCTAACTGATTCTTTTATCAGACAAAAAATGAAATAATAAGTACAAGCATATTCTACGAACAGCACGAGAATATTCATAGGAAAGTGTAAATTGAAATTATTCAAAATCGATATATCGTGACTATTGTCAAACAACTCTTCACTGAGAAGCCAGCTGATATGATGCATCACATGGCATCTAAATCAAACATCTCGTTCGCATTAATTGCTTCAGAAACTATCATCCAGATATCGAAATATGTCATGTATCAGCTACTGTCTGACATAATCTCAACGGTGCTACATAATTCTTCTGACACTTCATTATTGATCAACAAACTCATTAAAGTATGGAATACAGTTACTTTCTTTTCTTCGATTAGCAGAAAATTTACTGATATCTATATATTTCCAACTGTTTCGTTATTTATATCAAATGACACATTATGCGTTAATCTCATTATAACACGAATAATAATTATTCAGTTGTGGAAGAACTTCTAGAACCTCTTGTTTCTGAAATCTAGAGCAGCAAGACTGGTTTCTTTTCTGCATTGATAGATACCAGTGAACGTTTCCATGTAGAAAAACTGCAGTTAATTCTATCATTTTTTCAAAAATTCACCTGATACGAATTGCTCATCAGATAACTGATCTTTGTTTAACTTATAAAGTCGTGATTTTTGTGTGTACAAAAATGAATAAACGAACGAAATCAATCCCATTGGTATCTATTGTGGATGCTATCTTTATCTAAGATATAGTTGCAAAATATTTAATTTCTAGTGTTTAAGTCAAATACAAGGACATGCTTTTGACGATCTAGTTAAAACTTTAGGTGTATGTCAATTAAATACATGAATAGACTTCTAATTTTCATTGTTCATTTAATACGGGACTTCAATAAATAACCGCAGTAGATGTGGAAACTCTGGTATGAGCACAGTAGGTAATTAAATTTATTGCTCAGTAATTGTTTATATAAATCCTGTACAACTTATGGGTCCACCAATGACAAATTTACTTTTAAAAAATGTTATAATTATCACCAAATTTGTTATCCGAAATGTATATTTCTTGTATCGTGTTTGACTGATTGATTACTTAGTCAATTTTGTTTTCGACGTGAAACGGTTGGGCAGCATTCTGATTATAACTATGAGCATACAGCTGCCTTGAGACCTATCAATAACTGATTAACTAATAGCAGTACGTCGAAGTAAAGAAAATAGAATTCTTATTAATATCATTATCATTCATTTTTCATATCATCTTCATTCATATAACCGAACAGAAAATTATAATTCAAAAAGAATGATATTATGTATAGAATCAGTATAATGTTGAGAAATATTTATACGCTGGATGATCTTCGATTATCTCACACATTCACAATCTCTTCTGTGAAATGAACGAAATGAATCATCAGAACTCTTATGAAAATTTTTCATTTGGAATATGATCTCCATTCATCTAAATAGGTTATATCTTGGAATATGCAAAATATAATAATGAAAAACGTTCATTATGGCTAGTGAACTACATTATAGTTTGATGCATAACTGAGAATAAAAACATCAGCATATCTTCATAAATCTTTTTTTTTTATATCCATTCGCTCAGTTTAAAGTTAATCATTGCAGACCTTCATAAAATCTCTGAAGTTTTGTAAGAATGAATTGTAACTCTATCGCCTAGATTCTATTCATGCCGTTCACATCGGATGAGATATATCTCAGCTAAATAGGTTTATATCTAATAGAAACTATATTTTAGTATTGTTTCTTTTATGTACAGATAAAATGTATATGAAATATTTTAATAGCGATGTTCTTGATCACATAGTTGATTGGTTATTTTTGTTGAACTATAAGCGATGTGTCACAGTAATGCAACCCACGAACCGCGTACCGATACATTACTGGTACAAAAAGTCGTACCCATGAAGTGCTATATTCGAGTAAGATATTGAGTAACATATTTTTCATTATTCTTTCTGTATTTACATGTTCTATAGGATTGAAATTAGCATAGATTTGCTATTAAGTAAAAGATTATAAACTGCGATAAGTTTTCTAATAATTCTTACGACTAAAATAAACTTGATTCTAGGATTAAGTTTACTTCAATTAAGGATTCATATGTATAGCAATCTATAATTATCACACGATCATTCATGCTCAGAAAAGTAAAGCTTATATAATAGTAAATCTTTATTATAAACTAAAATATTAATCATTTTTTCATGGTTGTTTTTCGATTTTCTTGATCAATCAATGTTAGTTTAATTGATTTTTGTGCCAATTTAGTCAATTGTTCATGTCTTTCCATTCGAAATTCTAAACTTTCCATTAACATATAATACTCTTTCATGATATTTTCAATATATAATAAATTTTGTTTTTGTCGATAATCTTTTGTTAAATTGTTTGCTACATTTTTTTGTTCTACTTTTTCATCCATTAAAACATCATCTGTTTCTTTATTGAACTTTCTATCGTCACAATATTCTTCTGTTAATTGTGTCAAATTATTCAATATACGTTTTTCAATATTATTTTCATTTTTCAATTGCTTATCTTTCTTTGTATCATAATCAAGTGTCTGTTGAAAACTATCAACTAAAATAATAGTTTTTTCTTACAAAATAATTCATAGAGAAATTTAAATTTACCAAGTACAGCCATAAGAAGATTCAGTAAAATGAAATTTATAATAAATATATAAATTAAACAAAAAATTAATTGAAAACTAGCATAATCACGATCAGCACATACTTGATACACAGAATACCAATCATCAAGTGTTAATAAAGTAAAAAGAGAAAAAAATGTTTTAATAAGATTATTAAATTTTTCTGGACATATATCACCAAATAAACTACGTGCAATTATTGCTGATATACATGTTATTATAATCATAATAAATGTGATACTAGCCATAGCAGGTAATGCTTTAAAACATGTTTTAACAATTGTATGAATCGGTTGAATAAAACGTATTGTACGAAGAACACGTAATGCTCGAAAACTTCGAAGTACACGTAAAACACGAAGAACTTTTAAGAAATGATTTAATCGTTCAAATTGTGTACTAAATATTTATTTGAAAAAGAAAGAGAAAAAAATAAAATTAACTAACTGTATCTGTTGATTATGATCAATTTGTAAAGATGATTGAGTATTATCATGTGTTAATTCTTGAGTTATTAAATCAATAATACTAATTATAATAATAAATAAATCAAAACAATTCCATAAAATTTTAAAATATTTCCATGAATATACCTAAAACAATAAAAATCTTGTCATTTAATTGATATAGGATACAATAAATACTCAATCTAATAACATAACAGTCCAATAAGAAGATAAATAGTCAACAAATTTTAAAGAGAAAAAAATGAGTAGATCTTCTTGTGGGCCAAACAAACATACACCACCGACTTTGGAGTCCATAAAGTATATGATTTGTCAAAAGAATCTATTGATGCTTTTATTCTAACTGTAGTGGTTCTTGCCAGCGTTGCTGTAATTGACAGACAGATTCCATACTGATGTTAATAAGTAATTTTCGATCGAAATTTTTTCTAATGATAGTTAATGTTTATTATGTCATTAATCAATATAAACTCGTTCCACATTAAAAAATCATATACTCAATAATCATTGTTAATGTTGAATATTTTTTTTATGAAGTAACGATTATAGGTGAACAACTTCAGGTGTTCAAACTGAGCTGTCCGTACAATTTTGCTCTATTTTTGAGAATGGCACTTTCGGACATTACAATGAAAAACCTTTTTCTGATACTTAAGCATCGTTCCCAAAACAGAACAAAAAAAGAACATTCCCAAGTGGTACGCTCCGTTTATTTCCATATTTTGCTAATACGTAGGAGATCATTAGAATAGCGCAACTTCTAAAGTTTTTCTGCTCTTGCTAAAATTTGGTCCAGATAGAAATGCGATATCCAAAACTGATGAAACTTTGTATATGAGACGGTCTAGTCAAGAGCTTTCTGACAAAGTTGCTGTCTCGACCAAATCTAAGTTAGAGCAGAAAACCTTTGGAGATTACGCTATTCTAGTGATCTGCTATGTATTAGCAAAATATGGGATCTAATCTGAATATTGAAGTGAAATCTGGTCGACATCGAATATTTGATAATAATGAAGAAATCAATTTTAAATTCTCCTTAACAAAGCAAAATGCATGACTTCAATCTTATTTATATAAGTGAATTCTTTTCAAGCCAACAAGATATCCTTATATAGGTCAATTATATTTCTTACCTACCCATAATTTAAAACAAAATTCAATAATATAAATACATAAATAAATCTTTTCCAATAAAAGAAAAAATGAATGATATTTTTGATAGTAACTATCATATGTTTCTAAAATCATTACAATTGTATTTGATCCAATTATACTAAGCATAATTATTGTAAAATATTTTGATTCAACGGTACGAATTAATGTACACGAAGAATAAGAATTATGATCAAGAAATTTATAGATTCGTGCCGCCATTTGATATACTAATGAACTCTTCTTCTTTTATTTTTAATTAAGAAAACAAGAACAACAACATCAACAACAAACAAAACAATGAGAAAAGAAAAACCAAGCAACAAAGATGTTAAAAAGGTTTAAATTTTCGTTGTTGTCTCATTTGTATAATACGTTCTTTATCTAATTCAAATTTCATTTTTAATTGTTCAAGTTGATCAATTTTTTTATCAGTCATTTGAAATTTATAAAAATTTACTAATTCTTTTTTTTCATTTGAACGTTTATGTTTTGCTCGTAAACGATTTAATGTTTTATCTGTTGATGATATCATACGTTGACGAGTTTTTTTTAATGAACGTGAAACAACTGTCCAACCACCATCATCATCATTATTATCATTATTATCATTTAAATTATTATTATTTTGAGATTGTTCATTGGATTTAAAATCATTACTAGCAAGATATTGACGAGATGTTTGTTCGAATTTATCAATATCAATTGAAAAACGATCACGATATTCTTTTATCCATTTTAAAATACCATTTAAACTTGATGGAATTATCTTTTCAGTTTTCTTTTTTGTTTTAGAAATTTTCATTTCAATTTTACTTTAATCTATAAGAACAAAAAAACATAAAATCAATCGAAACTTTCTTCTTTTTTCTGTATTCAGTAAAAATTTATTTAAAGAAAAACAAAGTCTATTCATGAACATTAAAAATTTTAATGAGTTGTTGTTGATTAAAAGGATTACGACATATAGGACATTGATTAACATGAGCACCACATTGAAGACACATAGATGAATGACCACATGTTGTTATTACTGAATCAATACGATTTTCCATACAGATAACACATTCATTTTTAGAATTGTTATTATTTGTATTTTCTGCAGATGGTCTAGCTGCACCACAAGAACGACATATAGTACGTGAACCAAAGTTCAGCTCAGGACAAGAGGGACATTTCCAATCACCTGGTTTAGACGTTACTAGAGGGTGATTATCGATATCCATGGGCTCCTGTTTTGGTCGACCACATTTATGACATGTGAGACGAGCAGCAAAATTATGGTTCTGACAAAATGGACATGTCCAGTCGCTTGGCCTTTGTGTTACGGATGACGATACATTCGAACTCATGGACTCTTGTTTTTGTCGACTACATTTATGACAAGTAATACGAGCAGCAAAATTAATATTATTACAAAACGGACATGTCCAATCACCTTGTCTTGGTGCAATTTGAGGAACACTACCCGCAACAGTTGAATTACTTTGTGCTGGTTGATTACGTGGATTCGAACAGCGGCGACAAACAGTACGTGATTTGAAGTTTAGTTCTTGACATTGTTGACAAGACCAATCGCCAGGTTCACGACGGCTACAAAGAACATAATCAACAGTGAAAAAGAGCAAGTTTTTTATCCTTTATCTATCTTAAACTTTTCCCAGTTGTTTTTTTTTTCTTTTGTTATTATAAATCTCATCAATTTTTTTTTTAATAAAATGAATATAATGGTTAAATTCAAATACTTATCTATTAACAAAACCTTTACTTACAAGCCTCCTCTGTTTGATGATGGTGTAGACATATATAACAGCAAGAAAAAAAAAGAATAGGCTTGTTTTTGTTGTCAGTTATTTATCAATGAGTACGGTAGTATTGCACAACAGTAAAGAAAGGTAATAGAGGCAAATGTAAGAACTGATTGATGAGTCATTACCCAGCAGCAAAAAAAAATCAAACTAAATGTTTGAATTTCTTGGAAAAAGAATTCATCAGAGACGAAAGAATGAAAAAAAAGTAACGCTATCTTTTATCTATTCAATATTTCTTGATTTTTTCTGTATTCTCAAAAAGTCACACGTTTCGTAGAATTGTATTCTTGTAAACTCTTATCTATTTATATTAAATCTATACATTTCATAGAATACAATTAATCTGCCTACTAGTAAATCTTTACTATACCTTGAAGTCCAAATATGAAAATGACATTGGTAAGTATACCTTAAAAAAATAGACTTTTGCACCAAATCTGTGCATAGGAGCGGAACCTTTTTGGTTTCATGCGAAATAGTTGGACTTGAAAAAGATTCGATGATTTCATATGGAACCACAAAAAGTTTCTTCTATAGGTACGGATTTGGTAGAAATCGCTTTTTTTGTAAAGTGTAGAATCAAATCATTGTAATATTCTTAAGATTTCGGTATTCCATTATTTGATCGTTTCATCTAAAAGATTCATAATTAATATTTTAAATATAAAGTCATAAAAAAAGAAATAAAAAAATAATTTTTTTTTATTCTATATCTTTTATTTGACACACGATTATCATGTTTATTTGTTTACAATCTGACTATTAAAAAAAGGTTTCTGAGAAAAATAATTTGATCGATATATGAAACTAAATAACGAGTAAATATGCATAAATGTTATCTTTTATCTGACTATCTAACTTAAAATCCTCCACGTTTTCGTTTAGCAATTGCATTACGTCGAGCAAAAAACGATGCCGATCGTTTTTTTTGTTTAACAAATCGATTATAATGTCCATTTGTTTTATTTGCTTGTTTATTTATTTTAATATAACCATCATGACCTATAGAAAAATTAGTATCATCTTCTTCATCGCTTGTAACTAATTTTCGTTTTGATGTTGATGTTGTTGTTAATAATGCTTTACGTGCTATTGCTTCTTTTCGTTGAATTTCATCGAGTTCAATACCAAAACGTTGTGTTATGGTTAATAAACGATGAAGTTCATGACGTTTATAACGTTCTTCAGTTATTTCATTAACATCTTTAATCATCGCCTCTTTCGTTCGACTAAACGAAAAACAAAGTTCAATAAGATTTAAGTTTAATTTAAAAAAAAAAAAAAAAACAAATAAACATACGGCAATAATTTAACCATTTCTTTAATAGCACGTTCAGGAATAATCATTGCATGTGAACTATTACCAAATATTAATTTAAGTTCTTTTTTAAGGTCCGTTAAACATTGTTCATGTAATTGTTCAATTGGTGTTTGTTGTTTACGCTTTTCATCATTTGTTATATTTGATTGTTCAGTACGTATAGTTAATTCAATTGGATTCATAAATTTATTTGATTGATTTGATAAAGCAATATGTGCTTTAGGACCTAAACGTAAATAAGCAACTGAAGCTTCGAAAGATTGTTGTTGATGTGTAACAATTTCTTGTTGAAGATATCCATCAATTATTAAACGACACATTAGACGTTCAAGATCTAAAAAAAAAAGACATGTTCAATTGATTTTGATGTAAGAACACATATTAGAATGTATAGAACAATGTCAATGGATAAATTACTATTACGATAATTCTTCCGCAGAAACTTCAGAATTTTTTGTAAATATTTCTCAAAGTCTTCTGACCAGTGTTGATAGAATGTCAATTTTAGCAACTTTTAGCTTTTCTTTTCATATCAGAGACTCAAACAAACAATATTCTAATGGAAATTTTTCTTAAAAATCGATGATTGAAAATTCCCTCATCCATATATATGCAGGATGCACCAAATATCCGCCTGAAAAGTTTACGTGAATAACTCTTAAGCAGTTCAAATGGTTTAATTGCATTTTTTTAGCAATATGATGGTATGTTTGTTTAAGTTTTATTTGAACTGAAATAGATCAATCAATCCTTTTTGAAATCTTAAAAGATACTGAAGATAGTTTATTTTCAAATTAATTTATTTCCGTTATCAGTTCTCGTTTTGAATTCAAGTCAATCTTTACATACATCTTATACACATAGATTTTTGCATCATATTTATCAATGAACCATTTAATATATAAAGAGATTTCATTTGAAAAAAAGACGACCTCAAATTTAACCGTTAACAAAANATTTTTTTCAAACTTTTCGAAAACTTGAATTTACAGTGACACGGTTCTTCGAGACGATTCTCTTCATAAAGTTTCTTTTCAAATTTTAGTCTATACCACCATGTTCGATAGAGAATTTCAAGGGCTATCTAAATCCCTATTTAGATTTGATCTAGCTATTCATCTTTGCTGAAGATTTTCAAAAATAAAGGGGGGTGTTCTATAATTTTGGGACCCCCTGTATATTATTAAAATGAAAAATTAACTAGAATTATACATTTTGTTTATAATATCATCAATTAAATGATTATTGCTTGCTGTTTAGATGATGTTTAAGAACTTCGACAAAAAAGTGTAACTTCGATCCGACATTTACATTTAGCAGAAAAAAAGAAAGCAATAAAGTATTCATCATTGATGACAGGAGAAAAATCCTACTAACGACAATTTTTTTAATATTCTACATTAACATAGAATATTACCTTAGAGAAAAGAGAAAAGTTGATATTGATTTTTAAATAAATCGAATTTAAACATAGAGACTATGTTAATTTTTTCACTGTATCTTCCCTCTTTTTAGCAAATCTTGAATGGATTGAAGGCGTTGCAATTCTTGTTGCTGTTCTTGTCGTTGTATTTGTTACTGCATTTAATGATTGGAGAAAAGAACGACAATTTCGTGGTTTACAAAGTAAAATTGAAAAAGATCAACAAGCATCTGTTGTACGAGATAATCATATACAACAAATTCCTGTTACAGATCTTGTTGTTGGTGATCTTTGTTTTATTAAATATGGTAAAAATTTCGAATAAATTTTTTCTTTAATTTTCTTTTGAAATCGTTTTGTTTAGGTGATCTTTTACCAGCTGATGGAGTTATAGTTCAATCCAGTGATCTTAAAATCGACGAATCTTCTTTGACAGGTAAAAAGCATTTTTTTTTCTTTGAAAAATTATAAGCAATGAAAAAATCTTTGGTTTTTTCGTTTTCTTCAGGAGAAACTGACTTAATAAAAAAGGGTGAAAATGAAGACGTTGGATTATTATCAGGTACGCATGTCATGGAAGGTAGTGGTCGAATGGTGGTTATGGGTGTTGGACTTAATTCTCATATTGGAACAATAATGAGTTTACTTGGTGCAACAGATGATGCAAAGAAATCAAAAGATAAAAAAGATAATAGAAAATCTAAAACAACGACACCAAAAACTCCATCTGATTTACCAAAACAACAAACATCAGCAATATCTGAAAAACACTTGCATGAAGATCAATTAAGATCAGTGAAAATATCCACAGATAAAAATGATACTGAAACAGATGAAATTACTAGTGATAGTAAAAGAAAATGTGAAAAAAAAGCAAAAATTGCTGCGGCTGTACCGACTGAAGAGACAGAAGATGAAAGTATTGAAACAGGTGACGCTAAACATAAATGTAAGTACAAAAAAACAAACTTACAATGAAATCACTTGAAACATAAAATTATTGTTTTTAGCGGTTCTTCAATCAAAGTTATCTATTCTAGCTTTATACATTGGTTATATTGGTAAAGCCTTATTATTATTATTATTATTTTTTTGAATTCAAAGGAATTGCTTTTTTTAAATAGGTATGTCTGCTGCTTTTTTAACATTAATTTGCTTAATCGTCCGATATTGTATTACAACTTATGTTATTAAAAAACAAAAAGCCTCAGGAATTGATGTTGGTTATTTTATTTCATTTCTTATTCAAGCTATTACAGTCGTTGTTGTTTCGGTACCAGAAGGTAACATTCATTCATGTTTACATTTAACAAGAAGAAAAGAATTATTTTTGTGTTTCAACATAAATAGGTCTTCCATTGGCTGTCACACTTGCTCTTGCTTATGCTGTTCGAGTTAGTAACAAAAATGTTCTTGATAAATCTGATTATTATCTTGATTTTGTTTTATTAGAAAATGATGACTGATAATAATCTCGTTCGACATTTGAATGCTTGTGAAACAATGGGAAATGCATCAACAATATGTTCAGATAAAACAGGAACATTGACAACGAATCGTATGACTGTTGTACAAACCTATATCACTGGTAAGTCAGTATAGAAATGGTTAGAAATCATATGATCAGAATAATATGCATACAAAAAAAAGGACTTTGCACAATATGTTTGGCCTATTTTTTATTCATTTAGATTTCATTGAAGACAATGAAAAGTAATCAGCTAGAATCGGGACTTCATACTTTTTCTAACTATGTATTTAGAATTCTGTTTCTCACATAAAGTTAGTTCATTGAGAAATAGTTTTTGATGGTGATCAAAAACTATGTTTGTACAAAACGTAAAATTAAAAGGTGTTGGTAAATATATTTGCTCGTATTTTGGACTCCTAGATGTCATTGAAGAGGATGAAAATCAGTCAATTAGGACCAGAATCTTATGTTTGTTCTAAATGTTTGTTCAGAACTCTTTTTTTTTCTGACTGACGGTTGGTGAACTGTAAAAAACTATTGACATTAATAAAAACTTTTGTTTACGCTTAGAAAAATAGACTTTTTGTCTGTCGTTCATAACGTTTCTGGAGGAGATTTTAAGAATTTTTTATCTTTCTGATATTGTAGCAGATTTGATTTTCAGCGAACTTATGAATTATAGTAAACTAGAATTCAAAAGAAGTAAAAGTTATAAACATTTTCGTATAGTTATTCTTTACATGAGACGGTATTTGAAAAAAATTCGTTTCTTTTCAGATTTCGATCGTTTATATCGGTTTATAAGAAAAAAAAACAGAAAATCAAATTGAGTATTTTGTAGAGCAAGTTTTGTTCTACAAACTGATATATAAAAAGACTTTCTTATATGTAGTTTGAATTGAAAGAGTTTTAATCAAAATACAAAACTGAACCATATGAAAAATTCCGTATCGATGTAATTTTCAATCTTCATTCAAGGTTTGCTCTCAATAAATTAATTTCAAACCAGAAAAAAAAAGAATTCCGAATATATAGTTAGAAAAAGCACAAAATTTTAGTTCTAAGTGATTACTCTTGATTTTCTTCAATGACTTACATGAAAAAAAATTGACTAGAAATGTTTTGTAGCGACATTTTACGCACACAGGTTATGTTTCATCTTCTAGTAGTGCATTGAATGTTAATAGAGTTCCCAAAGTTGAATGCCAGTGATGTTCGTTATTTGACAAGTAGTCTCGGATAATTAATTTGACATCATTTTTCTGTTCTAACTTATCGTTGTGACATTATTATGCGGTATTTATCGATATTTGCATGAGAATTCAAGTAATTTAGCGGAAAAAGTTTGATAAGGTTATCTTTCTATTTACGGCTACCATTTAGCGATTAACATATTTTGATATTTCTTTTTGTCTCTTCAAACTTCTGGATTTACTATATAAGCTAAGCATCTTTTCTATTGATACTATATTTTAAATTAATGAACTGAAGTATAGATATTAAGTAACTTAAAAATAAAAGAGAGAGACATTAAGCAGGATGTACTCAAACTATGAGAAAAAATACTTTTCAGCACAAACTCTTTTCAAGTAGTGAATTTTCATTATGTCTTCTTGAGTGCCTCTATACGGTCTATACATATTCTCAAACAAACTCGGCAATTTGTTTTCAGGGATGAAGCCTATTAATTTATGATCAAAGCAATTAATGAATGGAGTGCGTTTATCGGTAGAAAAACTTCATATGCATCTAGAAATGTGATTATTCTCCAGATTGATGATATCCTATACACTGTTTAGTCTTCCTGGCAGAGAATATCAAAGAGTGTAGATATGAGTGACAGTGGAGAACACTACACAATGATGGCGAAATTGTCATCGACCTGGGACAGCAGCAGCTACATGTTATTAACATATAATAATGTGAAATGACTAGGGAGAAAATTTGGTGATCAAAAATGTTGTCACCTCGACATATATGCATACGGGAAACTTTTTAGCACGTAAAAAAATCGAAAAATCACCAAACTTTTCTGTTTTCGATTGTTTCCTGGAGATGAAAATAATCGCTTGGATTAAAATACAAAATTCAATGTAGATTCGTTTTAAATATCCGTAAATAGTGAAGTGTTTTCATCTTTTAAAAATAATTAGAACAAAAAAAAAAAACTCATTTCATGATTTCAATTGGATCTTCGGTCGTATTTGAACATGCTAGGACACATTCGTTTCGTGAACAGAATTATTTTTTTACTAGGCAAACATAGTGAACAATTACCGAAAGCAGAAGAAGTCAATCAACAAGTATTACAATTACTTTTTGAATCTATATCTGTTAATACAAATTATACATCAAAAATAGAGGTTAGAATTAATTGATTTTTCTTTCTAAATAATTTTTTACTTAACAATATATGTATATAGGAATCAAAACAAGATGATGGTGGTTTACCAAAACAAATTGGTAACAAAACTGAATGTGCTTTATTAGATTTAGTACGAAAATGGGGTGGATCATATGATAGAATCCGTCAAGATATTCCCGAAGAAAAATTAGTTAAAGTATATACATTTAATTCTGCACGTAAAATGATGAGTACAATTATTCAACGTGATGATGGTTATCGAGTTTATACAAAAGGAGCATCAGAAATGGTTTTAACAAAGTAAGAAAATCAAAATTAATAACATTTAAAACGAAAACAAAAATCTTTTTTCATTCTTTTTGTTTTGTTCCTTAAAGATGTAAATCAATTATTTGTGAAAATAATCTATTAAAAGAATTAAATGATAATGAAAAAAGTCGTTTAACACATGATGTTATTGAAAATATGGCTAATAATGGTTTAAGAACAATTTGTATTGCTTATAAAGATCTTGGAAAAGAACAACAAGATTGGAACAATGAAGAAAAAATTGTTAATGATTTAATTTGTATTGCAATTGTTGGAATTGAAGATCCTGTTCGAAGTGAAGTAAAATAATCTAATTGAAAACGAATAAAACAAAAAAATTATTTCATGTTTCTTCTTTTCTTTCTTTTATATTCAGGTACCAGAAGCCATTGAAAAATGTCAACGAGCAGGTGTTGTTGTTCGAATGGTAACAGGTGATAATATAATGACAGCTCGTTCCATAGCAACAAAATGTGGTATAATCAAACCCAATGAAGATTTTCTCATACTTGAAGGAAAAGAATTTAATAAACGTATTCGAGATTCATCTGGAAAAGTTAGTACAACGAAACGAATATATATGTATATATCTGTCATCAAAATCTTTAGATTTCACAAAAAAAACTTGATGAAATTTGGCCAAAACTACGTGTTTTAGCACGTTCGTCACCTCAAGATAAATATAATTTAGTTAGTGGTATTGTTGAAAGTCAAGTAACAAAACATCGTGAAATTGTTGCTGTTACTGGCGATGGTACAAATGATGGACCAGCACTTACACGTGCTGATGTTGGATTTGCTATGGTAAATTATATTTAAAAAAATATTTTAGATATGTATTTTTTCTTGATCGATTTGTTTTCTAAAGGGTATTCAAGGGACAGATGTTGCAAAACAAGCATCTGATATCATCATAACTGATGATAATTTTTCATCGATTGTTAAAGCTATGATGTGGGGAAGAAATGTTTATGATTGTATTGCAAAATTTCTTCAATTTCAATTAACAGCTAATTTATCAGCTGGTTTTATTTCTGTTGTATCAGCTGCAGCTATTAGCGTATGATATATATATATATATTCTTATTTTTTGACAAAACATTATTCTGGATGTTTGTTTTTTTTTTTTTTGTTCTCTAGAGTGTTCCATTACGAGCTGTACAAATGCTTTGGGTTAATCTTGTTATGGATACATTAGCTTCACTTGCTCTTGCAACTGAGCCACCAACAGAAGAATTATTAAATCGAAAGCCATACGGACGAACAAAATCAATAATATCACCATTAATGTTACGAAACATTATTGGACAATCATTTTATCAACTTGTTATTATGTTTGTTATACTTTATGCTGGACAATATTTCTTAGGTGTTGAATCAACAGTTCAAAAAATTCAAAATGATCCACATGCAGCTAGAGAATTAAGTGACCAATTTACATTAGTATTTAATGCATTTGTATTAATGACTTTATTTAATGAAATTAATTCAAGAAAATTACATGGAGAAAGAAATGTATTAAAAGGATTATTTCGAAATCCATTCTTTTATTGTATTTGGATTTTTTGTTTTATTGCACAAGTAATAACAAATTGAAAAAATAAAAATAATATGTTTTTTTTTTCTTGTTTTAAGATTTTAATTGTTACATTTGGTGGTCGAGTATTTAGTTGTGCACAATTGAATATTACACAATGGGCATGGAGTTTACTCTTTGGTGTTGGATCACTTGTATGGCAACAGGTTAGTTGTTTGAATGATTGATGAAATTCTACGATAAACTTGATTGTTATAATCTAGATTATATTATTTATCCCAACTAAACCATTTATTCTATGTTTTTCGGCGATATATCGTGTTTGTTGTCCATGCTGCTATAAGACACAAGAAGAAAAACGTGCCGAAGAAAAAGCTATTCGAAAATCAGTTCAAGCGGCTCAATCACGACGAATATCACGATGGAGTGATGGTGAATATATGCCATTTAGTACGATTGGTCAATTAACAAGTGCAACTGTTGTTGCTGAACCACCACCTACCATTGCTAAATTTATGCTCCGAAAAAGTGTTGATCGACTTAATTCAGAGGTTTGAATATATTATTTTCTCTGAATTTTTAAAATTCTATATATGATGTATATTTTAGTTTCGTGTTATTAATGAATTTCGTACACGGCTTGAAGAACTCAAAGATAAAAAACATGATGAAGTTGTTGAATATAAACGCAATAGTCGAGCCAATATTCTTGGTGAATAATTGTGAACGAGTTTGGTGCAACATGTTCACTTCTTTCTTTCTTTTTTTTTATTAGATTTTTTTTTCTTTTTCCTTGAATTTTTTTTCATTTATTTGTGCTCTTTGTATTGTGTTAATATGCTGTGCGCTTTCATTATCAGCAAATAACAAATGAACAAAAGCAAAAAAAAAAAAAACCCTTTTTCTCTTGTCCTCATTCTATTTTGTATTCTTCCAATGTGTGGTCTCTGTGTATGCTCTTATCTTTTTGATCTGTCTATGTATCTCTATATGAAGTGACATTTACATCGAGAAATATTTTAGATTTTATTTGTTAATTTACATATATATATATATATATATATATATATATATATAAATTATTGATCTTTAGTGACAATGTTAAATGGAGAATAGTTTCGTTAAACGAATGGACATTGTTTTTCAATAGAAGAAATCATGTTGATTCGTTTATTTGTGTTGTTAATTTAAAGGAAACAATTTTTCTTTGAAAGTTTATTTAACATAAATTAAATATTTGACTGAGAAAAATTTTCTTATCTTTTCTGAAATTCATTTAATATTATTTCTTATGAAAAATATCAATAACGATTGATCGACTATAGAATAAAGTATTATATAAAACATTTAGATTCTGTTGAGTTATCAGATAATTGATACTCAATAGGTTTCTTTTTACTGTTATAATAATTCATTGAATAGCACTTATGAATCTTCGAATAATGAGATGTTTCATTTTTATGATTATTATTCATACATGAGATATCCCATTGGAGTTTTATATAACAAGGATAAAAAAATTTCTTTTTCAATATCATTTTTGATCATATTGATCAGTTTAAAATGATTTTTTTTATCTATGTTACTATTAATAGTACTTTTGAACCCTAATTAAATTAATGTACTTTAAGACGAAAGCTAAGTTATCTCTATTCATTTCGAAGTAATATTGGCAAGAATTAGTCTTACAATGGAAGGTTGCCAACTGGTAGTTAGGGAGATTGACCATATTCGGCTTAAATGAAAGCTATCACCGCCAAACTAACAAATTTAAAATATTACGTCCCCATAGCGTACCTAGAGCAAGTTACTTACATTTCAATGTATGTGAAATTTAGGTATAAAAATGAATTAGAAAAGGCTTTCTCCACTATTGTAAGGACAAAACATAGTGTTGTTCGGGCCGATTAGGAGTTTGGAGGAGCCCTCTTTCATATGGCCCGAACAATACTATGTTTTGTCCTTACAATAGCGGAGAAAGCCATTCCTGGTTCATTTTTATACCTAAATTTCACATACATTGAAATGTAAGTAACTTGCTCTAGGTACGCTATGGGGACGTAATATTTTAAATTTGTTAGTTTGGCGGTGAGAGCTTTCATTTAACCCGAATATGGTCAATCTCCTTAACTACCAGTTGGCAACCTTCCATTGTTAGACTCAATTATTAAATTATTTATCTTCAAATAGACTGTTAATCTAAAATTCAATTATATCTAATGGGTGGCTCATCACGATTTATTCTGTTAGTATTTTTGAAATTTCTCCTCTATTATATATTTGATTAAGACACTTGTTTTTGTCAAAAGATAGCACTTCACATTCTCCACTAAATGGGATACTTTATTTAACGAATATAGTCTTCCTCATTTTTTTCGATTAAACGTAATCGAATAGCCAAAATAGATACAAAATTTTTATTTTTAATTTTTCAATTTTTTTTGATGAAAGATTTTATTTCATCTATCAATGCTGCCTTTCTTGTTGCGTTGATCCAATAGATAGTTTCAGCCAATTCATCCTAAAAACTTTCCTCTAATGAACATAAATCAGGTGAATTTAGTGATCAACAATACTTTGGGATGAATGTAGAAAAAGGATCAGCACATTATTTTTAGCGCAGATGATGTGTGTGAAGTTTTGCACCGTCTTGCCAATGTGTCCAGTTGTTTCCTAACAGTATATTGCCAAATTTTAGAGCTACAGGAAGAACTTCAGTGACGCATCTTTCCACCTCGATTCTTTCACCTTTCAGACTCACTAACACTGTCAGTCCTTGTCGACATACGTCTAACTACACCATAAACCTTCACCGAAAATTATGTCTTTTCATGAGCAGCATCTTTCTTGCCTACCTCTGCCCTGTTCAGTCTACACCCCTACCATTCTCAGCATTGTAATTAGTTTATGAATTAAATGGTGTGAAGCTATATATTGGGTCCACGCAACATGAAAGACAGTATTGATAGATGAAATAAAATCTTCCGTCAAAAAAAATAAAAATAAAAATTTTGTATCTATTTTGGCTATTCGATAACGTTTAATTGAAAAAAAATGGAGGAGACTATATTCGTTAAATAAAGTATACCATTTAGTGCAGAATGTGAAGTACTATCTTTTGACACCAAAAAAGTGTTTTAATCAAACGAATAATAGAGGAGAATTTTCTAATATACTAACAGTGTAATTCTTTATGCGCTACCAGTTAATTATTTCGACAATATCAATAATCATATTGTTCTCAATGTTAATAGATATTTTAAAGAAAGAAACATATAAACATTTTTCTATGTTGAAGATGCTCTTTCTCAGTGTCCATTGATATCTTTCTATTCAAAATAAAACGATACATCTAATTTTTTGAAAGGAAAAAACTTGAATAAGAACAACATAATAGTAAATAAATATATTATATGTGTAATTCAATGGATTGAGATTGATTTTTTGATCAATATCGATCTCGTGTTGCTGTAGCTTTGATTTTCTAGTTATTAATGTTTTGTTTTGCACTAAATACTTAAACTAAGGTCACCAGAAATGTCTTTAAAGCTGATAATGACTGTATTAACTAAAAAAGATCAACAATTTCTATTTATAAAGTTAAAAGCATCTGAATTAATATATTATTTTTGTTTATTATCTTATTTTTTCGATTTATTCTTCATAATATCATTGTATGATGCCATATTTATACCATAAGTGCATCTCTTATATCGCTGACTATCAATGAAAACATTTGTGATTTTGCTCTTACATGTTATCATGAACCATACATAAGATCAAGAAACAATAACCATACATGTACGCTTACACCAACAATAATAACTGTATATATGTTGAAGTAGACACATATAATAAAAAGAAAACTTAAACTAAGATAAACATTGTTTAAATCAATGTTACAACGTTTTTTCTCAATTATGACTTCAAAACTTCTATCTCTGTGATATTTATTGTAGACAACGAAAACTAATAGATGACTGTAATATGAAAATTGTTTCTTAATGCAATGTATAGTTTATTATGCGATATAAGAATGCAATTAAAAATATTGTCTTCTACAATCAATGTCTATTTAGATGGGATCAAAAACGCTAGTAAGACGTATTCAATAGAAAATTTTAGTATCGAAAAACATGTTAGTATATGAAAAAAAAATCGCATTTTTTGCAATAAATTCTTGATATTAACGAGTAAAGTTTATAGGATAGACTGACTAATAAAAGATATAATATCAATATAACTATGAAGCTAAACATTGCTAATCTGATTAATAAATCAAATGTATCAGATATGTTATTTGTTTCGATCATGAAGATACATATAATTTAAAATTTAAGAGATGTTTTGATTTTGAAATAGATACGAGAACATAAAAAATGATCGTTTATTGTAACAGTAAGTCAAACTTTTTAAGAATATAGTTTTCTTTTGAAGTTAAAGAAAAACATAAAAGACAAAAAATATTTTTCACTTGTCGCTTATTATTGATAATATCCGTTTGTAATTATATTTCGCACAAACAAGAAATAACATGTTTTCAATGTTCACCTGACGGCCAAAAAAATCTATTCTATTTATGTCTAAAAATAATAAATTTTAACAGAAGTAAAATGGTAAAGAAAGCAAATAAATGATAAAAAGCTGGTTTGGCTTTTTAAAATTTCGTTAAGCACATCTTACAATGACGAACAATTATAATTATGCACACTGAAAATAGGTTTCTAATTTAAATAGACTTTCTTTATATATGATGCATTCTATCATGAGTCTATTGCAATAAAACTTAGTTTTATCTCACAATGGATGCATTACATGTTGCAATGTAATGAGTTTGTTTATGTCGAATATTAATGTAGAAATAGATATGAAAACATTAAAAAAGTTTTCATATTGAATTTATTGAATCGAAATGCATTAAAAGATATATAACAACTTTTTCATACCATTCAAGTAATCTTACACAACTATCATGTTGGCATGTTATGTGAAAGTCATGAGTATAATAAAATTTAAACTAAATAATTTTGCTGCTGAATCCTTTACTTTATAATTATTGCTAGAAATGAGAAAAAAAGAACAGTTTCGAATAATGAACATTCTGATAGGCAAAATCTTTCTTTGCCAAAAAATAATGATAAAGATAGCATTATTCATGTCGCATCGAACAACTTGTAAACAAAATGATAACGGCGAAAAATGTCTTCCATCAAGACCATTGCTTATGATACTTAACGTTATCCATTACGATCATCATTTACATTTCAGCAGAAACGACTGTAATTCTGGCCGTCATTTTTACCATGTTTTCACGCTGTTGTTACAACTAATTAAAGAAGCCTCTTGAAACTTTTATAAGACAATCTTTGATGATCTATAATGGATAAATGTTTATGAGCTTATTTGTCATTGCTAAGTGAACCAAACTCAAATGCTCCCCTGGAGCGCACTTCTGAGATGGCAATACATTGCACTTTTTTTTTTTCATTTAGCTTCGTTTTTTACATTATTTCATACGTCAATCAATAGATTTTATGTAGACCTATTCAACCAGATGATGTATACTCTTGAAAAGCCTCTTTGCGTCATACTACACGATGATCAACATGATTCCAACTATCAAGTTGTCAAGAATAAGTAGACATTTTTAAATATTCATCGTACCCCACCTCCAAGAAAACAATCATCAACGATATAAAACGGCGACAAGCACTGTCATTACATAGGTACTCTTCGTAATTTCATAAAACAGACAATATAGTTGAAAAAACGATGGTGATTTGCTATCGAAAAAATATCCTGTACAACACAGAATAAAAGGTTACGGCGAAATACGATGAATTTGAATGCAGTAATATGCCATTTCCGACAATCGAAACCATCACATTGAGTTGTTATTGTTCTTTATAGATAAGTAGAATAGCTGAGCAGACGCATTTTTCTGTATTTCAAATACTGACTGTGAAATTCATTCAAGCTTTCATCTTTATCTTAATCATCTCATGCCTAAGTAACAACCCATCAATGCCTGAAAACATTGCAAAACGTCTACGACAATTCTCTGATTCTAAAAGATACCTGTATTCGATTTTGTGTATTTGTATTAGACAACTAATTAGTTTGTTTCAAATAACTTTCTGATTGTTCTTTCCCACGTAAAATTATTGTTTGTATGTGGTTTTCTTTTTTTTATACGAATACCATAACGTAGATATGTGAAGCCATATACAGGAAAAACAGGGTGCCAATTAGGCAATATATATGTATATATTGTTTACATAAGACTCTAATACTAGTAATCATCAGCTTCCGATAAAGAAATCCTTTACGAAGGCGTTTACAACAGAAATGTGGCCGTTTTATATCAATTTCTGACGATTGAATCATCTTGTGTGAGGTAAGAAATGAAGGAGAAGAGAAAGAAAAGATGCGACGTAGACAACACACAAATCACACTCGATTCCCTTAACCACATTTTTTTTCTCCTTTTCAAAGCAGAATATCTTTATTTATACATGTATCAGAAGAAGCATTGAACAACTAACGAAGAAAAGATATCATAGCAACAAGAAGATCCCGAGTAAAGCAACAGAGGCGAAGTTATCAACAAGTAACCTTGAAAAAAAAAGGAAAAACGGGAAGAATACGTGATAAGCAGAGCCTGTCACAATAATAGTTAATGCACGATATAAAATCAATATCTGTTTATTTCAGTTGATGAGAATTTTTCTATGGGAAGTACGTATGACATAGGTCTATATGCTATAACGGAAACTAGTTTTTCCATCATTCATTTTTTTCAAATAGTAAATTTATAATTTCAAACTTTAAATGAATGTCATTGTCTAGTCATTACTATATGAGGAAAAATAATTAGCTGTCAAATCAACATCTCTTAGTATCTAAGGCAAATATATCTCCGTATGACACATAGTATTAATTTATGAATAATGTCATTTTCGTGAACAATTCTTCTTATGTCAATACAGAAAATTATAACGTAGATCCAAACAAATTGGCTTTTCTTCAAAACATGAATTCAACAAAGGAAGATTCTGCAATATCCAATATTAGAGATTATTATGTTGTTTGTTCTCTATCAGCAGGTTTTGGTCTTATGTCTATACTCATTTCTATGGCAATTGTAATCATAATAAGACGTTCAAAACCTCGTCTACACACGATTAGACATCTACTGATGTGTAATACATGCATTGCATCGATTGTTTATTGTATCGTGCAAACTATTAATTATATTTTTCTCATCTTTGTACCATGGGAAACAAGTGATGTATCATGTCAATGGCGAGGTTATTTTGGTTACATGTCAATTTCAGCAGCTACATATTCTTATCTTATTCAAGCAATATCACGTCTTTTCTTCTCGAAATTTTCAACAAAATATCCTGGGTTATTAACATTCAGAACCCATTATTATCTTATTCTCATTCATTGGATTGTTGTGTTTATTATACCATTATCCTCAGTTATCACAAAGGATATTTATTTTCGTCCCGGTCTTCTATGTTGGGTACCCTTGAAATATACCATTCATGTAGCATATACTGCATTTGCTTATTATTTCGTACCAGTCTCTTCTATTATTATTATTTATATTTATATCTATAGAAGAATTAAGAATGGAAGCAAACGTGCTGAAATTATTCTTAATACAGCAAATGACAAACGTGATCTTGAAGTTTTTCGTAATATTGTCATTCTTTTGAGTATTTATATAACAGGTGGTATTCCAACACTGCTTTTTCTTCTTTTTACAATTGAACTATGTTATTTAGCTGGTATTGTTACATTTACATTAGCTGTAACTGTTGAAAAGATATGCACAATATTACTCGATCGAGAACTTCGTCAAGTTGTCTGGAATATAATATTTTCAAGGAATCGAGTTACACCTTTTGAAAACACTATCATACGAACGAGACATATAGTAAATTTCAGACGCTCTTGATGCGTTTAATTATAATCCTATCTTATTATTATGAATTGATCTATGGTATCAATGAATAATCAACAAATATAGTACTGAATGTATGATTCGAGTTTTTATAATATGACTTTCGAAAATTCAATTCTTTTTAACAGAAATTTTTTCTAATTAATAAGTCCAAGCAGAATGTTTTTTAATATTTTCACTATGAAAACTATTCTGCTGCATCTCATCCATGAGTATCACTTAACTTTAAAATGTCCTGTGAAGTATCATATTATGTAAATTTAATAATTTTATCATTCTAATAAAAAATATTCTTCATTGTATTCATAAGTGACAAAGTTAACATGAATATTCAAATTGTTTCTATTGAATCATCATTATTAGAAAATTTCTTTGAATATGTGACATTCTATTGCCAGGAGACGATGTTCCTAAATGGTTAATTACAAGTATTCATAGCTCATACTGATATAAATTAATATCTCAATCTTAAACAAATAATGATGATTAATGTACTGACATTTTTTTATTGAACTATAGAAAATAAATATTTTATTTAGCTTAAAATCATCTGATGAAGGAGCTCGTTCCATTGATACTCTTCATTCGAGCTCCTACTTTGTTGATGAATAAGGTTGATTTTGCATATAAAAAAATTCTAAAATGATTTGTCCTTAGACTGTGTTGCTTGAATTTTAATCATTTTACTACATTTTTTGTTTATTATAGAAAAATGAAGAAAAACTGAATTAAAGAATTTTAGCCTGAAATTTGATCTAGAAATCGACATCATAGTTTTTATAATATTCTAAAAGTTCAAGCTAAAACGGATAATTTTTTCTCAAAATTTTGAATGCTTCAAAACTGAATTTTTCTTGAATCTTATGCAAGAAACAAGCGTTTTTTGAAAAATTTTTTATGTCAAAAGAGAAATATTCATTTGAACTGAATGCTTCAAAATATTATAAAGACTATGATATCTATTTTTGAGCCTATTTTAGGCTAAAATTCTTTAATTTAAGTTTTCTTGCTATATTCCTGGAATATCTAAACGAGACATGTAGTAAAATGATTGACACTTGGGCAGAAAGTCCTAATGATGCATACTCTTATAAGTTTTTTTAAATATACAGTCAGTGCTATTCATCAGTAAAATACCACTTCGAACGGGAAGTATGAGTTGAAAAAGTTTCCTCATGAGACAAAAGACGAACACTTTTTCTAACTTCATAGTGAGCATGAGAAGGTGCATCAAACAGTAATTTCTTAAATAGAAGCAACATATAAAGAAGATGCAAATATAAATATGTAGAAACACAATTTATCAATCATCTTGTTGAAAAAGCATATTTCCTTCTCAATCTATACTTGTCTATTTGTATCAATTTAATGATTTAGTTAAATCTTCCATACCAAAAACAGCTTATATATATAAATGTTTTGAACAAGAAAACAATGTGGCAAGTTGATTCATTCTTTCAATAATATGTATTTTAATACATATGGATCAAACGATCTTCTACATATACATCCCTTTTAGTTATTTAGAATTGTAATTCAATAATAGTTCGTTTGCATTTGTGATCGTAGCTGAGATTTTTTCGTCCAAGTTACTTGACATCTTTTGATGAGCATATCTTTGCGATAAAAATCTGTTTCAATAAAGGCTTCTCTTTTCATTTCTCTCCAACAAAGGTATGAAATTATTCATGGTTTTCTTTTAGAGAAATGGTTCTGCTGAGAGATAATCTTAAAATAGACAGCTAATTAATAATAAGATAAGTTTTTATCTGCACATATGTATTCAGAATGAGTTCAAAAAAAAAATCCCTAAGCTCGAAAGATGAATTATTAATGTGAAAAAGATATCCCGGATTAGAATAATAGTCACAAATCTTAAATATGTATCAAGTTTATAAGTTCAGTCAGAAATATTAAAAAATATTTGCTAGAAACTAACTATTTACATGACAAATAAAAAAGAAAAAGAAAAAGAATGAGAATTCAAAATTATATCAGAGATCCATCAGACGATATACATAGCGAATGTCAATTGATTGATGACTTACGCCATTAGATTTTCATATTGAACATCTTTGACGAGCAATCATTTGATTCTTTCATTGTTGAGCGTTCTTGACTTTTTCAATATAGATAGCAAAATATTTTATTGTGACATCAATTATAATCATAATAAATTTCATCGATTTTGCAAGACTAAAATTGTCGACAAGAGTTTTTTTAAGTTAATAATCATATATTTCATTCTTTCATTCACTGTAACACTCGAGCATGTTTTTAATTTTTAAGAAACGAGAGAAAAAATAATTAAAAAAACAGTTCAATTCTAATAAGTTACTCTTTATAGAAAACATATTAGGATTAAGATAAGTAACTATCTCGTAAATAAGAAATCTCTTTTTGAGAACAATCATAGGTGATATGCCTAGCCCATGAGGATTTGTTGACATTGAAAATCATTCTCATATAATAGATATTCAATTTTTATTTATTTGTAAACAATTTTCTAACGCTTTTCACCTAGTTATTTATCATTTGTCATTCTCTTTCTTCACATTTGATCATAAGTATAAAATTCAATGAATTCTATTAATAAAAATCTTGCGTTAATAACTAGAAAGTGCAAAACGAAGATTATGAAATTCTTAATAAAGTGAAAGTCTCCAGTTATTAAATGCGACTATTGTCTGTGCGATGGAATGAACGAAGAACGCATCTTTGAATTACGTATATAGGCTTGTCCGGGTTCATAAAATGTGTATAATGAAAACATAAAATATGCATAATCTTTTTCTGTATTTAGACTCTTTAAATAGAAAGAAAGAAATTAAATTAGGGAGTTAAAAAAATTGTGCTACTATATGAAGATCTTCGTTTCTATTGGAATGTGAAATTCGCGTAAAAAAATTTAAGAGAGTGTACATGATTATTGGTATTTATCTTTCTTTATTCATTTACGCCAAATAATCGAGCACAAGTACGACATTTCTCTTTAAGAACGATCATAATAGAATGCTGAAAAGAATTTTACAACAATTAGTTAACTATGGAAGTATTTTCAAATAACAGTGTGTTATCCATGAACTCATTTTATGACCTTGGTAATTGTTTTTTTCATATTTCAGATGATCCAATATCACTTGATTATTAATAAGTATTTACATTAAATCTTTAATATTAGGAAAGTAAGACTACAATAAACCTAGGAGATTCAGCTTTTGCTCATCATTGTTTTGAAAATAGAAGATTATTATTATCACTTGAGCTTTTTTTGAAAGAGCTTCTTTCATTATGTTTTCTAAAAACTTCATCCATACTAGTAGAGTAAGATGTTATTATGTAAACTCAATTCTTTTTTCTATTGAAACAATTTTCTTAAGCATGATGAATACATGTTATTCGTTATTCATTTAATGCGCTCCATAGTAATCTAAAACTGACGAAGAAACATAGAGAATAGAGATTAAGCTGAAAATTCAGTTGCAACATATCATAATAACCATAGATTTATAGAGTCTTTCTGTTCAATAACACAATACTTGGTTTATTAGACATTTATCGAGACAGACACGGTCTTGAAAATCATGACTTTTCTCTACGAAAAACCTACGAGACAATTAATGTAAGTCATTCTACTTGCTTCCAAGCTAACTGTCCGTAAAACCAAACAGATCGATCAGAACCGAAAATATCCGAGTGTCGGCCGAAATTGTAGTTTTTTTTTCAACTTTTTGACTAAGTCGCATATTATTATGTTTGATCGGTTTGTTCAATTTTATGCACAGTTATATAAAATGCAGATGAGTAGCTGGGCATAAAAATTCTGTAGATTTGCTGTCGAGAAAAAATGTCATCATTTTCAGTGATACATCTTTCTCAGCATATATGTCACTGTTACCAATATAGAAAATAACAGTGTAACCAAAAACGGTTAATCTTTTTTGTTGTAAATGTTTAAGTTTTTAGTTTCCATGAAAACGGTGTCTCGAAACGTTTTCTAGTTACTATAATGAGTCTCTTTTTTTACATAAATGTTGAAGAGTTTAGAAAATCACTGATTAAATAAAAATGAACCTAATCTGTCAGAAGGGGTTAAAGTTTCTCTTTCTAGAAGTTTATATGAGTGAAAGAATAAATTCCCCACGAAGACGAATGCTTAATTATCAGATAAATATTACCATCTTGTTCAAAATGTATTCATTTGTTTTTTGAATAAAAGTCAGCAAAGCCGTCATTTATTCATTGATCACAGAAATTATGCTTTCCGAAGCTTCGATTAGTATTTGATCGAAAGAACGTCAAAACCTGGGCAAGAGTCAGCTATTTCTTTTTTCCGTTTCTCACTTCGATATATTTGTTGCATTTTTTAACGCTCAAAAACACCAGTGAGCCTTTAATCGAGTTTAATGTTCTATATCGTAGTACAAATTGTTGTTACTTCATGATTAATGAGAAAGAAACGATATGTGCACAGAAAAAATTAAAATATCTAGAAGCAATGAATAAAGCTAAAGCGACAGAAGAAAAATAAAACTACTAAAAAGACTGTTTTCTGAATACATTATTTTCCCCAGTGACAAATAGAAGCTATTCAACAATTGCCTTAATGTCAAGTTCGAATTGGCAGGGATATTCTATACTTCTAGTCTACAATAATTTACCTTAAACATATAACTTCATTGAATGAGAATGATATGAATTTCTAAATGGCCCGTTTGTCATTAAATATCCTTTTAACAACAACAGAATTGAAATGAAGATAATGTTTAATAGCAAGTTTTCATTTTACTCATTTCATAGAACAGATTCTGAATTATTATTATTATTATTATGAAGAAGATGAGTAACTTGAAAAGTTGATTCAGTATAGTATTTTGATATATGCAACCACAAGGTATTGGATAATTTAAAACTTGTACCACTTGTCAACGCATTGACAAAAGATAGTATTTTCTTAGTCACAGATGAAGAAAAAGACCATTAACTTTATATATTCATGTAAAAGCAAGAAGTCTCTAGCCATCAAAGTATATAAAAAACATTTTTTTTAAATAAAAGTTCACTTCAATCACGCAAAGTTTCAAACTTGCAAATAATCTTTTTCACTCGATTCATTTGATTATCAGTATTAACATCATATTTTAGCTATTCCAATTTCCTTGATATAGAAAAATTAAAATATTGAAGAAGCTAACAAGCAAATGAACAACTAGTAAAGGTAATTATTATTTCTTTTATGAGTGTGTTAATTTTCATGTTTATCAGATTGCTTCTAGTTGCTTCTAGAGCATTTAGTGTCCATTCAATCGTTATTTTCCATTCCTTATTGTTAACACCTGTTCTAAAAGCACCGATTAATTGTGTTTTCGTGAGATGACAATTTTTCATTTTCTTTTATCTATGAACGTTGAGGATGCTATTCATAATAGATAAATATTCTTCGTTATATTAACTAGATATAGTTTACATTACACTACAAATAAATCAGTTCAATTTCTCTACAACTGAATTCACTAGACTTACCATTAGACAAAGTCGATAATACAGGTGATTCCAGTTTTTCTGCATTACTTCTATAGAAATAATTATGGATGCAGATAAAATACTTCATAATATAATAATAGTAATAGTCATTTCTTTTTAAAAGAAAGTAATAAATACCTCTATAACAAAGAATCTCAGAATTCTATGCCATCGATTCTAGTAGTATACTCTAGATAATTTGATGATTTACAACAAGCTCTAATAGGATCTTGCTGGGTTGATTGGAAAAATATTTCAATATGAAATTTTTGGATGTCGAATCCGACGACTTCTTATTCCAGATATGACAAGCAGCAAAGACGAGAGAAACCAAAGATAAGATAGGATCATGCGAATTTTAGAAAAGAATATTAACTAGAGCAAATATTACAGTCAATTAAAACAGTTGAGCAAGACACCATTAAATGGTCAAATATGAAGACATTTATCGTTGTTGTAAATACTGTCGTAAAACGCTTCCCTTTTGTTTCTTCCATGTTGCAATACATTCTCTTTTACCTATATAAATATATGGCTGTTGAGAAAGATTTAAATGAAAATATAATATATTTTAGTTATATCCTATTAACGTACTTTGGTGTTTTGTATTTGAAATATATCTAGATAAAAATGGCACATATCTATGACATTTTATTACTTAGTATTACTTTATCCATGGAGAACAAACTTCAATAAAAAAGATCTTAATTATGTATTGATAATTTACCATTGCATTGTGTAAAGGTAACTATTTATAGCAATGAATCACACAATTGTTCAGTAAACGTGCATTGAGAATAGAAAATACATGAATTCTAGATTAAAATATTCATAAACGGTCGTGACATTTGTTCGAAACTACTTCAGAGAATAATCAATTTTTTATTAATTTGAGAAACCAAATGGAGAACTAAGACAGAAGATAATTTCAAACATAAAAGATAAGAATTTGTGATCAATGAAATAAACAAAACAGTTTCGCAGTTAGTTCGATTGAAATAAAATCAGTGCGAGTGATTTCTCTGCGTTCATTGATATCTTTATAGCCTTATGAGTCTGAAACGATATCGATAGATATGACATCATGGTAACTGAATGTCAATATAGTCAAATAAAGTGTGAATTTTTTCAAATATATTTTATTATCTGTTGAAATACTGCGACAGGAGATGTGTTATCGGAGAAAGAGTGCTTTGGCATTCTTTTACATCTTTGCAAATCATTGGAAACGACAAAATGTGTTGAATTATGTATTGTCGAATTGGATAAGCTCTTATCAGTGGATGTCATCGGATTCGACAAAATGTCAACAATCCCACAGTATTTGATAATTTAAGAATTCAATAGGACCCAACCGGGCATTTTCGAACTTGAGATGTTATTCAAATGAAAATGTTTTTTCCATCGATGGACAATTTTTGCTTTTTATTCCTTTATTTTTTTCTCCTTCAAATACCTTCAAATGTAATATTTAAATGCTATCTATTTTCTTCCTTTTCACTTCTTGGGCGACGCCTATTCAGCTACCAATTAAAAATGAAACATAGTATAAGCAGTTACATCATTGTCTTTTATTTCATTCATCTCTTTTTTCTCTGTATTCTATGCAACTAGCTACATCCCTTGAAAAAAAAATAACTTGTCTACTTGAAATGCATTTCGTCTATTAGGTGACAGTTTCCTGCATAACATAAACAAAGGCAAAATAAAGATTTCTGTGTGTTGAAAACTATTCAACTAACAATGAATTCAACAGAAGAGACACCAAATTACATCCACGATTATTCCATAGTTTGTTCATTCTCCGCAGTATTTGCTATTAGTGCTGTAGTCATATCTATTACAATACTAATATTAGTACAAAGAACAAAACCTCGTCTTCATACAATCAGACATTTACTCATGTGTAATACATGTATTGCATCGATTCTTTATTGCATTGTGCAAACAAATAATTATGTTTTTCTTTTCTTTATACCTTCGGTGACAAGTGATATCTATTGTCGATGGCGTGCCTACTTGGCTTATTTCGCTATTTCTGCAGTTGCTTATTCATTTCTTATTCAAGCAATATCACGTCTTTTTATCTCTACGTTTTCAACAAAATATAAATGTTTAATTACATTCAAAACACATTATATTCTTATAATTATTCAATGGTTTACTGTTATAATCATTCCACTACCAGCAGTAATAACCAAAGATATTTATTATCGTACTAACCAACTTTGTTGGGTACCTATGCAAAATATAGTTCATACGAGTTATGCATATATTGCTTATTATACAATACCGGCATTATCTATTTGTATGATTTATATTTTCATTTATTATCAAATTAAACAAGTGCAAAAAGGAGCTAGACCTTTGTTAAGACTTATACATGGAGAAAAACGTGATCTTGAACTTCTGCGTAATATATTAATACTCCTGAGTATTTATCTCATTGGCGGAATTCCTTTTCTGTTATTCGTGTTCAGTTCTAACAGAATACTATATTTAATAGGTCTTGTTACGATATCATTAGCTGTGGCTGTTGAAAAACTATGTACAATCCTTCTAGATCAAGAACTTCGACAAGCTATTAGAAAATTAACAATTAGAAAGACGCGCATTACACCTCTTCATAATACGCACATAACAACAAGATATCGAGAATACCAAACACAGATACAACGAGCCATCGTGCAACCTTTACCAAAAACTCGAAATACACCATTCTAGATAATTTCAATCTATAGTATAATACGATCACGAACAAGTCATTTGATGATTAATTAATGATTCGTGAATAATTTATATCGTTTTTTCGTTGTTATTGTCGTGTCGCATGCATCTTCTTCTATCTTAATTGTTTCTTGAATAAAAAGTCTCATGTAATAAAGAAAATGGGTTAATCTTCATGTGAAGAAGTCATGATAGAACGACATTATTAGTATTTAGAAATCTAGAAGTCATTGTCTTGGGGACGAGTAGGTATGGATGTGTACGGCTGCAGGTCATTTCTATTGCCGCAGCCTCACGTTCGCAAAAAACATCTAAGCATAGAAAGAAAGGATTTTAGAATTCAAAATGATTGTTTGCAGATGAGTAATTGATTTTATTTGTCCTTTTCATCAGTTAAATTCATCATCAAAACTGAAAGAAATAACAGTTGCATAAATTCTATTCTTTAATCTTTTCTATATTCGTGGAAACGAAGTCGATAAAAAAAATGACTTCAAAGAAAAGACAAGTAACTGAAGAATGATTATCCGTCGAAAAAAAGTATAATAAAGTAAGGTGTACATAATGCGAAAATCAAGTAACTTATTTTCTCGCTCCTTTGTATACCATTCATTAGAGCACGAAAAGTTGGGCAAAGATATATTATGTTCAAACCGATAGGTCCGTGTTTGAGGAAAAAAACAAAAGATTCGAAAGATATGAAAAACGATTGAAAACAACTAAAACAACAGTTTTTCTCAGATATTTTCAAAATTTTTGTTATTTAGGGTTCAGTAATTTTTCAATAGGACTAATTTCTCATTCAGTATGAAAACCTGAGTTAAAGAATGTGATTTCAGTGAGCTTGAAATAGAAGGGTTGTTGAAAATGGACCTGCCGAATGAGAGCACTCAAATACGCTTTTGTAGTATCCATAGAAAATTTTCTGCACCTATCTAGTTTTTTATATGAAGTGATAGGAGCATGTGTCATATCTTATTAGAATCGCTCAATATTGACCTTTAAACATACCCTGTTAGCTCTTCTCCATCTTGTTGTATTGTATACAAAATCGCATTGTTTCGATTATTCTTACTTTTACGCTAAAATTGCGAAAAATAGGCACATATTTACTTAATTTTATCACAATTTTTTTGTGATATCAACAACAACAGATAGAGTACTCGAAATCAAGGAAAAAACTACAATGACCTATTCATCTTTTAGCAAAGAAGAAATTTATATGATATTTTGCCTGTACTCCTTCCTCCTCAGATATAATTTTTTAAAAATTTTCCTTGTGGTCCTTCGGACGACTGATTTTGATCGGCAATGTATTTGACTACAAGATTTATGATTCGTTGCAGTTTTTTATGGTGATTACGAATACTTTATCTCTTTTTTTTATAACAGGCAAAAAATTATGGTAAGATTAAGTAAGTATGTACCTATTTTTTGCGCGATTTTGGATACAATAAAACAAAATCGAGAAGAACTAATAGGATACGTTTGAAGGTCAATATTGAGCGATTCTAATAAGATATGACATTTGATCTTGTCTCTTAATACAAGAAACTAGATAGGTGTACAAACTTGTCTATGGATACTACAAAAACGTCTTTGAGTAGTCTTCTTCGACTGACCCATCTCGGACAACACTTCTATTTAACACTCACTTAAATCACATTGTTTAGCTCAAGTTTTAATACTGAATGAGAAAATAGTCCTTTTAAAAATTACTTAAATCTAAATAACAAAAAGCTTGAAAATTCCTGAGGAAAACTCGTTTTTCCTACTCCTTCGATTTTTTTTTTTTTTCTCTCAAACACAGATCAATCGATTTCACCATAGTATGTCGTTGGCCAACTTTTCGCATTCTATCGAAATGTATACAAAGAAGCGAGAAAAATATTATTCGATTTTTGCATACATGCGAAACCTACTTCGCAAGGACTTTTTACCAAGTGTTTATCAATGTTATATTTTTAGGTTATATAATTTCTTTTACTAGCAAATTTTAACCTTTAAAATGCCTGAATAATTATATTCATTATCAAAATGCATCTTATAATTATATTTCTCACCTACGTCTATTTGAGCGTTATATTGCGAGCACACAATTATTTATTGTCTTGACATTTTTAATGAACCTATTCAGACATGATGCTTTATTGTTACAACATGAATGATACCATTAGCTTTCAAATGAGGACTGCTTTTTCTATTGGATTTTGTCTGCCTATTATGAAGCAGTAACTGTGATCCCTAACATTATTATAGAAGCTTGCGCTTATTGTTTGCTAATTTTTCTCCACTCATTCTCATTAAAGAAAATTCTTTAGTATAAAACAAGCATTTGCAAAATTTACATTATCTCCTATAAAATGAATTCAATGATATCAACTCTAGGAGACTCCTACGTTATTGCTGACTATTATGTGATTTGCACACTTTCCAGGATTCTACTAATTATTGATGTAGTCGTATCTATTACAATATTAATCCTAGTACAAAGAATAAAACCTCGTCTTCATACAATCAGACATTTACTCATAAGTAATACATGTATTGCATTGATTCTTTATTGTATTGTACAAATATATAATTATATATTTCTCATCTTTTTACCCTGGGAAACAACTGATATCAATTGTCGATGGCGTGCCTACTTGACTTATTTCGCCATTTCTGCAATTACTCATTCATTTCTTATTCAAGCAATATCACATCTTTTTATATCTACCTTTTCAACAGAATATAAACGTTTGATTACATTCAAAATACATTATATTCTTATAATTATTTAATGGTTAAGTGTTACCAATTTACCACTACCAGCAGTAATAGCAAGCCATACTTACTATTGTCTTAGGTACCAGTAAAGTTTATGATTCACGTAATTTATACTTATTTCGCTTGTTAATATTTCCTGTGCTTTATGTTTGTATGATTTATATTTCAATTTATTACCGAGTAAAAAAAGGTTACAAACCATGCTGAAACACTTGTGATAAAAACTAAAACTGAAAGGTGAAATCTTGAATTACTTCGCAACATGATGATTCTCTTGATCATTTATTTCTAAGGTGAAATTCCAAGCATAGTATTTATAATAACTGGCTGTACGTAAAACATTATATTTAGCTATTATTGTTGCTGCATCGTTAATGGTAGCTGTAGAAAAACTATGTACAATCATTTTGGATCGAGATATTTGTCAAGTTACAATGAGTGTATTCACTTCAAAGAATTGTAGTCTGCCTTTAGACCAATTTGCTAATGTACAAAGAAGATTCCCTAATTCTCATGACACTCGGCAAATTCATAGATGGGAAAAGCTTTTTGCAGTTAATAATACAGGACAATAAATACAAAAAGTAAGGTGAGAATAAAAGTATTGGAATACAAATATCTGTCGTATCTATTATTGATGTGCATCGAAGAACTCTTCCTTTCCTTTTCTCCATTTAAAAAAGTCTTGACATATTGTGTAATGCTGTATCTCTGTCTTTTGCAAAAACTTGTCTACTAAGCACTCATGCAAAAACATTAGTATCGAACAATAAATATTATACAATCATAGATTTATACTTGAATTTTTATTGATGGATTGGTTAAAATTCTTATTTCCGAATTAAAAAAAAGATTTTCTTGTTTCAAACTTCTCATCAAAGATATATTGAAGAAACACGACCGAATCAAACACTACGACGCTTCTATCAATGTTGTTTGTTGAGTTTGCACGAAAACACCAAGTTATGATCAGTTAGTTGCCTAGATCAGTCATGAATTAGGATTAATCATTCGTAGGCCATTGGATTATTAGTCATCAACCTACAAATAATATTCATCCGTAACTTCTTCAACATATTAATTTCATTTATATTGTCCAAAAAAGAAATATTTCTAACTGTTTCTCATCTTATTATTACTTAGTCAGCAAATAAATAAAATCAAACTCTATTAAAATTTTAATTAATGTTCGAAATATTGCTTTAATCTGATTTAACTCTATATTTACTGTTTCACTGATTTTTTTTTCTTATTTAAATAACAATTACAGATGTATCTGACACTGATCTTGATTAGTAGCAACTCACTTTTTAGTGATTGTTCTTTAATGTCAAATTTCATTTTGATACACATATACAAACAGTTCAAAAGAAATCTTCCTTCCTATTCGATAGTTCGTTGAAGGATATTTATAATATGAAAGTTTTTCAAAAATTTAACTAATGTGTAAAAAACAATCGTTTCCATCATTGATCAGCTTCAAACATATTTCGAATACAAACGAAACAGTTTTTGTCATTAAGAATATTCTGACTTTTATTAACCTAACAAATTGATCATCTATAGAATGAAACAATATAACGAGAACACATGAAAGACCCATTATAAGTTTCTTTCGTATGCTTGTATTTATAGCTAAAATTTACATTTTATGTAATTATTAACTTTTAGCCAGCATAAAATTCCAAAACAAGTCTCTATTTATTAAAAAGAGAGGAGTCGACTACAACTGTTAACAATAGTTTACTCGATAAATTTGCTTTGTTCTATATCAAACTATCACAAATGATATTCGAAAGTGAGTGCTGATAGAAAAAATCATATAGTACTTATTTGTGTTGTGCATAGATTGATTGAAATAGTCAATGACTATCAACATGTATATTAAACCTGATTGTTGTTAATAGTTAGCTCTTTTAATTTACGCACCCTATGTGTTACTTGATTAAATTTCATATGATTTGATAGCATTTTTCATGAACTATAAAATTATATAAATACATTGAGGAAATAAGACTAATCACTTAAATAAACCTTAAGGACACTACTTTTGAAGTAAGACGCAGTCTTTTTTATTGGTATTCAGGAGACTTCGATAAGAACATTGGGATTTGAAAGAAAACTAATATAGTATTCTTAATCAGCATTGCAAAACTAATAGACTCATGTGTATTTCAGAAATTTTATGAATTCCTTTTTTTGTCGAAAAATTTACATCTCGTCTTCGTAAGGGTTATGTCAAAAATTGTATTTCATTAAAAAATTATTTTGACAATGGAAATCAAGTTCTAAGGTCATGAAACGATCGTAGAATTTGTAATGGCAAATGAATTAAGAGTCAAAAGAAAGCTTTCATTAAATTCATGTTTTGAGCTAACCCTGAGAGAACACCAATGGTAGATATTTTGACGAAACAGAAATTTGTGAAAATATTTGAAATAAACGTGAGTCTATTGGTTTTACAATGCTGGTTAAGAATACCATATTAATTAGTTTTCTCCCAAAATTCTAACTTTTTTATCGAAGTCTACTGAGTAACAGTAAAAAAGAGGCGAAAATCTTGTCTTGAGAAATGTCTTCAGGATTTCTTTGAGTGGTAAATCTTAACTCCTCGATGTTTTTATATCATTTTGACACTCTTGACAAGCGATATAGAACCATATAAAATCTATTATGGTTCCTCATGAGATGAGTAGATTAAAAGAGCTCTATATCATGAATAGTTGGGTACAACATATACGTGACGGTCATCGACGATTTCAATAGACTTGTGCAGAGCACACATAAGTGCTATATGACTAATTCTACCAGGGCTCACTTTTGGACAACTTGTGTGACAGATGAACACGGAAGAAAGGAAATTTCTCGAGGGAACTATTTTTGACATTTATCGATCCACTTCCTTTCATTGATTTATTGGGACTAAAATTCTTTACACAAGTGTTTTAGGATTGGTAATTGTATGTTTAGTTTTTCCTTCCAGAGTAACACTCAAGTATGTATTATGTTAGTGAAGAACTAAGAGAAAAAATTAGTCAAAAAATATTCAAGTCTAATAGGATATTTTTCACTATTAAGCATATTAGAATTAAGATGAGTAACTATCTGGAGAATAAGAAATCTCTCTTTGAGAACAAGTATAGATGATATGCCCACTCTAAGAGTATTCATTAACATCAAAAATCATTCTTGTCTGAAAAAGTCGAAATCTCCAACTGTTAAGTGCACTTATTGTTTGCTCGGCGAAATTAATTCAGAAGGCGTTTGTGAAATACATATATAGTTTGTTGAAGTGCATAAATGTGTACAATGAAGGTATAAAATAGTTATTGCATGTTTTTTGTATTCAGTACTTTTAAGTGGAAATAAATAAATTAAATAAATGAGTTTTATAAAAGCTGTTCTAATATATGACCACATTATTTTGTCTCAAAGTGCGAAATTCGCGTAAAAAAGGTTAATAGAGTACCCTTGATTATTTTCATTCATCTTTCTCTGCTCATTCATGTGAAATAATTGAGCACATGTACGACATTTCAGTTTAAAAAACGATCATAATAGAATATCGACAACAATTTTTACAAGACTACTTAATTATGCTATTGAAATATTTTCAAACATAGCCATGTTATTCATGAATTCATGCTACGATCTTTGTAATTGTTTCTTTTTCTTTTTAANCTACTAGTTGTAGATTTAGTCATGTGCTTTTATTGCTTTATAAATTCATAGTTGAAAAGCATTTCTGATATTATCATCGATTCAAATTAGTAAAAAAAATTGTTTTTATTAGAATCAAAACTTTAGAAGAAATTATCTTGAATAGAAGAATGTAACTTTCATACTCATTAACGAATTCAATTTAGTGAAGCATTTTGTCATACAAGTGAAATATGCATTTGATTCGAAGACATCTTGTTTAGTAAGAGCTATACACTATACCGAAGTTCTAACGTAACATAATGACTATATTATTCCATAAAGACAATTATTCTTATCATTTGAAACTTTCGAAGGTTTCAATTATCATTCAAGAGAAGAGGCTGATTTTTACAAATAAACTAGTTCATTCAGCATATAGAAAAAAGAAAAAACAACTGAAATACATACTTTCACTATCATTCTCTTATTCGACTCATAATTTCGCAAACATCAGAATTAAGATTACATTCCAATTTGAGAATCAAAACGTTTTCGCTTCTTGGTATTATGAAACATATGCTTGTCTATGTATTAAACGACAGTAATAGTATATGTTCCGCTTGAAACTATTGAAAATTAGGTCTGTTGTGTTTAGATCGATTGAGTAGTTTCTCGTGCTCCTTCGGTTCCAAGAAACAAGAACCGATTCCATCTTTCTTAATTTAATCCTAATGTCAGGTTTATTGAAAATAAAAAAAGGAGGAATTATTGTTGAGGAATGGCAAAAAGGATTAATTTCATGCTCATGTTACACCTCTAGTTGATTAAAAAACAACATCATGAAGAATTATTAGTCAATGAAAATTGAATAGAAGAATCGATATTAGCAGCAAACTAGGTAAATTTATTCTAATGAAGATTGATGCATTTGAAGTTGTTAGCTCAGTCAATAACGAATTTGTAGTTGTTCGTTGAGTCATAGTTGGCTGCGCAGTAGTTGACCGCGCAGTTGTTGACTGCGCCGTAGTTGGTCGTGCCGTAGTTGGTAGCGTCGTAGTTGGTCGCGCCGTTGTTGGCTAAGTCATAGTTGGCTGTGTAGTCGTTGATTGAGTCGTAGTTGGCTGTATAGTTGTTGACTGAGTCACAGTTGACTGTGTAGTCACCGGTTGAGTCGCAGTTGGTTGTGAACTTGTGGTGAATATCATATAAAATCGATTTAAATCACCTATCGCTGAATTTAATTGAGATTTCAGCTGAAATATACGACGGTCTTTAACTAGTTTCTATTTGAACACACTTCAACTACTTACTTCACAAAATAGTTCTGGTCGAGAACAATTATCAGCAAGACAATAAATATCAGTCTCCCATAAGTCCAAAACAAGTAGTTGTTTATGAAAATATAATATACCTTCGATTTCTACTTGAGTTGTATCGATGTCATAGAGTTCTTCACTCGGTATAGCACAATACGACTGATAACATAGTAGACCATTTTCTGGATCATTAACTGTATCCGAAACAATACAAGTACTGTTGCATGAATGAATTGGACATCGACTAGCATCAAGGAAATCAATTGTACCACATTGTGGAGCATCTGGACATTCATGACAATCACGTTCTGATTGTCCAGTACCTAGAATACTTGCATTTAACCAATCTTCTGGAAGATGCATTTCAAATGACTTTGGAAGATATTGTATTAGATTAGGATGATTACATAAATCCCAATCACATCCATAAACAACGTAATTGGTTACTCAATTCCATCGTCCTGTTGTTGCATTGTAAGAAATTGATTCTTCAAGAAGTAAATAAGGAAGATCACGAATATGAACACGAGATGAGTCTAAGCCAAGATGCCCCAAAGTGATCCAGCGATCTTCATCATAGCCTTTATGCAAAATTAAACAATAGGTTGTGTTTGCACTCTTGATTGTAGTTCTAGTGCAGTTACAATTAATTTCATTGAAGCAATCGCAATCATAACATCGTCGTTGTGGTATTGTTGGATCATGTGTTTCATTGAACAAAGCAGCAAGAGTACCTATCTGTATATTTATTTGTTCACGAAGTTCTTTGAATACTTCTGGATTTGAACAATTATCAGCACGACAATAAAGATCGATTTCCCATATTTTCACATCATTGGGTTCACTAGCATAAGTAAGACCTTCGATTTCAACACGATGATGATTAATATCATTTTGATCATCACTAGATGATATACAAAATGATTGATAACATAAAAGCTCGAAAGCTGGATCATTAAATGTGTCTGAAACACGACAAGTAGTATTACATGAATGAATTGGAGACAGACTAGAATAAAGAAAATCAGTTGTACCACATTGGGGAGCATCTGGACATTCATGACAATCACGTACTAGTCGTCCAGTACCTAGAATACTTGTATTCAACCATGTTTCTGGAAGACGCATTTGAAAAGTATTTGGTAGAAGTGATATAAGTTCGGATTTATTACATGAATTCCAATTGCATCCATAAAGAACTAAATTTGTTGCAGTAAGCCATCGAGCAGTTCTTTCATCATAGCTAATTGTTTCTTCAACAACAACAAATGGAGCTTCCAGAATATAGTTATAACTTGCATAATAATCGAGATAAGTAAAGTTAAATGAAATATCTTGATCACGATGTTCTCGTGCAATAATACAATAGGTATCATCTAACGACACGACTTCAAATGATGTGCATGCACATGTTGTTGAACTAGTACATTCACAACTGTAGTATTTAAGGGGATTTTTTATGGCAGTTGTAGTTGGTAGTGGTTGGATTGTTGTAGGTCGAACAAGTGGAAAAAAAGATAAATCACCAATTGTATAGTTAAGGGCATCAGCTATTTCTTGAAACATAGTTGGTCGAGTGCAATTATAAGCACCACAATATACATCCATCTCCCAAATGTAGTATTTTGAACGATCTTGTGCTAAATAAACAACGACTTCGATATCAATTCTGTATTTACTATTATAAAATTCATCTAAGTCTTCATCTAAATACTCCGGTGCACATTGTGATTGATAACATTGTTCACCTGTATCAAAATCAATCCATAAATCGTAGGCCAAACACTAAGAACAGACAAAACACAATTTATTTATGATCAACAATAATTTAGAAAAGTGATTAAAAAATTGGCTTCATTAATTATCAATTAATATTACCGTAGTCACATTGTCACAAGTTGTTATTGGACATAGAGTGAAATCAATAGGATTTTCTGAATCACCACACGTTTCCGATGGACAATGATGACACTCAGTAATAGAACCCGTATCATAAATATTCGTATTTAATCAATCTTTATCAATAGTTAATTCAAATGAAGTAGGCAACGCATTGATCAAGCTTGGGGAATTACAAAGATCCCAATCGCATCCCAAAACAGCATTATCCGTCCATAAATACCAGTCCATAGTAGTTTGATTGAATAGAATAGATTCTTTCAGAAGAATGAAGTAATGATCTTCAATGTAAATTAAGGTTGTATTACGACGAAGTCGACTTAGTTGAATATTCGTTTTATCCTTCAGTCTTTGTTCATTGATAATACGAAAATCACCATCATGCGAGGTAGTTGTTTCACCACAATCACATGCATATATATTAATGTTACTACAGCCACATTCATAGCATGTAACACTATTACTAGGTACTATTGATACAAGTGATAGAAAAATTAAGCCATGAACGATCATTATTCGTAGCAAGGAATTACAAGTAGTGATAAAATGCTTTTACCTGATTTTAAAACCGAGTACCTTATATGGATACTTTCCTTTCGTTTTTTTATTTTTGGACAGAGAAACAAACTCATAAAAAGTGCCTTTAAGAATATACAGTGGGCGTCATAAGTCTCGCTCCACTTTTGTATTTTGAGTCGTCCATTTGAACTAAACAACGTTGATTTAATTTGATTATATATTCTTGTAGCGGAGATCGAGCACTATCTGTATACACCTGTTCCATACGGAAAACTCTCGNCCATAAATCGTAAGCTAAACACTAAAATACAAAAACAAGCATAATCTATTTATAATGAGCAATAATTTAAAAAAACTATCAAACAATTGATTTCGTTATTTAATGGGTCATATTACCGTAGTCGCATTGTTACAAGTTGTCATTGGACATTGGGTGAAGTCAATTGGATTTCCTGAATCACCACACATTTCGAATGGACAATGATGACACTGAGTAGTAGAACCTGTACCATAAATATTCGTATCTAGCCAATCTTTATCAATAGATAAGTTAAATGAAGCAGGCAACCGGTTGATCAAATCTGGAGAATTACAAAGGTCCCAATCGCATCCAAATATAGCACCAGTCGTCAATAAATACCAACTATTTGCTGTTTGATTGTATCGAATAGATTCTTGCAGAAAAATATAGTAAGGATCCTCAACATAAACCAAAGTTGTACCACGAGGAAGTCGAGTTAGTTGAATATTTGTTGTATCTAGGAATCTTTCTTCAGCGATAACACAATAATCACCATCCATCTGGGTGCTTGTCACGTCACAATTACATGCAGATATATTAGTGCTACTACATCCACATTCATAGCATGTAAGACTATTACTAGGTACTATTGACACAAGTAATAGAAAAATTAAGCCATGAACAATCATTATTCGTAGCAAGGAATTAAAAGCAATGATAAAATGCTTTTACCTGATTTGAAAAGAGACTGTTTTATATAGTACTTTCTTGTTCTTTCTCGATTATTGGATGGACCATAAACTCATAAACGATGCCTTTAGCAAAGCACTTGGCGTGCACGGACAAAAAGATCGTATAATACTTTAGAACAACTGCAAAAGAGAATTAGTATCATTGGATATCATCTCTTTATTGTCATTTATAACAGTATAAATTTTATGAATAGCAACAATATTCTTTTTGTTTTTTATATAACCAAGCACAGAGAACATGACTGTATACAAAATTGTATGACATTGTCGAAGGTTTTCTTTGTTCTTTTCTTTATATTTCTAATTCCAAATTAAATGTAAAAGAATAGAAAACAACTCGGATTGAACTAGAAAACGATTTAGTGTCGTTATTGTAATTAAACAAATTTCTATTAGATTTAGCAAATCTTCCAGCATAAATAACTGGAATAAGAATGTACTGTTCGTTGCACCATTTCGTTGGATGATTAAAAGACAAATAGTCAATATTAATGTTAGTTATTCGCATACAATGATATATATTTTATTCTAGGATATTACTACATTCTCTCTTAGAAATTAATGCTATAAATAAGCGTTTTTCAAGTAAACTTGTTCATTACATATTTTTTTCAAGATTCAAATAAAAAGTCTTATAAATATTTTATCTTTTGAATTATTCAATAGGGCAATAATAAACTAATAAACTATTATAGCGATTTATAGCTAACAACTATGTCAATTGTTTGAAGTACCAATAGAATTTTATTGAATTTTGATTGTAGAGATGAAGGTTGCTTTTTAGAATTATTTAACATTCAACAATTGTACGTTATCTATTTATTACCAGCATAATAAAATTTGTGAAGAACTATTGGTAAAGTTAAATGGTTTTAGTAATCTTAATCTATGTAGTGTGGGCAAATATAAATGCTATGTATATTCGAAAAAAAAAATTAGAATACTCTCATAGAAGTGTCTTTTACATTGAACTTTTGAGAGAGCATAGGTCAAATCTGTTCAGTTATCCTGCAAGAAATGGTTTAAGTTAATTAAAAAAAAACTCCATTTCAGTGAATCAAATAAAGAAATTTTTCCTCATATACTATATGTGCTTTATGAAATAAATAGTGAAAGAATACATTCTATAATCTAATTTATAGTATTTAGAAAACATGTGTCACTAAAAACCCTACGTTACTACATATTTTTTTGTGTTGAACAAAATCGCACATAAGATGGTAGATGTTAGCGACTCATCATTATGTGTGTGTGTGAATTTATGATCGATGAGATGTTTTGAGCTTCTTTTTCTGTTGTAAGAGCATGTTTAGCAGATATACAAATGCCTGATGCTTCATTATCCTGAACAAATACTAATTTGCATGCGTCGTTGTATGCAATGCATCCTGAAGGTGGTACTACTTTGCCTGCAGCAAAACCAAATCCACAGCAAGTCGTGGATTTTGTTATACATTTACGCTGGAGACAATCAGGAAAAGGTAATTTAAATGAAGAACCAGACAATACTTGTATATTTTTGAATGTACGTTGTGTATTAATAGTACCATATTCTAAAATAAAAAACAATTCATTTTTTCTTACCTCATCAATAAAATAAAATATTTTACTTGTAACGTGAGTTGTAATTTGTCCGTGAATATTTCCTGAGTCACCAAAAACTATAAAAGTGATAATTAGAAACATCAATAAAGTCCAATTACAAATCATCATTCTTAAGGTGTTTTCTTTTGTAAATGAACGATAGATAGGAATCAAATATTAGTTAGAAAAAAAGAAGTAAGATTTATATATACATAAAAGAAATTATCTTTCGGATTATGTACTAGTAAGCCAACACGACATCATACAATTGATAGCAAGTCTGGTTTCATAAATAACATAAATAAAAATGACATTATGCAGTGTCTCAAAAGTTCCTTCTACTGAAATTTTTCGCAAATCTTCGTTATCTAGTTTGACTTTATTAACTAATTTTTTTTAAATAATAGGTGAATACACTGAATTTTTATTTATAAGAACAAACTTCAGAAGTACTGTTCAAAGCTAAGACCTTTAACCTGCACAAAAATCTGGTCTGTTTTCTATTTCCGGAAACACATTACGCAACATTACTTTTTCAATTACTTCAGAATATTGAATGATTTATATGTTTAAATTCTCCAACTGTTGAATAGTCTTTTCATAAAATTTTATTTTGGCATGTCTTCAAAAAAACGAACTGAATAGTATCAAGTCAAAATTCGAGCAATTAAAACAGACATCATCCACGAGCTTCTACGGGAACAGAAAACAGGCTAAAGTTTATATTTCGGTTAAAGATCTTAGCTTTGAACAGTACTTCTGAAGTTTGTACGCATAAACAAAAACTCGGTGTATCCACCTATCATTTTAAAAAAGTTAGTTGCTAAAGTCAAATTAAACAGCAAAGATAGACGAAAAATTTAAGTGGAAGCAGCTTTTTTGACGTCCTGTATATAAATAAAAGCGTAAACGATGCAAAAACGTTATTTTTCCCTCGCTGTCCGTCATATATTATTATGATTTATTTTTCATTAGAATATATTCGTCTCTTTTACTTAAATAATCGATGTTTTCTATACATACGCAGTTATGCTGGACGCACATATATATATTAAAAGATCATCATGATTTTTTAACATGGAACGTTGCCAATGTTATATTCCGCTGAAACCATTATCAATTATTCACATTTACCTTTAGATATCTTTGAATACTGTATCATACTAAAAGGCACAATAGTATTTCAAATCATTTAGCTGTTTGATAATATGTTGGTACTCTTTCAACAACAACCTTCTTATACATGATATTCGTATAATCACAAAATTTTATTTCATAGAACATTTTTTATGAGAAATATCATATTTATTCTGTTATTTGATAAGTTCATTTTTAGCCAAGAAATGAAGCTAATTGGTTACAACTAGTCCCTTTTACAGATTCATGTTCATCCTTATGGTATTGACAATTTTTTACAAAGTAATTATTCAAAACAATTAACAGAATTCTCAAAAGAAGTCAGAATATAAGATTGATTTAGTTACTAGAACAAGAATCTTTTTCTATACATAAAATCCAGAGAATTAGAAAACTTATTAAATATCATTTCATAATAGTTCTTGTGTTTTTTTATGAAGATAATTATTATTCTCAAGTAAAATTTAAAAGCATCTTCTCCATAAAATCATCTAGATCGAGTTAATTTGATTCGTACACTTTAAGTATAAAACTTAACTTATTCAAATAATGACTTCACTTTCATCTTTGGAACATTGCATATGAAAATACTCATGTAATTAATGCATACCTTCATTTTGTCTAATAAATAAACTAAGCATCGATTTCATATATTTCTCAATTTTTTTTTTACTTTGTATATTTGTTGTATTTATTTTTAATACATGAACTATTTTCTTTTTGAGAGAAAACAATCTTGTTTGTAATCAAATATGAATTTCACTACTTTTTTCCTTTACTCATTCATTCAAAACATATAAATGAATAATCAAAAAGAAAAACAAACAACATCATTTATCGCATAAGACAACGTTCAGGAATGCATTTTAATGCTTCAAACCAATTGTTATTATTGTGTTTAAGTGTCATTAATATATTGTATACTTGATTGATTGACAAAACAGTATTTGCACTTGGTGAAAATCTACATAGATAATGAAAATAAATTAAAATAATTATCCGCATATTATTTGTAGAATATACCTAAGATATTTTTGAAGTGGTAATGATTGATGTCGAATCTGCTCATGTTTAGCTTTTTCTAAAGTAATTCGTTCATGTTTTGCTTAAATAAAAAGATTTCTTTTTCAAATTCGAATGAATCATACAAAAATAATTTACTTTTTTGAAATATTCCACCAAATATATAAATAACATTATGTTCATATTCACTCATTGTATTTGGTGAATCCGGTGATAAATAAACAAGTTGTTCTCGAGGAAATAAGTCAAGATAGGAAAGTGATGTTGCATGACAATAAGGACTATTTCGTAGCCATTTATCGTTATTACTGGAAAATAAGTTACATAAAATAACAAAAGATGGTGAATGATATCGATGAAGAAGAGTAAAACATGAATGAATTTTTAATTGAAGTCTTTCATAATAATTTTCAGATGAAATGTCATTATCATTATATTCATTAGCAAATGAACAATCGATAATGATATAATCACCGAGACGAGCAGCAACAAATAATTTTGCTTGACGAAGTTGACGTTGAAGATCAAATAAATGTTGAGGACAACGAAAAAAATGAATATAATGAACAGATGATGACCACCACCAAATACGATAACAGTGTCGAAAAATCATCACATTTAATAATCTGATAAAAAGAGTTGAATACGCTGATATTATTTATATTTCGTTTCATATTTGAAAAATTACTGACTAGAAAAAAATCTTAAGAAATAAAACAAAATCTATAAGTTAACACTATCGAATCAAAAATATTATTTGTGGCTATTTTTCAAGACGTCGATTGGTAACAACGAATAGTCAAATGATGTAATAAACGTAAGAGTTCACTAGTAGTTAGAATAACTGTGTTCGATTTTATGATAATGTTCATTAAGACAGTTAGACTAAAACAAAAGTGACAAAGGTTGTTGAGTGATATATCATTGGTGTTTCAGTCATCTACTCATTAATACTAAAATGATATTTGTTATACATTAGCATGAGATTCATTATTAGAGCAGTGAATAATGAATAAATAGCGAATGCTGAATCCGATGATATAGTAATACCTGATGTATCGAACAATAATATCTAATAACATTATAGAAAATTCTCAGCAATGCCGAATAAGGAAAAATTCATTATCATTTTTACATCTCCTTTAGATTTATGACTCCAAAATTTTGCATTTATGGCCCTATTATCTAGAATATGCTATTGTAGGCACGAAATTGTTATAAAGCTCCATGTATCATAATAGTGGATGTGACTATGGTCTATATCCACACGCACACACTAAAAATGAATATTAGTGCATATTTAAAAATAGAATTTGATGACAATGATAAAAGAATTTAATCTAATATAATAATGAATTTTGCTTTGGAAGAAATGGCTATGTGGTTGACAAATAATACATATTGATTTCTATTGGACTCAAAGTAAATATGATACAAGTGAGCCAATGACTTTTCTTTTTGAAGGTTTTTATTGAAAATTTTTTTTAGAAGAGTTCTATTTTCATGGTATTGCTCATCCTTATCGTACTTTCATAATCCACAACGAACTATTTATCAAACTTTGCCTTTGTGCTATGGTATTGAACAAAAAACTTTTATCCATTCATTTTTGTTTATTAAGGTGTGTTCCTATGTATAAATTTAGGTTCAGAATAAATTCCATATTGGATTATAAAGAATACATTCTAAAACAAAAAGTTTTCTTGGAAACCTATCAAAATGGGTTTTTGGATAGATTTCGGAAACCAAAAAAGGTTTCCGAACTGACCTTGGAAACTTTTAGGAGGTTTCTGAAAAGAAAAAAATAGGTTTTCGAATTTCTGAAATGCTTTAGGAGTCACTTCTAAGAATTGATTTATCACCTAGAACGGGTCATTCGGCATGAAATTTCAGGAATGAATGGTCCTCGTGAGAAACGCTTGTGATAAAAGTTTCAGCGTGATATACACTACTAGATTTAACTTCCGGCTTGTTTTTATAGATGCCAGGAGAATTGAAATAACTTCATCGTTATAAGAGGTACAGAGCTCGAACTACTTAGTCTCGAATTAAGACTAGCCTCTGCACGCAACTTTTCATTGAACAGTTTTTTGAGACTCTCTTCTATTCATTTGTTATTAGCATTTTTGTGGACATGGTGTTCAAAATAAGCATAAAAATTGTGAGGCCACGACAGTAAATCCCACTTTTCTCAGTCCATAAATCAAGTATAAAAAATTTATCCGATGAAAAGTTAACTCTTGTTCAGACCTTTAATAAAAAACATCGGTTATGCATTGAGCCGGGTGGAAGTAATTTTAATTTTTCTGCCTGAAAATCGTGTTTTGAGAAAAACGCTAAAGAAATTTTAGAAATGCATTTTTTCATTCAAATCTAGAAAAAAAACATACTAAATTGGGATATTCATAATACGTGTCAGTGTCATTTTTTAAAGCACATAAAACATAATTTAGACTACCGCTGTCGGTCATATTTAAGTAAATATAATGATTTATTCAATGCCGAAATAAATAAAAGACACTTTTCCCAAAACTGTAAAACTTTATAAAAAACAGGAAAATTCCTGAAAACAATGTGGAGGGGATTGAAAGGGTATGGGTGTTACTCTTGCAAAACTGCATAAATCTATAGTCTTTTAATTCAAGTATATATCAAATTAATCTTTACACATTTCAAAATTTTTTCTGCTTACGAAATACAATGCTTGATTTGGTATTTATGTCAATAGAGTGATAGTTTATGGTGAGCAATACTGAGTCATTAAATACAGTTTCTAACTTGGATGGTCGTCTTAAAGATGAATACTCATGTATAAATGATGATCCTGGATATGAGTGACAAAAATATTAAATGTATAGTAGAAACCAAGTAATTAAATATAGTCGAATTTGAACTAAGAAAGTAGCAGAGATTACTAACATTTCAAAGATACAGTGTATTGTATTTTACATGAACAATTGCATACGATTGAAGTGTGTTTCATATGATTGTCACATTCGCTAACATCGAATCAATGGCATGTCATTCATTTTTAGAAACATAATCAACGGCTAGTTGTACATTTTTAAATTGATGAATTCATGGAAAAATCATAGTGCGTGATGGAGTATTATCATTTTAAATTGTCACTTTACATTCATAGATATTTAAAAGCAATCGATTCTTAAGAAACGAGACTTTAGTCAGGTTTCCAGTTTTTCATCAGCGCACTAGAAACTATTCTAAAAGTTCTTGGTATACTTTCACATATAGGTTTAGTATACCAGAACTTATGATATTTATGGATGTAGGGCTGTATGATGTATGTGCATATGCCAATACTAGCATAGCAACGTTCCTCTTTATTTTACATTAAAACCAATCCAGTACATTTTTGAATGTCCTTCGTGCCTCATCGATTTTCATCGTGAAAATAGTTAGTGAATGAAGCAACATTGAGAAATAGGAAGAAATTATTATAAACAAAAAGATTCAGACGATTGAATATTGACAACCAGTTCCAAAAACAGTTAACAAGACTAACTGTCAAATGAAACGGTCTATACTTAATTTGATGTTTAATCACATCAAAGTTAAAACTATTTCATTCAACTTTCATTCAGAAACAAGTCAAGAAAAATATCCAACAGTTGGATTTAATGGATTTGTTATACTATATGTAAAATATTCTGTGAAATTCATGAATCTTCTGGACTTTTTCTTCGATAAGCATTATAAAAAAATAAACTGGATTGTAAAATACGATAGATTATTCTTTTCGTTGATATTAACATTTGAAAAAATCAATATCTGCTAATACGTAAAAGATTTCATTAATCTTTCTCGTTTGTTTAAAAAAACGTCACCCCAGGCAAGCAAAAAATAACGCAGGACGCCCGACATGACTAGTCTAAAATGTCTGCACTACCGTCTGGTCTAGTCTAAAATGTCCACGCTACTGTCTGGTCTAGTCTGAAATGACTTGCAGCCCGTCAGG